AGAAAGATACTTATTATAAGAAATTAAGAGTATATTATATCTAGTTACTTACTATTCTGCTTCTCTTATACCTAAGTAATAAAATTATACTATCTATAATAAGAAATTACTTATAGTAATTAAATATATTAAAATATAGATAGCAGAGTTATAAAGTATTTTTAAGCTATTTATAATTTTAATAGATTATAAAAACTTAGAATACTTTACTTCTGCTAAGTTACTAATAGAGCAGTAATAGTAATAGGTAGAGAAACTTTTAGCTTTCTACTTCTATCTATAATTTTAACCTAGAAAGTTAGCAGCATAGGCTAGATACGTTAAGCTAATGCAAATAGAATATAAAAGAGTATATTAAATAAGCTAGCTGCTATATAGTACTAATCTCTATCTAGTCTACCTCTATGCAGAACGTAGCTATAATACTAGCAGAAAGTCTACTATTTATAGATAGGTATATGCAAGAACTTTAAGACTAAGCTATCTATAAGAATATAGCTTATCTACTATAGTTATAAGCAGTGCAATAAAGAGCTAGGCAGTTTCTACTAGAAGCTAAGATAAACTAGCAGGTAGCTAACTATACTATCTCTACGCATAGAATACTGCAATAGCGCAGAGTTATATAGCTTCTATCTTAGAAACTCTTAACTACTATAGTAATCTAATAAGTATATAAATTAAACCTTATAGAATACGCAGAGAAAAATAGAACTTTCTAAATACTATATAGAGATTACTATTAGAATAGAATATTCTCTAACGTAGCATAATATATAAGAAATTACTATTACTATAGCACTTATACTTTAAGGTTAAAGAGGCAGAGCCTATTATAGCTCTTACTAGTAGCAGATTAGTACTAGTCTTAAATTTCTATAAACTTTATAGTAAACTTACTATAGGCTAACTTAGCTGCACTATAATATCTTCTTATTATTATAGACTACCTTTCTAAGTATATCTAATTAGAAGCTATAGTAATAATAGAAGCTAAAGAATACGCAGAGCGTTTTAGAGACGTATAGTAGCAATTCTATAGCTTCTCTATAAATATTATAATAGACTAAGAGTTAGACTAGCTAGAGAAATTCTAGAGTATACTCTATAAGCTTATAAATATTTAGCAGCTTCTCTTAACTTACCTATTATTCTTAGATAGATAGAGGCATAGAGAGAGCTAATTAAGAGGTTTAATTAGTTCTAAGAGTAATAATTAACTTTTCTTAAATAAACTAGCTTTAATATCTTATAGCTTACTAGCTTGCTCTTAATAATAGAGACTCTACTATTACTAGAATAAGTCTAAACCTCTTGCTAAATAGCTATACTCTATTACCTATTTAGAAACTAAATAACTCTCTATCTTTAACTATAACTCTAAAAGGCAGAGCAGTCTAGTTTATAGAATATCTATAAAATAGAATAGCAATAGCTTAAGCTGCTATCGCCTTTATATAATAATAGTAGTAGAAAGCTATAAACTGCTTATAAAAGCTAGTAAAATAATTCTAGGTTAGAGATAAAGTATAGTTTTTAATGCGTAATATAAAAATAGTATAGAAAAGTAGAAAACTAGACTAGCTATAGGCTAAATATATAGTAACAGCAGTTCTTATACTTTTAACTATTATACTAGACCTACTAGGCAGACTGCATAAAACTATCTATATAGATTTAGTAGAACGAGTAGAAAATAACTCTCTACCTAGCTAAGTTCTTAAAGATACTAGACTAGAGCTAGCCTTAGAGTTAGAAGAAGAGAATAAAGCACTATAGAAATAGAAAGTAGAAGAAATTTTATAAGAAAAGAACGTAAAAGAGCAAAATAAAAAGCAGGTCTTAGTAAAATAGAAAGGCTAGCTTAAACTAATATAGCACTTAAAGAAAGACTTCTTAGATATAGAAGCTTTATAAAAATTTACTACTATAATATTACTAAAATTATAATAAGGTAGATAGATAATTTAAGCCTAAAGGCAAGTATTATTTAGTTAAGCTCTAAAGAGTAACTAGCTTAGAGCTAGCTAGAGTATATAAAGCATCTAGAGTTTAAGATAAGCTACTCTAAGTCCTTCTTATTAAATACCTCCTTAAGAGCAGAGTAGATCTTCTTTAGATCTAGAATAGAATAACTAAAGCTATGCTTAATATTAGCAATAGAATAAGAATCTCTAACTAACTAGCAAATAGGTTAGTATTAGTTTCTAAACTAGTAATAGATAGAGAAAACTTACTTAGTAAGTCTTATGCAGCTCTTTAATAATATGCTTCTAGCTAATAGTAAGATAAATATTAGTCTTACTAAAGAACTAGAGAACTAGTATTAGAGTAGTAGCGTTATCTTTACGCTTAGAGAGAGTGCTAAAGCTAATAAGAGTAGTAGATAGAGCTAAACTGCTACTAGTAGATGCTATAGCAATAGTAGTTAGAGCCTAGGTATAGAAATTCTTATAGTTATAGTAAGCAGTATAGAACTATAAATAATTAGCAATATTGCTAGAATAGCTATAAACTAGCGCTAACTTATATCTACTAAGAACTTAGGCTATGTCTTTTCTTTGCTGCGCATAAAGCACTCTAAGTTCTCTATATTAGCAATCTACTTATACTTCTTAAGAGTAGCGTATAGAGCTAGGTTACTAGTAAGCAGCTCTAATTTAGTCTTATACTAGGCCTTACTCTTATAGTAAGTAGCGTAGCTACTATAGATAGTCTAAAGATAGTTAATTTAGCTCTAGCTTGCATAAGCATTAATATAAGAATAGTAGTTATATTAGACCTAAGTTAGCATTAAAGCTTTATTAGAAGAATTATCTAAGATAAGTATGCTGCTAGTAAGGCAGAGAAGTTTCTTCTTCTTATGCTTAAGAGTAATAGGCTAATTAGCATTAGCTAGGCTTTAAATAGAAATTAAGTTAAAAACGTATAGGCGCAGAGTATAGACTATTGCTAGCTATACTACTAGCAATCTTAATAAAAAAGAGAAAGCTTATAGTAGAAAAGAGGCTAGTCTAGACGCAGATAGGCGCTAAGTTAGAATATAGTTAAGTAGTAGAGAGAATAAGAAAGAGCGTAAGGCAGCGCTAAATAAAACTTTATAAGTTAGTAGCCTAAGCGCGCTAAGCGCGTATAGCTTATAATAATAATAATAATACTAGCTCTATCTTAGCATATAATAAACTTAGCATAAGAATAATAAAACGCTAATAGATATGCGCATTATATAATAATAGGCTTAAGAGTAAAGTAGAAAGATATATTAAGGTATAAGCTACGCCTATACTTAGAAACTTTTCTGTTAGCGCCTTAAGCCTCCATAATTAGTTAGTAAGAAGAATATATATAAGCAGTAAATAGAGACCTTCTTAATAAGAAATATAACTTTACTTAACACTACATAAATTCTATTCTTATAAGCTAGCCTATAACAATCTATATTATTAGAGCGTTTATTAACTTAGGTAAATTTTTTTAGATATTTTATTAAAAAATCTAAAACTTTAAAGCCTTATATCTCTATAACTACTAGGCCAAATTAGGTAATATATAGCTCATTTTAAAGAGAAAAACTCGCTCTATATTTTAGATTTTTAGTCTATATTACGTAATCATCGTCCTAGCTAGGTAGAGCGACTTTGTCGAAACTATCAACTAGACGTCGTATCAACGTCGGAAAAAAGAGACTGGAGCGACTTTGTCAAATCGTCGTATTAGTTATATCGCCGGCGAATCGCGGCAATACTGTTAAAATACCAAAAAACAGTTTTTCTAACGTAGTTAGTTACTAACCTTTTACTTAACTATATAGATAATAGTATTAAACTTTTAGTAGATCTTTTATATAGCATTACTAGCAAAGAACTCTTCTAGTAGCTAGAGAGCTATCTAGCTTTTAGTAATACTAAAGGATCTTACTTAATAGACTTCTTTATAAAGTCTTCTATATCTATTACGTCTTACTTAGTAGCTAGTACGCTCTTAAATAATAAGCAAAGGCTTATCTTATATTTAATTAGCTATAACTTAAACTTATGCGCCTCTTTATGCACCTTAAAGTATGCTTTAAGAGCCTCTAAAGTAGTAATAACTATACTATTCTTATTAATACTAAAGCTACTCTATTTAATAAGATCTACTTAAACTTTCTAGTTTTTTTTAAAGCTATTATACTTATTTTTATACGCAGTAATAGTTATCTAATAATAAAGACTAGCAGCGCGCTAGACTGCCTCTTAAGTAACTTTCTAAGCTTTTTTTTTATACTCTAAGTCTACTTAGTAGCTCTGCTTAATCTTAGAAATAAGCACTTTAATAAGCGCCTCTTTTATCTTATTATTCTATATTAACTAAATAGTACTACTAAGCATTAATAATTATGCTTATAGCGCTAGTAATAGTAATACTAACTAGAGAATAGAAGTATTACTTAGTAATAGAGATATAGAAAATAACTGCTAAGCAACGCATTAAAGCACTAAGTTAGGCGCTAGAGAAAATAATAGCAGCAGTAGTAGCAGTAGCTCTATTTTAGGAGGTTTTATGCAGCTTATAATAGGCTAGAAACTTATAAAATTGCAGAAGTTATAATAAATAAAAATAGCTCTAATAGCAGGTAAATAGAGCCTCTAGTTCTATCTAGATTTAGGTAAGCCTGTAGCTTAAGCTAGCAGGCACCTCTTGCGATAAGCTATACTAAATATATCACTAAAACAGCCAGCAAAAACGGAGTAACCGAACAGGCCCTTCTTCGGCTTGTGGACCCTGATTCTGCTGCTAGCATCACCGCAAACAGTGAGTTGCTGTGCAAGCAATTGACCACTGTCCGAGCAAACGACCTCTGCGAACTCATCGTGTCCTCCGTGTACCTCGTAAATTCATGATGTAATCGCGTCCTCCGGAGTCCACGCAGCGCGCGTCAGTTTTGGTGTCAGTACGTATTTGGGCATTGTAGGGCGCGCCGAGGCGTGAGTATCCAATCCTGCCGCTAGTATCCGCGTTCATCGCGGAACCTCGATGCTCTCCGAACGGCGGACCTCCGGTCGCACTCCAGATAATTGCCCTATATCGGATGCAGTTGTTGATGAATACGTGGTGATACAAAATCGAAGAGCGATGTCGGCTGTACTAATGTGTGACTCTACGAGCGTCCATGTTGTCAAACATGAGGTTCAATACCGCTTCGGCAAGCCTCGGTCTAAGGAATCGCCTTCACCATCTCGAAAATTTGACATCCATGAATATCTGAGATAGGGCAGGTGACCACAGAGAACGCGGCAACCGGCTCTCGAAAATTTTAAGATGACAAGGGTAGTTCAGATTCCAATGTAAGGCTACGTACCGAGGGTCCACACATATGCGTGTGTCTGTGTACAGGTAGGTATCCGTGCGTACCCACTCCATCTGTATCCGACTCATTTTGGCTTATATAATTTGATTCGCAACTGGGGTGCTATTCAAGATGCAATGATGACGACCCTACGCCCGCAGAATTCACAGGCATCACGTTCGTTGGGTGTAGACCATCGATGCCTGCCAGTATGCCGTCCGCAACCTGACCAACGCGTGATTCAAGCGAACTGAAGTCCATCTTGCTTATCGCCTTGTTTATTTCCTCCGTGACAGCCTCGTCCTGTACCGTCTCTGCCATGATCTGGCCCTCTGTCCTCCAGTATTGTTCCCTCAGGCCCCGCAATGATGGGTCACGGTTGACCGAGTTCGTGAGAAGGCCAAGTGCGCGCATCTTATTCAGTGTCTCCTCTGCTTGTCGCGTAGTCGTCTCCATGCGCTCAGCGCAATCGAGACTGGCTTCGCTAGCCAGCGGTTCGTGCTTGTCAGCCAGAGCACAACGCCCATCGCAATGTCCACCACTGCAAATGTGAGGTATCGGAAGAAGTGGAGGCGCCAGTGTATCGCATCAATATCCTCTAGAGACTTTGCACGCTTGTTCCCCGTGATGTCGTATGTCTGGATGTAGTACACTTCTACTACCAGCATCAGAAGTCCGGCAATAGTAGCATGTGTTCGGAACCTCGACCCTTCGTTCCCGATCAAAGAGGACGTCGATAGCCCGAGAACTGCAAGCTGAAAAATGTGCGGTATGACCAGTTTAGGAAGCGCGTACAAGAAGTACTGCATTTTGGTCGTTGCCCTTGGAAGAGGTGCACCACACGCAATTCAGCAACGCGTCTGGACCATACACGAGGTACAGCAACCTGTTATGCATGCCGTTCGGGCTTGCAAACTTCTTCACGGAGTGCATCATCCTGGTCCGTGAGCTCTCGCAGGTGACGAAGCCTCGAGAAAAGTACGCTGGTCTCTGTCCGTATATGGCTTTGTGTTCGCATGAAGATGTTTTCGGGCATAAATCGGGGGTAGCGAGAGGACGAGGTACACGACGGCGCTTACGCATAGTAAATTGAGCGCATTTTTGGACTCGAGGCGGCGTGGGCCGTACGGGGGCGCTTCGTGATGTAGCGCGCGCAGTACTGAACCAGTCGAACACGCGGGGAATGAGGAACGGCCCAAAGAGCATCAACAGGGTGTGAAAACCCTGAGGAAGAAATGTGAGGCGCGGTATGACGACGTAGGATATGACCAGCAACACTATGGAGCGCACGTTGAACATGTTGGGCGTGGGGGTATCATGAATTGGAGGGGGAAAGGGCGTTACTGTACTTTGTTAACATGTGGCTTGACGTATGTGAGACCTGGCGGGAGCGAAAGTGGATCTCAGGCACGGTCTCACGTGCGACGCTAGCAGCACTTCTCCTTCAGCAATTGTACAGCTTCGGAAACCGACGAGGCAGATTTTGAATTTAGCGCACGCCTTCGAATTGTCCTGCAGCTATCCGCTTTGCTATTCCGGAGCAAAGCTGATAAAAGTTGATAGTGCATAACCTCCCATATGTACGGCCTCAGGCGGCACAAAGAAGCCCTTCGTTTGGTACCAGATGTGATCGCAATTCGAATACCGCGCATGACTGACAATGTGATCTTTGTTCTCCTCTTGATACGCAAGTCCTTCGGTATGTATTTGAGGAGATCATGACGACGATGAGAATCGCGCTAAAGAGCTCAAATAACGGAAGGAGCCAAGCGTGATCACTAGCGCCTCTCCAATTTTCCTCTTATACCTGGCGCGCGGCGTCCCCCTTCTGCTCTTCACATATTGTCTACGATCATCCATAACCCTAAGGTCACTCCAAAATATATGGAGACACCTTTTCCAGCGATGACCCAGAACGAAGTACAGCCATTCTAATCCTGCAGTTCGCTCACGTCGACTCCGGTCGGTATCGGAACTGCGGGTTCGCTTTAGGCCAACATTCAAATTCGGCCTTGCTCAATACATAGGCATCTGCTATAGCAAGAGCACTAGACCATGGCTTGCGCCTGGCCATCATGACGGAAGGAATTGCTCCGGGCTCAGCTCAGGCCATGGTCGCCACCTGCATCAACCCGTGGTTCAGCCAGGCATCAACATGCTCACAACGTGTATCGTGTGGTACGAAGCGAAGACGGCATCGCTCAGATGAACTACAGCGCATGCAATTGTCGCGCACGGTTCTTACCTCGTATCATGCTGTCGAATAGCTTTCTCCAGGCAGCTGGGTTTCCCCGCACATCCTGGCGTGTATCACCCTGAAAAGAGCAGCGCAGCATGTCAGCTACAAGGGCAAGGGGGCGGCTGGGCGAATGCCTTTTTCGACGTCACGGCTGGTCTGCCCTGTCACTCGTTGTGATCAAAGACGAACTCAACCTGGTATGACTGTGATTCGACCAAATTCGTGATGCAGGCAGTTTTGTGAGGCAGTATGCGTTTTGTCGAGGATGCGGGAATCTCGCGAACGGTGAAATAACCTGCACTTTGAATTGCGTACCCAGGAGCTGAGAACCGATCGTCCAATCTTCTGTCAGCGCTATTGGCACACATGTCTCACAACCAACAGCATGGCTGAGAAGAGGGCCACCCAAAGAGACCGCTTCGGTTGTTCGTAGGCGCGTCGCATCACGGTCACGACTTGACTGTGCCCCCAACAGATTACGCCACATTCGGAAATTGGGAGCACTGCGCGTCTATTGCTTGTCCCAAGAGCGAACCACGCCTTCCTCTCGAGTCAGCTCTTTGAGTCCTCCCACTAAAGCCCTCGCCCTCGCCCTCGCCTTCTGACAAGCTCGCTCTGACTGGCAACAGCCCATAACCCTTAGAACCCTGTCTTGCAAAGCGCCATGAATCAGTGCGATGGCATACATGAGCCTACGCCTACTCCTTGCTTTCAGATTCGTCGCGCCCTCATTTCAAGATGATCCGATCCTGGATTTGTGAGTGCTCGGACCTGAGGCATCGCTGATTTTGCTCATTAGCCGTCTAGCTGTCGAAGATGGAACCACCAAACCGCCATAGTTGATGGACGCCTGTATATTGACGGTGGAGCCGTCGCATATAAATCTCTTGCGACTAATTATACCAGTACGTAAAGAAGGTGAAGAACCGCAACAGTGTGCCAGGCTCACATTCGTGTCAAGATGACTACCTCCTATTCAGCGACCTCAGCTCTCGGACAGACGTTGGGTTTCCCCAACAGCATTCCAATTTGTCGAAACCCGCAAATGTCCCTAGTCTGTCGGGTGGGATTCTTTGGGCTGATGAAGTGAACAAGTGCTTCTATCAGTTTGGAGGCGCCTTTCAAGAAGGAGGCAGCCCCAAAGACTTCGGCATGTGGACGTACGATGTAATCTTGGATCAATGGAATACTACCACTTATGTCAGCAGCGACAAGAACTTACAGCGCCCAGCGTTCGGTGCTGGAACACAAGTCGACGGCCGCGGGCTAGGCTTCTACTATGGCGGCTGGCTCAGCAGTCGCACCACCCCGGGCTGGAGCGGACCACCGATAGCCGTCAGCAGTATAGTCCAGTTCAATTTCACTACGGGTAACCTCCGAAATAACACCCACCCCGATGGCATTGGTAGAGCGGAAGGACAAATGGTGTATCTACCAGTGTCCGATAACGGGTTGCTCATCTACTTCGGTGGCATTGAGGATCCCTATCATAATGGCAGCCACAACGCCGCTAGCATGAGCAAGATTCATATTTATGACATCAACTCTGGGAAGTGGTATAGTCAGACTGCTACGGGCGACGTGCCTGCGGCACGAAGGCAATTTTGCGCAGGAGTCACTTGGCCAGACGACCGTTCATCGTTCAACATCTACCTGTACGGTGGATATGGATTCAGCAATCCTGCTGCATTCGACGATGCCTACATCCTCTCCCTTCCATCGTTCACCTGGGTCAAGGCATATGGCAACTCGGACGCATTTGGCCACGGGGGATGCAGCGCAAATGTTGTGAATCCTAACCAAATGTTGATTATTGGTGGATGGTACCCCAACTCATCTTTTGTGGATTGCGATCAGCCTGATGCGCAAGGTCAGCACAACATGGTCATGGGCAATAATACAGGGAAGAAGGAGAACGGCATATGGGACAAATACGACCCAAAGTTGACAGACTACGCTGTGCCGACACTCGTAGTGGCTGTAATAGGGGGCGGGTAAGCTTTGTTGTAGGACTTTGTGCCCTTGGATGATGCTGACGAGCTTTCAGACCTACTGGTGGAGCAACAGTCACTGCTCCAGCGACCTGGGATTCTAACGACGTCAGAGTCTACTACAACATCAAAGCCACGCCAGCGACTCGAGCGGCCACCCGGCTTCTGCCTGCCACTAGTTCGCCAACGGGTGGTAAATCTATCAAGAGAACGAAGATCGGAGCTATTGCAGGAGGTACAATTGGAGGGCTCGTGATCTTGATAGCGCTACTGAGTCTCGTCTTGTTCTGTCTGTACCGCCGAAAGAAAGCGAAGAAGACTGGCGTGCACCAAGCCCCTTCTGCTCCACCCGCTGAGCTTGCAGTCTCACAACATCCTTACGAAATGTCAACCACAGGCGGGAGCAAGTACAAATCGACGCATGCGCACTCATTCCCTAACGAACTTCCCGCTTACTCCGGGCAAGCGCCTGTACATCCTCGTCCAATGATATGTGAGCCAACGCGATCGCACGAGTCGAGTGCATCGCAAGGACATGTATTCATGGCGTCCCAATCCGCAGCGTCACATGAATCATCTCCGCAAGCGAGGTACTCTCACCATTCGCCGAACCATTCACTCAATGGCGCAGAGCCGTACTTCGCATCCGAACATACGACGTTCAATGTCCAACAAAATAATTCACAGCAGCGGGCTTCTACCATGGAGCGACGGTACTCCTATCCTACGCCCATATCACCTTACCCTGGTGGTACACGTCAAGAATCTTCGACAGCTGTTAACACGACCAATGCGCCGGCGCAGTTCTACACAAGTCCTGTGTCTCCGGATGCCGCGGCCACTGGTGGAGAACTCGGACAGAATGGACGGAACTGAAACTAGATGTGACAACATGGTGGATTGACGCCGGCTCAACTTCACACATGGCAGTAGATAGAAGTAGACAGAAAAATCACAGGCTTGCGGCGCATGAGTCTCGTATGCGAGCTCTACGCACAAGTCCATGTGTTCGAACTGTGGGCATTGCTTCCCCTCATTGTGGGCACTGCTTGCTAATATCATAATGATGTACCAATGTGCACACACTTATCGGGGTGAATGTGAATGTGAAAGGCGTTTGACGTGGGTAAACAAGAGCTTTGTAAGAGTGATCCATCCAGGTGGAGCTCAGTACTAGCGTTAGCTCGGTCTCGGCACGGCGAGCCAGCAGCGCGCTTCTTCACGCCCGCCGCAACAACCTCCCGCGACGTCAGCCCGGAAGCTCCCTACAATCAGCAAACAGCTCATAGCACCGATCGGCACCAATTCAGGCGACAGCCTAGTCCCAAGCACTCACCCATCCTTTCGGCAAAGGCGCCCGCGCCATCTTCCTCCGCTAGCTGCCCCACTATCCTCTTCGCATCCCGCTTCAAGGCATCGATTCTGCACGCGCCTCTACGACGACTCCTCCACCTCGCGTCTCTCAACCGCACACGACCCACGAGGCTGTATATAAGCTTCTTGGCATATAAACACACCACAAACGCCATCGGGGAGCTCTTCCCGCCGCGCTGCTGCCCGCCATGTCTCTGTCTATCGAAGAGCTTGACGCCACAGTCCGCGCCTTCTACGAGGGTCGCGGCGAGACTGTACGTACTGAGCGGGACATTAGATGACGATATATGGCAGAGTACAGCTGACATGACCGCCCTTGCAGCAAAAACAAGCTCAAGCTACACTGAACCAGGTAGGCTACCACTATGCTCAGCCTTCCATTGAGCCCGACTGACTTTGATACAGTTCAAAGAGAACCCAGACGCATGGCTTCTCGTGGACAAGATTCTACAAGATGCGCAGTACCCACAAACAAAATGTACGTTTGCATGATATTGGGCTGTGCTGTCGCAACGCTAACATCGGGCAGACCTGGGCCTACAGGTTCTCGACAATGTCATCATGACTAGGTGGAAGGTGCTGCCTCGTGACCAATGTCAAGGTAAGCCTCGCAGGAATGTATCGAGGCCCAGGTACTGACTGCGACAGGTATTCGCAACTTTGTTGTAAACTTCATCATCCAGCTCTCCAACAACGACGATAGTCGCCGCACCGACCGCACCCTCTTGAACAAGCTGAATCTCGTGCTTGTGTCGATCCTCAAGCAAGAATGGCCCCACAACTGGCCGACCTTCATCAACGAGATCATCTCCTCGTGCCATAGCAGCTTGGGCATATGCGAGAACAACATGGTCATTCTGAGGCTCCTGTCCGAGGAGGTCTTCGACTACTCAGAAGAGCAGATGACCTCGTCCAAGCGACGAGAGTTGAAGCAGAGCATGTGCGACGAGTTCACATCCATCTATCAGCTGTGCTCCGAAGTTCTGCGAACAGCGACCGAGGCCTCGCTCATCAAGGCGACTCTCGAGACCCTACTGCGTTTCCTCAACTGGATTCCGCTCGGCTACATTTTCGAGACACCCCCCAGCGGCCAGAGTCTTATTGAGACGCTCCGAAGCCGCTTCCTCGAAGTGCCCGACTTCCGCAACATCACCCTCAAGTGTTTGACTGAAATTGCTGGTCTTCATACCGAGCCCGCATACGACGACAAGCTAGTTTCAATGTTCACGGAGACTCTGACCGCGATCTCGAAGATCATCCCTCTATCACTAGACCTCAAGAGCACATACGCATCCAGCAACAGCAGAGATCAAGAATTCGTGCTGAACCTCGCTCTCTTCCTTACTAACTTCTTCACGATGCACCTGAACGTCATCGAGAACTTAATGAACAGGGACTTCCTCACACACGGTCACTTCTACCTCATCCGGATAAGTCAGATCGACGACCGCGAGATCTTTAAGATCTGTTTGGAATACTGGACCAAGCTTGTCTCAGAGCTCTACGATGAGATGCAGGCTCTGCCAATCACCGACATGAACCCTCTCCTCAACATGGGCATCGCCACTGGCCCTCGTGATTCTAACATGATGGCAAACTACCCGCTGCGCAAGAACAAGTACACAGAGATTCTGTCGAATCTGCGGACTGTAATGATCGAGAAGATGGTCAGGCCTGAGGAGGTTCTGATCGTGGAGAACGACGAGGGTGAAATCGTTCGCGAGTTCGTCAAGGAAAGCGACACTATCCAGCTGTACAAGTCCACTCGAGAGTGCCTTGTCTTCCTTACTCATCTGGACGTAAACGATACCGAGCAGATCATGTCCGAAAAGCTAGCACGCCAAGTCGATGGCTCCGAATGGTCATGGGCGAACTGCAACACTCTGTGCTGGGCTATCGGTTCTATCTCCGGTGCCATGAACGAAGAGACGGAGAAGCGTTTCTTAGTCACCGTCATCAAGGACCTACTCGGTTTGACTGAGATGAAGCGCGGAAAGGACAACAAAGCCGTTGTCGCCAGTAATATTATGTATATCGTTGGCCAATATCCTCGATTCTTGAAGGCGCACTGGAAGTTTCTCAAGACTGTTGTCAACAAGCTCTTCGAGTTCATGCACGAGACGCACGAGGGTGTCCAGGACATGGCTTGCGACACTTTTATCAAGATAGCGAACAAATGTCGGAGACATTTCGTTGCGCTACAACCTGGCGAGACCGAGCCATTCATTGACGAAATCGTTCGCAACCTCCGGAAAATCACCGCCGATCTGTCGCCTCAGCAAGTCCATACTTTCTACGAGGCTTGTGGTTACATGATCAGCGCTCAAGGACAGAAGGGCATGCAGGAACGCTTGATTGCCGACCTCATGGCCTTGCCAAACTCTGCTGTAGGTTCAAGAATATCTCAACTTCGATCTCGCATTGCTAACAAATTGTAGTGGGACAGTATTATTGCTCAAGCAAACCAGAACCCGGCCTGCTTGCAGGACTCCGAGGTCATCAAGATCGTCGGCAACATCATGAAGACTAATGTTGCTGCTTGCGGCTCAATAGGATCCTACTTCTATCCTCAGATCGGCCGGATTTATTTCGACATGCTTACCATGTACCGAGCTAGCTCTCAGCTCATTGACGAAGCTGTTCAGCGAGATGGTAAGTCTTTGCCTGTTTGTAACGATTCTCCCTCTCTGACTCTTCTAGGCAACATCGCGACGAAGATGCCCAAAGTCCGCGGTCTTCGGACCATCAAGAAGGAGATCCTCAAGCTTATCAACACTTACGTGGAGAAGGCTGACGATCTGGAGATGATCCACAACAACATCGTGCCCAAGCTGCTCGAGGCTGTTTTGATTGACTACAAGAACAACGTGCCAGACGCCCGAGAGGCAGAGGTTTTGAATGTTATGACCACGATCATCAACAAGCTACATGTACGTTGGAGACCCGGTCTGAGCAGACACATGGTTGGGCTCGCTCAGGTGGACTATGAACATCGCTGACTATAACGAACAGAGCATGATGGAAGATCAAATCATCAACATCATGGACAGCGTTTTCGAGTGCACCCTCGACATGATCAACAAGGACTTCTCTGAATACCCTGAGCACCGTGTCGAGTTCTTCAAGCTTTTGCGAACGATCAACCTCCGATGTTTCCCCGCCTTGCTGAGGCTCGACGCCCGTTCGTTCAAGTTCGTTATCGACTCTTGCATGTGGGCCAGCAAGCACGACAACCGCGAAGTTGAGAGCGCTGGTCTCTCTATGTGCTTCGAGCTGGTCTCCAACATGGCCGATACCGATCCGCAGACCTGCAACTCGTTCTTCCAGACATTCTTCACCACCATCTTGCAGGATGTCTTCTTCGTCGTTACCGACAGCGACCACAAGGCCGGCTTTAAGTCCCAGTCGATGCTGCTGGCCAAGATGTTCTGGCTCGTGGACTCCGACAAATTGCAGGGCCCAATATACACATCGCCAGACATGGCTCCCGCGGGTACATCGAACCGCGAGTTCCTGCGAAACTTTGTTGGTAACCTGCTGGCGACAGCCTTCCCCAACCTTCAAACGTAAGTGACACGCGATACATGTACTTTACTCTGCTAATTAGACCCAGTGCTCAAATCGCATCGTTCATCGATGGTCTCTTCGCCACTAATTCCGACCTCAACCGTTTCAAGATCATTCTCCGCGACTTCCTCATCTCACTGAAGGAATTCTCCGGAGACAACGCTGAGTTGTTCGCGGAAGAGCGCGAGCAGGCGGCAACCAAGGCAAAAGAGGAGGAGCGTGAGCGAGCTATGAAAGTTGGTGGGCTGTTGAAGCCGTCTGAGATGGACGACGACGAGTTGTGACTGAACGTCGAGTTGGACGCGAACATCGCCACACGCACACCATTCGATCTAAAAAACAATGCCAAGACAGACGAGGCACCCCACCGCAGAAATTCAGCTGACCTCGACGGATGGGACTTCTATGGTCTCTGACGGGGAGGAATATGATGGTCGTGTCGTGTCGGCTCAAGGAAGGCCGCATCCGCTGCGCATTGTGATTTTCAACAAGTACTTGGTTTCTTACAAGCGGTCTAATACCCTATAGACCTTTTGCAGCTCGTTTGGGGCATGGACACATAGCTGGCTTGGAGTTGGCCCGGTTTAGCTTGCAGATGGAAAAGTATAGGGGGGCATTGCAGGGAAAAGGACATCCTGGTAGCGACGCCACGTGGGCGAAGAATAGAAACCATATGCATATTTGGTTAATACAATTCTGCTCTTGGCATACGTGATGAATGTAGAAAAGTCTGTCCTCATACAGCTGCAACGGCCCGGCCCATTCCTGATGCAAGCTGGTCGTCGTCTCGAGTCGCCTGCAAGATGACGACGAGTGTCAAGCCCGCACCGTCCTCCCGATCTCAATACCTTGCCGTTCCGAGGAGATCCTGCGTCAAATGTCGATCGAGCTTTCAGCCACAGGTTCATTTACACTAAATAGTCCGAGGTAGCAGTCGTTGTGGAGCCTTGCACCTCTCGTCGTCGTCAACTATCACCAGTGCGGTTCATTCCGTCCGCGGTTAAACTTCCCAGCCGAGGCTAGCGGGGTGGTGGCTGCGACCTCAAAATCGATCATTGGCCCCTCTTCAGCCTTCACAGCACCCGCCTAGGGTTCGGCAGCGTATCCACTTTCACCAGCTCCCCTGCCCCTGCCATGACTAGCGACTGAGTAAGAATTGCTCTCCAGCTCTCGCTCTCTTGCGCGTGGCGGATCTGCGGCCTCTCATTCGTCGGTTTCTTACAACCTCTCAACGACATGGGCACATCTTCTCACAGCCATTGTATGCACCGTCTCGTGGCCCTCTGACAATGACCCCTCCGCATCATAGCACAGTCTGGACCCTCATTCGGCAACTTGCAAGTTTCTGCTAATTCCTCGTGCGGCATAGGCCTACGCGAGCCAACTGCAATCCGTTGATTCATCCGCCGTGAGGCAGGTCCCTGCTGCACGCTTGGGGTGACTTCACTTCTTGATTCTTCTACCAACGACGCACGTCCGTTGCCAAACCTGCCACCCACCCAGGAGCCTCACCTCTTTTTGTTACTTTTTCTCCGACCCGCTACCGAATAGGCGCCCTTTGACGACCACACACCTGTCATCGCCCCTCGTGTATGGTTAGTCCTGCATAGCAAGGCTTACCGGGATTGTCGCTTGTGCATCACTGCGCATTGCCGTTAAGGCTCCGAGAATACCGCAAGAGACTTTCTTTCTACTGCTGGCACCATGTACGTTTTGCTACTCATATGGAGACTCTAGACCCCCGCCCACTTGTCGTGTTGAAGAAGACAGCCTCATCGACCAGTCTCGCATCCAAAGAAGACACAACTGACTCAGCACGTTTTACCAGGAAGTTTGGCAAGCACATTCAGAAACGGCAATTGGAAATTCCAGAATATGCCGCCAGTTTTGTGGACTACAAGGCGCTCAAAAAGGTGCTCGATCTGTCCGTGACTATTTCGACCAGTAGCTGATATATTGCAGCTCATCAAGAAGCTGAGCGCTACGCCCGTAATACCTCCGCTTGGAGACAGCAGCCATGGCAGCGACAGTTTGGATCCGCAGACTTCACTGCAGGCGAACAAGGCCACATTCTTCTTCCGAGTGGTACGAACTGTTGAACATTTGCGTGAGCTCGCATCTCATTTGATTAATAGGAACGTGAACTTGAGAAAGTCAATAAATTCTACCTGCAAAAGGAGGCTGAGGTATGCTTGTCTTATGCGCCGCCATGAAAATTGCTCACAGTGATGTTAGTTACGCTTACGGCTCTCCACCCTTCTTGACAAGAAGAGGGTGATGCAGCAACATCCACATTCCGTTTCCAAGACGTCGTCGCGATACGTTGCTCTTGAAGAGGGACTAAAGCAGTTTAGCATGGACCTAAACAAACTGGAGGTGATTGGTCTGCATGCAGCCAGGGATCGCCAAAGCTAACCTGACTCAGCAATTTGTCGAAGTGAACGAAACAGCCTTTTCCAAGATCTTGAAGAAGGTTTGGCACCACCTCCTTACCTCCTACCACAGCCATGCTAACGTCGCTAGTGGGACAAAACCTCCAAAGTAGGCCGTTACCTCCTGTGCTTTCATCGACGATGGCTGATATGATGCCAGTCAAGGGAAAAGCAGCTCTACCTCGCAAGGGCTGTCGAAGTCCAACCATGCTTCAATCGAGAAGTCATCAGCGTCTTGTCCGATCAAGCAACCCAAGCTATCCTTGACTTCTCAGGATGGGCAGAAGGCGAGGGGATGCAAGCACCCCTCGCAGCAGCAGAGCCCCGAGTGTCCGAACCTGCGTTTGAAGCACGAATCGAGCTCGACAACCAGTTCATCCAAGCCATCAACACCGCAAACTCCGTCAAGATCCAAGAATGTCTTGCGCGCCTATCAACTCTGCCCGATGCACGCGAACAGGTCTCCCGAGCGTTCCTCGGTACAGTCTATGACGCGCCTGAAGCTGCGCTGAAGATGCTCCTCGACTCAAATCTGGTCAACTTGAACCAAGAAGACGAGATTAACGAGCGGAATTGCCTACACAAAGCCGCGATCAAAGGCCGCCTGGAAGTTCTGAGGCTCGGACTCGCGAACGACGTCGATGTGCATATGACTGATGTGTATGGTCGATTGCCATTGCACTATGCGTGTATGCATGGATACGTTGAATTGGTTCAAGAGTTGATCAACGCAGCTCCAGAGACTGTAAACTTCCGAGACCAGGACAGCTTCACACCCCTCATACACGCGATCGTTCACTCAAAGCTCGAATGCGTACAGCTGCTTTTGGAAAGCGGTGCCGACATAACGCGACTCGGTCCAGGAGAGCATGTGCCGTTGAACCTTGCATGCCAATACGCTTCTCTTGAGGTGCTTGAGCTGCTTCTGAAGCGATCTGCTGAGATGCTTCCAGACGCAGAAGGACTTTATCCGCAACATCTCGTCGCGCGATCTGGAAAAACACCGGAGATGCTCCTCATGCTACAGAAGTATGGAGCTAACCTCGACCAACCAGACAAGCTGTACCAGTGGACGCCGTTGTTTCACTCGGCAAGCGAGGGGCATGTTGAATGTCTCCAGACCCTGCTGCAGTGCGGCGTCGACGTGGACATTGTGGATGAGAAAAGGTTATCCGCTATGTATTATGCGACATGGGAAGGCCACCTTGAGTGCATGCGACTTCTAGCCTCCAGAGGACGTGGAGTCGGGCTGATGACACAGAAGCAGACATCGCCGCAAATAACGTCCCAGAGCATGTCGAGCTCCATGCCTGCCCCCATGGACCTCGAAGGCGACATCGAAGGCATTCCCGAGTTTATCCTGCCACCACCGATTATACCGTTCCGAAGATATGGTCATAATTTCCTAGACACGAAAACGTTCGTCGTGATCAACTTCGAGAAAGTCGGAAAAGACGCTATCCGGTTCTACGATGAGCAAAAGTACCCGGCGGCAAGGCTCACCATATCCTCCAAGAGTTCGGATCTTATACCCAGGAATATACTCCTGCCCATACAAGACGAGTTCAAGGTCATCTCTTTCCAGATTGAGAATATTGACAATTTCTCGATTGACTTCGATGTATACCCAACCATCGGATCGAAAGTTATTGCGCGCAGCGTAGCTTCCTCGAAGGTCTTCACGGATCGTTCAAAGAGTACGGGTAGATGGCATCTAGAGCTCTTCGACCCCAGGCTTCGCTCGATCGGTCGCGCAACGTTCGACTTCCAGGTTGTCAAGCCTTTCCACGGTATTCCGTTGGAAATTACGCACTTCGCTACGTACTGGAAAGCAACTAGCCAACTCGACTCACAACCTCACACTCTCATCACGGGCTCGAGCCTGTCTGGAGACTACGTACGCCTCTTTGTGCAGTTGACAGCCGATGGTATTCCTGTGCTATACCCGCGCTGGAAGATCAACTACCAAGGATTAGAGGTGCCTGTCAACATCCTCACGTACGAACAGTTTGCTGCGATCGGCGCCCATCAGAACGCTGTGACTGCGGCACAATTGGCTTCTACATTGAGCAACGCCACTTCAAACGACATTCCCATGATCTACCAGGCTTTGGCTTCCTCCTTCATTACCCTCAAGGAAGCTTTGCACCTACTGCCAGCGCACATCCATGTAGAGCTACATGTGCTGTTCCCGTCGCGGCTAGAGGAGGAGCAACTCAAGCTCGGTCCCACGCACGACATGAACGAGTTTGCTGACAGGATACTGACGATCGTATTCGAGCATGCTCGGCTACTTAGGGAGCAAGGTGCTGGTGAGATTGACGGCACATTGAGGAGCGTCCTTTTCAGCTCCTTCAACCAAGACATCTGCACCGTCTTGAACTGGAAACAGCCAAATTGTAAGCCTACTCTCTTGTGTGATCTGGCATAGACTGACAGTACACCTAGACCCAATACTTCTTTGCAATGAGCTCGGCGCGGATACCCTTCAAGCTCCGTCAGGCCCCACGCACGTCGTCCGGAGTAGCGGTCGCACAACTACTTCGGTCAAAGAAGCGGTGCAGATTGCGAGAGACAACAACTTTATGGGGTTGATTTGCAGCTCACGCTTGCTAGTGAGTACCACCTCCTTACGTTGACGTAGGACGGGCATACTAACGAAATCCAGGCACTCGCACCTGCGCTCATTGAGTCGATCAAGACCGCCGGACTTGTTCTCGTCACCGATATCACCGATTCTCCCGAGGATGGCAGTGGCCAGTCGAAACCCGCAGTCGCGCAGCCTCGAAGGCAAGCAACACCTGACGGCGTGGACGGATACTTGCGTGGGAATGGCGTGTTGTGCTTCAACGAGACGGTCGATATGTAGGGCATGCGACAGTCTGCGACGCAAACATCGTAGATCCCAAGGATATAGTTCAATGAGAAAGGAAGATTGGGTCAAGGTGGGAGGATATAACGTTTTTGTCACGTTTTCGCAATGGTTTCCTAGAGGGTGGAGAAAGTGAGGATTAGAAGGATGATCACATCAAATCTCGGAAGTGTGAAGGCGTTCGCGAAAATCTTGATGCGTTTATTTTCGATAAGGAGGTCTACTATGGACGCGAGAGGTAGTAATTGTGATGGTGGTGTAGTGATTTCGCTGACACCAATTCTCCGTCCTGTCGATGATGTCATTCCTAGTAACACGACCAATTAACATTGAATCTAGTAGTCTGATTAGTTGTGTGAGTGTATGTGCATTTAATTCTAGCTTCCAGCATTTCGAGGTCATGCACTCAAGTTGGTTTGCACTGCATAACATTCTGAAGACTACTGTGGTAGCTTCAGCGTGTATCGATAAGTTCTCGACCATTCCGTCATTGGCATGCATGCATGACCAGGGTCCGACGCTAGAACCACCATTGATCGAGAAAATGTCGGAACGACGACACCACTCGCGCCGGGAGATCGCCTCCCACGATTCACCACCTTGCGATAATTAATTACGGAGCACAGTACAGTATCGACTTGCCCTGTGCTTCAAAGTCGTTCACCATGCGATGATGTCGGCGTTGTACTCCTTCTCCCCGCTGCTTCGCCGAAGTGCGTGGACGTGCCGAGCATGTACCCAAGCGGTCACACAACCGAGTTTGGTCGCGAGTAGGATTCAGGGAGAGAGGGGGTTTGCGGGGACGGTGAGGAGTGCGGCAAAGAGCCCAATTGTCAATGCGACGGAGACGAGTGCTAGAGCTCCTGCCAGTGCTGCTGGAGGGGCGGGCGGATCAAATGGCAAATCTGGACCGAAGAGCAAGAGGCGGAGAAGACTGGTGATTGCCGGAGGAGTCTTTACGGTTGGCGCTGCGGCTGTCACTCTGAGCGACGATGCGAAGCATGCATACACGGCGACGAAGAGGAGCTACAGAGTGCTCGAGACGCTGGTGTTGAACATCAGGGAGTACGTATGCTCTATCTATGTATAGGAAGAGAAGTAGCTAACGGCAGTCATGTATAGCTACCGCACTGTCCTTAAGCGCGACGACGACCCCGACTACACCGAGATGCTCAAAGCATGCCACCTCCGCTGCGCCAAACGCACGCTCCGCGCCCTCGAGAAGAACGGCTCGATATTTATAAAACTGGGTCAGCATCTGAGTAGCATGAACTACCTGCTGCCAAATGAGTGGTGCGACACGTTTATCCCGCTGCAAGACAAGTGCCCGATCTCCTCACTGGAGTCGATAGAGGAAATGGTGCTAAGCGACACGGGACTCAGTATATCTGACTACTTTTCAGAGTTCTCACCATTGCCTATTGGCGCTGCGTCGCTGGCTCAAGTACATATTGCGAGGATAAAAGAGACGGGGCAGAAGGTTGCGGTCAAGGTGCAGCATCCTGCGCTGGATGAGTGGGCGAAGCTCGATTTGGCGTTGACGACGTTTTCGTTTTCGACACTCAAGTACTGGTTCCCAGAGTACGATTTGACGTGGCTGTCGGATGAGATGGAACTGTCGCTTCCCCAGGAATTGGACTTTAATCTGGAAGGCAAGAATGCTACCAGGGCGAAGGAATACTTCGCACACGTCAAGGATGTGCCGGTAGTCATCCCGCAAGTTCTCTGGGCGAAGCGCAGGATCTTGGTCATGGAGTATGTTGCTGGCTGTCGTCCCGACGATCTCAAGACGTTGGACGCGCAGGGTATTGATAGAGATGAAGTCTCCGCTGCTCTGGCGCGAATCTTCAACGAGATGATTTTCGGCAGAGACGCCCCGCTACACTGCGACCCTCACGGTGGCAACATCGCGATCAAATACAACCCCAACCGCCGCGGCAAAGCGAATTTCGACGTGGTACTGTACGACCACGGACTCTACCGCGACATTCCACTACACCTCCGCCGGAGCTATGCAAAGCTCTGGCTCGCGGTCCTCGACGCTGACGAAGCGGGCATGCGCCAATACGCCTACGAGGTCGCTGGAATCGGCGAGGAGCATTTCCCGCTCTTCGCATCCGCCATCACGGGCCGCGATTACACCGTGCTCGCCAAGAAAGAGGGCAGTGTAGGCGGCGTCACGACGAGCAGGACGAATGAGGAGAAGAAGGTGATTGGCGATGCGCTTGGCGAGGGCATGTTGGAGAGTTTGATTCAGCTGCTGGGGCAGGTACCGAGGGTTATATTGCTTATTCTCAAGACGAACGATTTGAGTAAGTCTCGCTGCCCTCAAGCATGATTATGAGACTAACGTCACGCAGCGCGATCTCTAGATGAAGGCCTACACACGCGCCAAGGTCCCCTGCGCACATTTCTCATTCTCGCACGATACGCATCACGCACTGTTTATGACGAGGCGCTGGACAACCTCTCTGGAAGCATACTCTGGCCGTGGAATCTTTTTACGTGGTTGGGCGCATGGAGTAGACATATGAGGGTCGAGCTGCAGCTTAGCTCGTACGAGACGTATCTTAGGCTGAGGGCGCTGCTGGGGTATGAGAAAATTGAGGTGGGGAATAGTTTTAGGGAATAGTGATGGGGGGGGGGATGGTGGTAATAGACAAAAGTCAATATTCCGGACCGAGTAGAGACGCGATGTGGTCTGACATGGTGAGGACGTATGCACCCCTGACTGGGATGCGGAGGGTGGTTGCATGTGTAGATGTGGCTGTGCGAGAGATACGTGAATTGGCCCAATAATTCGGAAAGCGCGATAAGACATAATTATCTCGCAGGTTCAAGAACAGTTGCTCTATGCTGCTATCTCAACTCATTACAGAGAAAATGTACGCCTCCAAGTCGGATACAGCGGATCATGCGGAAGATTGGGATGTGGGAACTCTTAGCGTTGCAAGTCGTGGCAAGATGAAGCTGACAAGAGGACATAAGCTTTGGCGATGATGATATGATATCCTACGACATGCTATGTGTATTGTATGATGCAGCTCATGTGACTTGGCAGAGGGGTAACATGAGACAACCGAAAGAAACATGAAGAGATTTGAAGACGTTTCAAGGCGCAAATAAAATGTTCCGTCGAGACTTTTGTGGTGTGGTTGCGGGCAGGGGACGTCATCGATTGCTTGTGTGGGCAGAGCATGATGGGAACACGCGTACGTTATTTTCGGCAACAAGTATGGCTGGCACACTTGGGAACGCGCAGTTGATTGCACCGAATCAAGCTTCCCGAGACGCTCAGTTCTCAGCATCAGGCACATCGGATCCGGCGTTGAGTTGGGCCAAGATCGCATTCGTTCGGTGGGGCAAGCTGCAAGCGCCAAGGCAGCGAGAAGCGCAGGCACCTTGGACAGCTCCAGCGCCCGCGCCCGCGCCCGCGCCCGCGAGCAACAGAAAAGAGGGAAGACGCAGGATTGCACAGCGATTGCTCAGGATTGCATAATCGCGCAGGCCCCAGCAGCGTCGAGTGGCGGCCCTTTTTCGTCGGCCAGCATCCCGAGAGCGCGCGCTCGCCGCCTTTGTAACGGGGCGCACGGTTCGTCCCTCTCGCAAGCACAGCCTCCTCCACCCAAGCCCTCGATCATCACGCCCGCCGCAGCAGCCCTGGGGTCTGCCGACGTAACCAGCAACCACGCCCAGAGTGAGACGCCCACAACACCACGGCGAGCTCTGAGAGCCGCACCTCTCCCGCCCTCCCCTCCCCTCCCCACCACAGCGTCTGCCCGCACATAGGCCGCCCATCTGCGCATCATGGACGGCGCGGGACAGCCCAACTTGCGCATTACCAGTGCGTCCTGCCGCGACGATGCGCCGCTCTGAGCTGAACGACAGGGACTGACACTGCATAGTTATTGCCGCCGACGGCCTCTACAAGCGCGATGTGTTCCGTAGGTGCTGCAGCCGTGAGACTGCGTGACATGCCACTTACAGGTGCCGCACAGGATTCCCGGACCCCTTCGCCGTGGCCACGATCAATGGCGAGCAGACGCGCACGACGAGCGTCATCAAGAAGACGCTGAACCCCTACTGGAACGAGAGCTTCGACATGTACGTCACGGGAGTGCTGCGAGTCCCGCCGCGCTGCAGCGACACAGGCTAACACGCGCAACAGGCGAGTCAACGAGGAGAGCGTGCTGGCCGTCCAGATATTCGACCAGAAGAAGTTCAAGAAGAAGGACCAGGGCTTTCTGGGTGTCATAAATGTCCGCATCGGCTCCGTCATTGACCTGGACGCGGGCGGCGATGGTATGTCGTCCACTCGTCCACTCGTCCACTGATCGGCACGACGTCAGGCACAGGACTAACGTTACCACAGAGATGCTTACCCGCGACCTCAAAAAGTCAAACGACAACATGGTCGTGCATGGCAAGCTCATCCTTAACCTCTCCACTAACCTGGCCACCCCCATCAGCCAGGGCACAGCCAACGGCGCCCGTCCCACGGCATCCCCGCACCCGTCCGTGAGTGGGCCCGCAGTGAATGGTGCCTCGACGCCGCAGCAGTCGACCCAGAACCTACATCCCGATGCCTTCCCCGGCCAGGCACGACCGCCCGTTGCTGCGCAACCCCCTGCCCACCGTCTCAGCGCGACCTCGGTGCCGTCGACCGCTGCACCCCCAATGTCGGCGCCCAATGGAGCTCCGCCGCAGAACCGGCCAAACGGCGGCGCATACAGTGCCTTTGAGGACGACCGAGGGCGGCTACCGAACGGCTGGGAAAGGCGCGAGGACCATCTGGGCCGTACCTACTACGTCGACCACAACACCAGGCAGACAACCTGGATACGGCCAGGCGCAGGATTCAGCCAGACGGACTCGCAGAATGCCATGGCCGCGCAGACCCAGCAGGAACGCACCCGGCATCAGAATCGTATGCTGCCGGAAGACCGCACTGGAGCTAACTCACCCACCCTCACTGACCGTCAGCCATCACCCCCAGCGGCTGGGTCTGCCAGTGCAGTGAGCATGATGGCCACAGGCGCAACCACTGCTGGAACAGGAGAACTTCCGTCGGGATGGGAGCAAAGACACACTCCCGAGGGACGGCCCTACTTTGTTGACCATAACACGCGGACAACGACATGGGTCGACCCGCGCCGACAGCAGTACATTAGGATGTATGGCGGCCAGAGTGCAAATGGCAGCACAATCCAGCAGCAGCCCGTATCTCAGCTCGGACCACTACCATCAGGATGGGAAATGCGACTTACCAACACAGCACGAGTATACTTCGTCGACCACAACACGAAGACTACCACATGGGACGACCCGAGGTTACCGTCTTCGCTCGACCAGAATGTGCCCCAGTACAAGCGTGATTTCCGCCGCAAGTTGATCTACTTCCGATCGCAACCAGCACTGCGCATAGTTAGTGGACAGTGTCATGTCAAGGTGCGACGAACCCATATCTTCGAGGACTCGTACCACGAGGTTATGCGGCAAAGCGCTGCAGACCTGAAGAAGCGACTCATGATCAAGTTTGACGGTGAAGACGGTCTGGATTACGGAGGTCTTTCCCGAGAGTTCTTCTTCCTGCTTTCCCACGAGATGTTTAACCCCTTCTACTGCTTGTTCGAGTACTCCGCACACGACAACTACACGCTGCAGATCAACCCGCATTCTGGCATTAATCCCGAGCATTTGAACTACTTCAAGTTTATTGGACGAGTTGTTGGTCTGGCCATTTTCCACCGCCGCTTTTTGGACGCGTTTTTCATTGGGGCTTTCTACAAGATGATTCTCAGGAAGAAGGTTTCGCTGCAGGATATGGAGGGTGTGGATGCGGATTTCCACAGGAATTTGGAGTGGATGCTGTGAGTTCGCGTGACAGCTTAGGAAAGATGTGAACTGACAAGATGCAGGAACAACGACATTACTGACGCCCTTGAGTTGACATTTGCCACAGACGACGAGCGCTTTGGTGAGACTGTCAGCATTGAGTTGAAGCCAGGCGGTGAGGAGATTGAAGTCACAAACGAGAACAAGGGCGAATACGTCGAGTAAGTGCCATCTATCGAAGTGACCAATCGACATGCTAATCCATATAGGCTTATCACGGAGTGGCGGATTCAGAAGCGCGTCGAAGAGCAATTCCAGGCCTTCATCGCCGGCTTCCACGAGCTCATCCCCGCCGACCTAGTCAACGTCTTCGACGAGCGCGAGCTCGAACTGCTCATCGGCGGTATCGCCGACATTGACGTCGAAGACTGGAAAAAGCACACCGACTACCGCGGCTACACTGAAAACGACGAAGTTATCCAAAACTTCTGGAAGTGCATCCGCAGCTGGGACGCCGAGCAGAAATCGCGCCTGTTACAGTTTGCAACCGGTACTTCGCGTATTCCCGTCAATGGATTCAAGGATCTGCAGGGAAGTGATGGGCCTAGACGGTTTACGATTGAGAAGGCCGGCGAGCCGAACCAGTTGCCGAAGTCGCATACTTGGTACGTTGAAATGAGATTGAGTGGACGTGGAGTGGATACTAACGATGAGATAGTTTCAATCGTCTGGATTTACCCCCGTATAAGACGTTCGAGGCGCTTAATCAGAAACTCACCATTGCGGTGGAGGAGACGGTTGGGTTTGGACAGGAGTAAATGCAGAAGGAAAGGAAGGAAGGAAGCAGTTATGTACAAAAGACGGACATGAAAACAACTTTGTCAGAAGAAAGTAAAGCGGTTTTTGGAGCGGCCAAGTGGAATTCGTATATGGAAATGGGAATCCTTGTTTAGGAGCATTCTTTCCTCTGAAAGATGTCTCTTTTGCCTGGTCATTGTATTGCGACATGTATAGGCGTTTATGGGGGGTTTGTAGGATGTGGATAAGTGAATGAATCGAAAGGCTGGCGTGGGTTGTTTGAATTGATGGAGTTTGGTGTGAGATGAAGGCAGTGAAGAATTAAGTGAAGTTTCTGGTGTGTGTTTGGACGTGTTTCTCTTTCTTCGGGGCATTAGCTGTTGCACCCAATCATAGCAAACCCACGCCGCAATACGCGCCGCTCATCACTCTGCGTTGCCTGACTCCGTGAGGAAAGCAGTTGCAATCATCTAACCTTCCCACCACGATAGCCAACGTGGATCTCTGCACTCGTCGACCGCCATTATGAATCAAGGGCCTCCGCCGCCGCTTCCGCCTCCACCTGCGCCGTCTCTACTGCCTTCACATCCTTCACCTCCCTCTTCTCGTCAAGAAGTCTCAAAGCCGATACCAGATACTACAATGCAGCCGTCACCACCACCTCCTCCTCCACTCCTGAACACGCCATTAAGCACGGCGGACCCGGAATCTCCACCATCGCCACCACGTCCCGTGTCATCCTGGATGCCCACCAAAGCGCAAATGTATGAGGCTTTCAAAGGCTTGAGAGTGGACGAATTCGGCCGCGAATTCCGCCCCTTGCACATGTTCTTCTACGGCTCACTCATGGACCCCGACGTCCTCCAGGCAATTCTCAACTTGCCAGACCTCCCGACAATGCAGCCTGCCACCATCACGGGCTACCGTATCAAGATGTGGAGTATATATCCTACTCTGGTACCTAGTAGCAGCTCTGAGGGCGGAAGCGTAAAGGGAATGCTGTGGGAAACGACCTCGGACAAGCAGATCGAGCGGTTGGCGGCTTACGAGACTGCTGCTTACAAGTCGGAGGAGTGTGAGGCGGTTTTGACAAGTGGAGAGGTGGTCAAGGCGTGTCGGACTTTTTGTTGGGCGGGACGGGGGGATAGTCGGGAACTTGAAGAAGGCAGTTTCGATCTCGAATGGTATCAGAGGTGCTTCAAGCCTTCTGTGATGAGGCGGCGCGAGACAAGTTCGTGAGCAATGGTTTGGAAGCAGGGTGTGGAGAGCGGGCAATCGTGGGTTCGATTGAGGTGGAATATAAATGCGTCGTCGAAATTAGTTTCTGGTCTCGAGAGATTTGTGCAAGTGTGTTTGAACACAGAGGAAGATGTCGCCGGTTTGCGATGTCACTGGAATGTGTCCAGGCTTTCCTGGAATTTTCCAAGAATCGTTGCACACATTGCAGGAACGCATTGGGAATTAGGGGAAATACTTTTCAGAGGTACCGTGAGCTGTGCCACACGTGACATATACGAGGCGCGTCTGTAGTAAGGCACACAGGATGTCTCACCGAGATAAGTCATCATGCAATCAGGTAGGTATTCAGTCCATTCAGGGTGAAAAAGATATGTTAGGGAATGAGATTCCGGATAGGGATGACGTAGGTCAATGATTGAGGTCGTGTAGGAGATGCAAAGCTACCTAGGTAGCTGTTATGATAAAAATGGGCGCTCTTTTTCTTTGCGGCAGCAACATCTGTTACACATCTGTCTCGTTCATTTTGCAACAGTGGCTGCTCAGGGTTCCTTCCAAGGTTATTACGCCACGTGACAAAAGATCGCTAGACCTCAGCCTTCCGAGTTGCTGCAGCCTGATGACCTTCTCCAACTTCGCGACATCATTCGGGGAAGGACAAGCTTGCTTCTTGAGCTGCACAGTCTGCGCGTACCCTTTTCTTCATGATTCATTGCGACAGCTCGCCGGCAATCCACCAACATGCGCCTTCTGCGCCTTGAAGGTGACGATGGGTTCAGCCTGGTCGAATTCTTCGGCAGTGACTTACCGCCATACGCCATTCTGTCACATACTTGGGGAGCGGACCGGGATGAAGTCACCTTTCGAGACTTGACAGAGGGTACAGGCAAGGAGAAGGCCGGTTATCGCAAACTTGCCTTGTGCAGAGACCAGACTGCGAAAGACAATCTCGAGTACTTCTGGGCAGACACTTGTTGCATCGACAAGTCTTCTAGCGCTGAGTTGTCGGAAGCTATCAACTCGATGTTCGCTTGGTATCGTAAATCTGTCGTCTGTTATGCGTACCTGTGGGATGTTGTGGATAAACCGCCATGTGGTGCAGAAGACACGAATCGAAATGCGAAAGAGTGTGTATGTACACCTGAGAACTGGACGAATAGCCGCTGGTTCAGTCGAGGCTGGACATTGCAGGAACTCATTGGCCCAAAGGCCGTAGAGTTCTACTCCAGAGACTGGAGCATGATCGGAACAAAAGCCACACAGTCAAAACGCATCTCACAGCGAACGGAAATTCCGGAGCGTATATATTAAACGGCGATAGTCTGCACTCTTGCTCTGTAGCTCAAAGGATGTCATGGGCCGGCGGCCGCAGTACCAAAAGAGAAGAAGACGAAGCCTACTGCCTCCTCGGAATCTTCGACATGAACATGCCATTGATATATGGTGAAGGCAAAAAGTCGTTTGTTCGTTTACAGCTAGCAATCTTGGACCAGGAAGAAGACTACAGCATCCTTGCTTGGTCCCGTATGAAAGATGACAATTCATTGACAGGGCTACTCGCGTCTTCTCCTCTAGACTTCTCCACGAAGACTCATTCAGGCACTCGAAAGACAAATCGAAGGAGACCTCAAATTCCCAAGGTATCGTATACTAAATCCACGGCAAGAGCATTCTTTCGAAGGTGGGTGCCGCAGAGCAATCTGCCAGCACTTTTGGCAGTACCTTACTACCGTCTGCTCAACACGGATTACGAATCTTTACAGTCATATGTACCTTCCAGAGCCGGCTTGAGAACCGGTGAAAAACTTCCTGATTGCATTTCAGTGAAAGTCCCAAGTGTACCAGTGCGAGCGACTAGCCGAGGTCTTCACCTTTCTCTACCAGTCAGAATGTCAGATGATCCAAAGGTTCATTCGATAGCTTGGATCTACTGTATCTATCAAGGCCGCCTTCTCTGCATCCTACTACGACAAAGCGACTCCACAGTCTTCGCCCGACATTCTCCTACATGGCTATTCACCGTTGATGCCAAGTTTTTGAAGGAATTTGAGATGCAAGAGGTTTACTGTCACGTGTCTAGTCCAGTCATTCCAATGGGAGGTATAAGTGGCTCGTCACATGTCTTCCACATTGGTCTGGCGGAATTAGGCAAAACTGAAGAGGCAGCAGAGATTCGCAGAATCCGCAAAGAGTCGAGCAAGAACAGAACGAAGATTACAAAAATCCGGGCGCTCATCAGCGACCTTCGACACATCGATCCAGCCAATGTGACCGTGCTTGATCGAATAGATGTATGGTGGTTGGACCGCCTCAAGATCTACATAGAGGACAAAACAGCAAGCTCCTGGAATTGGGCGCCATTGCAACCTCCCCGACGGCCGTGCACAACAGATTTGTGGCATCTGGAATGGAAATGTGTAAGCTGAACATGTTCTGATGGGCCAATTGTGGCATCGTGGGTTAACTTTGGGATAGATATGCGGCGAACAAAAATGGGCCCAAACTCGCAAGAGTTTCGCTCAAGGCGTGTTGCGATTAATAGCACAAACAAGCGATAAACGGCCCCCGATTGACGCATTCAAGTCTCCAAATGTATTGCTGCTTGGAGACGGGCGTGTGATAGTTCGGAGAGCTCTACACGAATCCACTCCCGCTGAAACCTTTCATGCCTTGAGAAACAAGTACTTCCAAAATCGCGGAGTTCTGCGTCGTATCTTTAGTGTGTGCAAATATTCACGTGGTGAATTTATAGAGTTCAGCGATTTTAGCGAAGTGACCGATAAGGGGCAACTTGGGTGGGGATTGGAGGTTCGTGAGGAGTTTTCACTGGTACGTGTTCTTTTGGCCGCGCTCGTGGCTCCGTTCGCTTTCTTCGTGATTGGGTTTAAAAATTGGAACATTCAGAATGCTTCAATACCCCTGATTACCTCGTTAGGATTATTGACAACATTAATTTGGGCGATTGGAGGGGCCGTTGAGAGGTATTCAATATAGGTCTAGAGCGCCAAGTTAGTGCATACCGCAACAGTTTATACTGAGTTAAAGACGCTTGAGAAATTGGGACATTGGTTTTCAGCTCAGATGTCTTCAGTGTTGAACACGGTTTCGTCGTTAGGTACATAGGGACACGAAATGGGACGCTCTGATCTCATTGTTAGCTCGGCAAAGCTTTCCCTCTCGCTGGAGGCTGTTACTATCATGTCTCCTAGGAAATATTGGATGTCTTATGAGTTTACTGGAAGCGTCATAGTTCACTCGCGCACAATGTTGCGCAGGCAGAAGTTGGATCACCCCGAGCGCCCTGTCTGGACATCATAAGAAGCCCAACACTTCCCACTTGCATTATAGCACAACTCACGACTAGATCTACTACAACCCCAACTCGACTATCAACCTCATCTGTACTTCTTACTGCAAGGAAGTTTGAAGCACAGGCTTGAAACTTCACCACTCACACCCCTGGACACTCAAACGTTACCCCAACTTCCTTTCCCTCAACCAGGCTTCAAGGAAGATATGACCAACGCCCAAGACATTTCTTCCAAGCAAGCACACCACAACTCAGTGCGTACGTCGCGCCCAACGACTGCGAAACATGACGAGCAAGCGGAGCTTTACAAAACTGCTAACGAAGCTTACGCCCGCAACCGCCATCTACCATTTCTCGTAACACACGATCATAGCCGACCTTCAACAGAACCCGTAACCCGTGTGCCGTCTAATTTCGGATGGAAGTGGAATACAGTTGAGATTAGGAGTGAGATCTGGGCGGGATGGCCATGGGATGTTGTTGGGAGGGAGGAGAATCACTATCTGGATGTTATTGAACGAGTTGGGAAGGTAAAGACTGCTGTGGAGGCGGCAGAGGCCGAGGAGGCGGAAGTACCAAGAGCAGCGGAAAATCATCATGGCGCTTTCCATATGCGGGAACCAGGTGTGGAAGCATATGACACTCCACCTCAGACTGGTAAATCGCCCACTCCAAAAAGAAAGCACGTCGAACCATCCCCTTCCACTTCTTCACATGTTGCGGTGAAGAAGTAGAAGACACTCCATCTACCACAGGATACAGTGTCGCTGGATGTGTACTACCCGGAACTTCCACAGCTCGACCCTTCGTCTGGGGCTAGCTTCTTAACAATCCCGGATGAAGAAGTCCCTGAACTTGCTGATGCGAACACTGAAGACGAAGGAATCACTGAAGTTGTAGAGCCGAGCTTCTCGACGGCAGCGCAGGATGAGGAGACGGTTAGAGTTGAAGATGATGCAGGCGATAAATCGATCCAAAATCCGCCCCCTGGGGCGGCTTTGACGAGTTCAGAAAGCGCAAGTGGAAGCAGGCGCCGATGAGCTGGAAGCGTGCTACGTTCGCGCTTCGATATTCTTCACATAAAGCACCTGAGTTGGAGACAGTGCCAGGAGCCCAGAATGAAGGGAACGGTTAGGTAACCACTCACGAAGGTCACGACGCGGTTTACGGCGAGGACCATTGGTAAAACGGTAGAGATGGAGTGTGGGTGATGATTTTGAACGATGGCGGGAAGTAGACACATGTGATCGTCACGGATATGTATGATGATATTTCAATTCATGCTTGGCACAATTCGTTGGGTAATTTCATGTTTCGGAAGCAGTGCGCGTGCACGTGTCTTGCCTGGTTTATTATTTTATCAGTCAAGATGCTGGCATCACATGCGCGAAATAAGATGTAATGGAATGTATGTGCAATTTTAGGAAGTATATTACATTGAAAGATTGGTTACGGAAACGACTAGAATATCCTATGAGACTTCATCTGTCCGCTTGCGAGTTTTAGGAAACACCCCGGGATATATAAACGAAAGAAAAATACAACACGTCAACAATTTTAAGCCTTGAGCTCGTTCTCCGCAGCAGCTTCGTCGCTGCTTCGGTGGCCGTTGTGCTTGGGCGCTCCGGTTATGCTCTCGGTGCCCATATCCCAGTCCATGGCCAAGTCCTCAAGGGTGCGGCGCTTGGTCTCAGGAATCAAGAGAGTGGTGAAGATACCAGCGAACATGAATGCGGAGAAGATCTGCATGACGTGGTTGAGCCATGGGCTGGCGTTGTCCTTTGTAGCGCCGCGGGTACGGAGGGGAGCGATAGCGCCCTGAGCGATGATGGAACCAATCTTGCCAGAACCGGCAGAGATACCGTGGGACGTTGAGCGGTATCGGGTCGGGAAACACTCGCCGGGCACAATGAAGGTTGTCGTATTGGGGCCCCAGTTGAAGAACAGCTGGATCAAGACATAGATAGCCATCATGCCGTGGCCGCTGATGTGGTGGTAGGCGAAACCCCAAATCAAGAAGAGGATGGTCAGGAAGACGAATCCGATCAGCTGGAGAGGCTTGCGGCCTACAGTGTCGATGGTGGCAACGGCGAGCCAGTAACCAGGGATAGCACCAGCGCAAATCAAGATACAGTTACCAGCTGCGAGGTTGTAGAGCTTGTGGTAAACCGTGGCACCACCTCCGTAGCCGATAGCCTGGAGGACGGTGGTGCTGTTGAGACCGAGACCGTAGAAAGCGACATCGAGGAGCAACCAAGACATGGCGGTTCCGAACAGAATCTTGCCGTTCTTGAGCTTGCCGTAGAAGCGGAAGAAGTCGGACCAGGAAGCCACGGGGACCTCGAGCTGTTGGACCGATTGACGACGAGCAGCCACCTGGAGAGCCTCATCAGGGTGGCCCTCACCTTTCTGCCCGGAAATGTAGTGCTTAACGTCCTCGTTCGCCTTCTCGACGTCACGAGCAACGTCGAAAGTGTAGCGCGGGGTTTCAGGAATGGTGAGACGGAAGTAGAGTGCGATACACGCGGGAACGATACCGATACCGATTAGGGCACGCCACATCTTGTCGACGGCAATCTGGCAGTCGCCAGTGCACTTGCCGTAGGCGGTGGCCTGGTTGAGTTTGCCCTTGAAGCCAGTAACGAGGCAGACCATGACGACGGCTCCACCGAGCTGTCCGAAACCCTGCATGGCGAACACGGCACCCATCATAGCACCACGCCACTTAGTGGTCGCGAACTCAGAGGTGATGATGGATGAAAGAGGGTAATCACCACCGATTCCTGAAATCTGTTAGCATACGGAATGGCAAGCCAGTCACACAAAAAACATACCGATACCCATGAGAACACGCCAGAAGATGATCAGTCCAACGACCGAAGTACCGGGACCAGGGCCAACCAGAGATTGAGCAAGAGTGGCAACGATGATAAGGATCAACTCAAGACCGTACATCTTCTTACGGCCAACGATATCAGCAAGCGCACCGAATCCGACCTGGCCAATGACAGTACCGGCCGAGGTGGAGAGCTTGATTGCAGTATCTTGTGGTGTTGTGAGGGCGCCCTTGTGGTATACGATACCCAACATGATCGTCAAGAGCGACACGCAGAAGATGTCGTACGAGTCTGTGAAGAAACCTGTGCCGGCGACTAGAATGGCGCGAATGTGGTACCAGCCGAAGGGCGCCTTGTCGATTTCCGCGAGCGCAAGACGACGGCGCTCATTTGGGTCTTGGATGTGGGCAAAATCCTGTCACAATCAGCATATTGCGCAAACCTCAGCATCGACAGAAAGCTTACATTGTTGAAGTTGTGGAAGGCACTGTTACCTCTCCGCGGTCTTATTAACAGCCAGTCATGGTGAAGCTTTGCCGAGACAATGCCTAGAAAGTCAAGATTTTAGGCGAGGGCTTGTCTGTCGTTGATGGACAAAGGAAGCCGGGGACACTTTGGAAGTTATATATCCGAGCATACATGCCAAAGCGCACATGCTTACTGCGGTGCTGCTTACCTGTATTTCCGGCAGCCAATAGCGATAGCCCCTCGACGCACGCAGCTAGAATTTGACATGCCGGCGCGGGCTCGCCGTGGATACCTACCTACACGCAAAACAAACTCGCACTCATTCACCAGTGGACAGCATCTGTCGCAAGCCCAGGCCGCCACAGCGATTCTTAGTTGCTTGCGGTCGCGGAGCCGTCATCTTCTTTGGGTGCGTGGGGCAGGTGTGGTGAGGTTGGGGTGTTTAGGGGCTGTCACCCCCAGTTTCAACCAATGAAGGCCCCACGTGGTGCGCTACCACAACGCTAAGATCACGTCTGGAACATCTTCTTTCAACCACACGCCGCCTGGAATGGCACGGTTCGACGCTTTTTCGCCCTATCCAGAAGCTTGAGTTGCTTGCATTGGCTTGGTATGATATTGTGGCTTGCAAATCAGTCGACTGATTGAAAATACCGATACGCTACCTTCGAAAAGCTGATCCTTGCGTCTCGAGTCCGCTAACGTTGCTCAACAATGGCAGCATGATGCTCTCGTTGCATCGGAGCTGATCCTATGGCAAGGCAAACCTGTGATCCTTCACCGACGGCCTAATCTGTTGTCCACAGCGCAGGTTTTCGCCCTGTGTCGGTACATTCGGTCCCTTCGTACCGCCAGTCTGGTCCAGTCTAATTGCTTACCTCCCGTCTATTGGACGGAGTTGCCGCAAAACGAAGGGTCATCGTGGCACTGTTGCCGGAGACTGTCTGCCATCTCCATCGATTGGGTGGACCTAGGATCCATAGCGAGACTGCAGTTGCATGCAAACAGGAGATGAGTAGATCCTGGCGAGCGTCTCAGTGAACATACTGCTCGTCTATGTCTGTGGCTTGCTCAACTCAGCGATCGAAGACTTGGACCCATGACCTGAAGTCTGTCCGATTACCAAATTTGAAAAGCACTATTGCAATTTTCCGTTCGAGAACCTCAAATTATCACCAGTCATCGCATGACCTCCAGGATCCGAACAAACATCCCTGGTAGTGGAGCTTTCTAGTGTACTGCAGGGCACGATTACGGTTCCGACCACCAGGTCTCGCGGGTACTGCGGTGCGCCAACACGCGAAAGAGCCGAGCAACAATAGCCCTGCTTCTACACCGTAGATCTGAAGTATTGTTTTTCATGGCTCGAGCGAAAATCTCAGAAAATCTCATGATCAAGGCACCTCCATGACGAGAGCCTCTCTTGGCATCGACCTCGGCTTGGGGACTCCATCGCATGCGGCACCAAGCTTCATCGGCGTTTGCACCATTCACGTCTGGCACCCCTTGCACGTTGTGGTAGATCACTGATAAGGGACACCCAAATACCATCACTATGATGCTTGAAGATCTCCAGATCTCCAGATCTTCCTAGAAGCAGATCATAGCATACCACCATTACAAAGACGTCCCAACTACGGCTGATCGACTCTTACCGGCCTTTATCCGGTCCACACATCGATCTTCGTCAACGTGCCGCTATCGAGCTTAAACAGTACAGCCACGATAACCAAGACGTCTTGGCAAATGCTAAAAGTCGTGGAGTTCGACCTGGTCTACCACTGTATTATCACGCTTGGTATATCATGCCAGATGGATCGACGCTAACTCACCGGTGTTGTCTGCACCTGCCAGTGCAAACGAAAAGCATTATGGGCAACATTTCAGTACCATTAATCTGGGCTGCAGGACTCTCGAAAGCTTCACAAGATTTTGCGCATCTCACACTCCATGAAGGATGCACTGACGACGACCATAACACAAAAAAAAACTTCGGAGAGGGAGCAGAAGATAGCCTTTCTGAGCATTGGCAACTTCGCAACCGCCGGCATAGCAGCTTGTGCCAGACACACGCATTGGGTTCGAAGCGTCGGAGAGGTCAAGAAGAAAACAGAATATATACAACTAAACTCTATCACTTGAGTAAGGCGAGTACCACCAATCTAGATTCTCAATTCTCGCTTCTCACCCGCTTAGTACGTCGGTGTCAAGCTTGCATCCGCATTCTTCACCAACATCTGCACATACGCGTCGAACCACGCACCTGCCGCTGGTGCTCCCTCAAGACCACACGCTCCATCACTCTCGCCACCGGGCTTGATCCACACAATGCTGTCAATGTGCGTGTTGTTTGTCTTGGTTCCTGGTACTGGTCCGAAACCTGAGGGCTCGACATTGCACCACTCGCCCCACTCAGCCCTCGCGCCTGGCTGCGCTACACGGCCTTGATCGATGATGAAGTTTGAAGGCATACCTTCAGCCTCGAGATAGGCTCCGAGGGAAGTGGCGTAGTGTGACTCGTCCCACGAAGGAGAGTATTCAGTGTAGTTCTCGCGCACGACAGCGTTGGCAGCGTTGTAGTTGGATACGTTGGTTGAGTAACCCCTAATTTTGGCCAATGGGTTGATCTTCTTCGCCATCTCGACGACCTTCGCGAAGATCTGTGCAGTCGGCTTCAGGTTGTCTGCCCAACCGAGCCAACCTCCGTGAGCGGCGTCCAGGTACAGGCTCACATTTGGGAATTGCAGCTTGGCAATGGCGTAGGCGATACCTTGCTCGTAGACGGGCGTGGCGGTCGCGCAGAAGGGAACGCCTTGATTGGTGATGGCGTTGCCAAGGGAGTCGGGCTCCAGAACGATGGCGAAGTCGAGATCAGGGGCTGAAGAGACGGCTTTGGCGTACGCGTCGACAAACTCTTTTTTGTAGATCTCAAGGCCGTTCTTGGCGATGCTCAATTCTCCGGCTGATTCACCAGCAGAGCAATCTCTGTCGGGGAGGTTGTATAGGACGAGACCGACGATGACGCGCTTGTTTCCCTTGCGCTGGGAGCGGGCCTCCTTGATGACATCGTAGATGGTGGAGACAAGGGCCCGAGTTGTCACCCAGTGGAATGTCGATATGCTTTTCTGAACGGTACGCGTCTTTGCGGCATTGAGTGTGTCGTTCTGCGCCTTGAAAGAAGCAATAGTCTGATCGAGCTTCTTGCTGTAAGACTGCACAACGTAACGATCCTTTCCAGGCCACGGGTTGGAGGTCTTGTTGCTAGGCACTGGCATCTGCACCGGCGGTTTTGGTGCAGCGGATTGCTTTGGGGGATGAGCCGATACAGCGCCAGCAAGGGCGGCAGTCGCCAGAACGAATTGAGTGAGTTGGACCATGTTGGAGTATCTTGAAGAGAATGGCACGAGCGATGCTGAACTGTCTGAAACAAACATCCAGGTACCCCAACACCTTAAGTACTCAACCCCTAGCCCTTTACCCTGCAACTCGAAAGAACTCACGCAATCATGTGCTTTACTTCCAAGGCCTGCTTGGATCCATCTTCTTCCCGCGGACCCATCGTCCATCCTCATCTCCTGTCCACGAACGGTACCGTCGGCCCGCCATTCTCGGCCAATCCCACCACAGTAGTCAAGCAGCAAGGGTCCTCCGCACGCAGCTTTCCCCATATCGCGGCGCAGTCCGCTGCGTCCCATAAGCAACCGACAAAATAGTTCCTCTACCATTCCACATCAAACGCAAGTTCGCCTCGACAAAATAAAGTGCCATGCGAAGTGAGATTAGCCAAGAGCACATATGCCGGGTAAGTCCTGCTTGTCGTAATCTAATCGTGCAGTTTACCCGGATCCCTACCCCAGAACACATTCCCCAGACCTGTGGTTCTGCAGATGCACGACGCGTTTTTATTGGCGCAGCGGTCTCGGCTGGTGTGGTGTATATTGCACTTGAGTAGGGTGCGAATCTCGCCTTGCAGCAGGTTATGCATGTGTAATGTGTGGAAGATTCGAAGGGGGCTTCTAGCGTCATATTTAGCGCGCGACCTGAGGCTGAGGTCGAGATGCGTGCATTAGGATACAGGCGTGCTGAGGGCATGGTGCATTTGGTGATCGTGCCGCTGCAGATCTGAAGTGGTCGTCTACCGTATTCAATCTACGCAGCTCTTTCAAGAGCGTAGCGAATCCAGAGAGGATTGGTAACGATCTCACGTACAGTCGCAAGTACTTTGGATGTTTCTGTGACAGTCCTTCCATTTTGGCTTCTTAGGGAAGGTCAATCACGCGTCCGTGCTGCGGCTCAGTTTAGTTCCGTTGACGCTTCTGTCATATATGGAACGGGTCGTTGTCCTATAAGCGTTAGAACGCGATAATATGCTCATCGTAGACTAGAGAAGTGGACATGCAAGTCGCCATAAAATAGACAACCGAGTAGCGCCAGACTTTCATTGGCGGGGCATGACTCGCACACCAACAATTGGCAAGTCTTCGCAGAGTGTATCGGGCTCATTCACGGCCTAAGTAGAAAGGACAGTCTTTATCTAGGGGACTGAGAATGTGATCGAAAGACCTTGAGGCCTTAGCATCCTTTCGTGATGCAAATTCACTCCTTGATTGGGACGAGCGCACGTGGGGTGGGCTGCCAAGGCGCGACTGCGTGTCATCCTTCACTCATTCCGCACACAGGTCTAACAACAACCAAGTCCCTAGTTTACCGACCCAGCACCATAAGTATTTGACACATGTCAGTATGCCTGTCTTAGAGATTACTCAGCTTCGTCTGAAGAGTGTTCCCGCCAACAACCCTTCACTGCTCCAAAACCTCTCAGCGGTGCGAGAACAATTGCAGACCAAGTCTCAATTCTATACATGCACCGAAGACTCCACGAAGCTGTATATTCTGGGCATATGGCGAGATGTGAATCAACATCTTGACTTCCTCGCTTCTCCAGCGCGAGACGAAGTTTTGGGACCTCAGGAGGACATGCTTGACTTCGAATGGACAGTCCACATCGAAGTAGACGGAATGGAATCATTGCCGCTAGATGCTCCAGTCTTAGCTATTGAAAGACTGGTCTTGAACGGGAATGGCGTGCTCGTATTCGAACAGGCTATTGAGGGATATGTGCAACAGCTCCAGGGCAACACCTCGTTCAAGATTGTTCACAATTGGCGCTGCGACACAGCATCGCCGAAAGCTGAGGCAGTCTTCTTGACTGGATGGCAGAACGTAGAAGACGATGTCGGCTTCTCGAAGAGGTTGCGGGATCGCGGCGGCCTCGAGACTGCAGGCATTGTCGGACAGATACTGCTGCATCATGCTAAGAATCTTGAGCGGAAGGATGTGTAACAAACATGGCATCTTCCATTCGTAAAAGGGATATCTAATGCATCGAACATAAGGGCACTTGAGCAAGCCTCGGTTGGATTATACAGAACAAGGATGCTAGACTCGGATCTTACTTTTTGCCAATGCAGGAGTCTTGCGGAAGCCGGCTGTCAACGTCTTTCGACAAAAGAAAATAGCATTACAGCTCATCATGCCCATCTTCATCCTCCGCTGCGTCTCCAAACGTCTGTCCCGCACTCGCCTTCCCCCGCAAAATCGTCATCAACATATCCTCGATTGCGGCGCCTTCAATCTTCTTGCCCTGCGCATACTTGAAGATCTGATCATTCATCGGCGCATGTACGACCAATGCCTGCTCGCCAACCATCTCTGTTCCGAAGTTCGCTGGCATGTCAGGATATTGGGCCAAGTCGACGACGGCGAAGGTGACGTGGCTTTGCAACTTCTTGGCAGTTGGGGTGAGTTCGCGGCGGATGGACACAGTGTCGGTGGTGTGCGTGAAGATGTATACGGTGAGTTTGTCGCGCTGCATGAATGTTGACAATTCTTTCTCGCTGAAGTCTTTGATGACGCTTTTCCTGGCAGTGAGGAGGAAGGCTTCGATGTTCTCCTGCGTGAATGGTCCATCGAGCGATAAGTTGTCATTGTCGTTGTTCCGGTAACACATGATTGATGGAACTTTCACGCTTTCCTTCTCCGCAATGGCTGAATCAGTCGAATAGCCAAACACGAAGTCTAGATGATTTTTCTGCGCGACAGCTTGGTAGGTTTCGAGATTTTCCGTATCTGATGGGTCCAGAAAGGCGACGAAGACGACGTCATCGATGCGCCGGAAATCCTTATCTTCAGGGCCGAGTTTCGACAAGACTGGCAACTCGTGCTTTCTGACAAAAGACATCAGTGCCTTCACAGTTCTTGGACCTCTGTATCGCGTCTCTTCCATCTTCTCATCATCTTTCTTGCGCTCCAAGAGACGGAAGGTAGGAAACGAATTTACATCATATTTCTGACATGGTGATATCCCGATGTGGCAATCCATGCTTATGAACGGTGTTGAGACATCTTCGGCGGCCTTTGTGAATATGTCGTTCAGCGGAGCGATTGAATCCAATGCTGTTGATGTAAACGATACGAATACTCTCTCATGTTCTTTGAGAAGGTCGTTGAATTGGAATTCGGAGGGATATTCGATGAGTTTTGCCAATGATAGGGCTGGCAAGCAGCCTAATAGTGTAGTGGTACGCATTTTGAATTTCGAGAATTGGAGAGATACGGGAAGGAGGAAACTCTTAATGGACGATATAAATCTCGGCTTGTTCGCGGAAATATATCGTGTTCTTCGATGAAGATCAGGTACGATGTGCACGTGTCCTAACTGTTGTCGAACTCGCCATGTTTCAGATTTATCACCCTGCGCCCAGATCTAACAAATTCGCCTACAGAACTTGACAAGGCTTATGTCGAATTGCGACGCGCATTCAATTATATTGAACCTGTTTTGCACAGTACTTCAGCGATTCGACTCTCGCGAATTTAGTCCTCAACAGCCACCACCATGTTCGCATATACGCTCTCCATCACGACCCTGGCAGTACTAGCTTCAGCAATGACGTCAAAAAATAATTCATCATGTCCAGAACATCTCTACAAAACCCATGTTTTCTCCACTGACCCGCTCGTAATTTACATACCCAACTTCATCACGCCTGAAGAGTCTGAACATCTCCAAACCGTCTCCGCCGGAAAATTCACCTCCTCTCAAATCGCCGACAGTAGCGGCCAACAACATCTCGCCAGCACACGCAAGTCCCAATCAACATCGCTAGAAAGCGATGAAGTGGTCCGCTGCATCGAACAACGCGCCCTAGAGTTCCAAGGCTTCGATACCAAGCGCGAAAGCCTTGAACCACTCCAATTGGTAAAATACGGCGAGTCACAAGAATACCACTCGCACACAGACTGGTTCACATCTCCCGCCCAAGCCACTGCCGAGTATGGCGGAAACCGACAGTCTTCGTTCTTCGTCTATGTTCATGCATCTGATGATATCGTTGGCGGCGGGACGCAATTTCCTCTCCTTGATGCGCCCGAAGATGAGCGGTGGTGCGCATATGTCAATTGCGATGCGGAAATGAAGGATGGGGTTGTGTTTAGACCGGTGCAGGGGAATGCGGTGTTTTGGCGGAATATGAAGGATGGAGGGAAGGGGTTGGTTGGGGATAGGAAAACGGTGCATGCGGGATTGCCGGTGCAGAGAGGGAGCAAGATGGGCATGAATATTTGGACGAGAGAGGGGGAGCTGGATGAGAAGTTCAGAGTGGCGGCATAGAGATGTGATCCTGTGAGGGTGAGGTATGATCTTGTCAGCTGTACACTTCTGGGGTATGATGACGGATATTGTTTGCGAATATCGAGCGTTTTGAGGAACAACTGCCTGCTTGGGCGCTCTTGTGCCTCTATATAAGGGTCACCCGCAAGGTTCGTTGTGCTGCACTCAACTTTCCTTTGACAAAACGGAACTGTCAATGGTATTCCTTCCAGACTGTCCTGGCCTTCAGGTCCAAGTCCTTTGCAGCGGGAGAACACTTCAAGAATATCGCAACGTTAATGAACAGGACAAAGGCAATTCTCTGACACGCTACGTCGAGGCGGAATCTGGTGCCCTGTATGGCATTTGCTTCAAGGTGACTTATGACCATCACTTTGCTCACGGCGGCGTCCTTGCTACACTGCATATCGATGGTGCTTTTATGCATCAAGAAGTTAGGCGTGCACAGGATTTCTTTGGCACAACCTGGCGTTGCGACTTGAGCGGATCTACAGCTTACATTGATGGTAGGAATTTGATTCAACCGTTCCGCTTCAGCCAGCTCCTTGAAGTAAGCCCAGTCGCCGTCCTTTTCCGGTTGCATTTCCACTAATAGCTTCAAAGAAAGCGACTTGCGCAACGAGGACACAAACATAAGCATGGAAAAGGCCGGAAGCATTTTGGTGAGATTCTACGAAGTAACCAACTTTCGCCCGGCACCACCCGAGCAAAATTTCCTCGCCCTACCTGTCCATGATACGTTGCCGAAAAAGGTCCTGAAAGGAGCCTCATTATCCCATTTGACGAGGCTCGAATTCCTTGACGAAGCCGAGTTGCGCCATCTGTGCTAATTCAACAGCAGTTTAGTCTCACCACGTCCGGCACCACAGCACAACAACGGGGAGAGGATGTACTTCGACTACCTCGATGGCAAGCAAAGCCGCCCGTTTGTGGAGGTATGTTTCAAGTATCGGTCTCTGGGTATGAACCGCAGGCCCGTTTTCTGACACAACGACACTAACAGTGTTCTGCTAGACGTCCTGAAGACTCTCGATCTCCAGCCACGGACCGGACGAAGCAAGCAACTTATGAAAGCAAAAAAAGATGCTTCCAGCATCATCAAGAAAGAGGAAGACATTGAGGATCACGATTAGCAACATCTCCAAGCCAAAAAGAAGTTCGTCGATGAGAACCTGCAAGCCGGAGTGAACCCCCCTGAAGCTGACATTCGGATCAAGAAGGAGCTTATTGAGGAAGACGTCCAGGTCAAAGAGGAGCCTGTCGATGAAAATATGCATGGCAGACCAGAGCGTGCGGAACACGACATTCGCGTCAAAAAGGTGCCTGTTGAAGAAGACGCGCACATCTACAAGGCACCTGCTGATGACGGCCTGCGTTCCGCGGAGGAAGAGGCAGACACACTGGATGTTATCCCCAGACGTTCTACGCGCATAGCTGAAGGACGTAAATGAATGGGCTCTGTAGGAAGAAGAAATCGCATGTATTGAAAAGCGTTCCTGGTTGATGTTCTCAAGATCTTTCAAAATGTCGTCAGACTTCATTATCGTAGTTTCATAGAACAATCATAGCAACTCCAGCTGCAAACGAGGCTATAGCCATGCTCCAAATCGATATGGCAGACACAAAGGAAGCGGAAGACGGCGCGACTTTCTGTGATACATTAGACTGTCCAGACGCAGTTGCTGTGCATTGCTCGCCACACTCATAGCCATTCGGGCAGCAGTTTCCACCGCGATTCGCAGCACAGCTGTACCAAGCACTCGGACACGAGCCCCCTTGTGGTGCTGCCGTCGTAGCCACGCTTGCGCCAGTAGGAGCAACAATGACTACGCCATTTGTGTTTATGATGGTCGAGCTGGGTGGTAGTGCACAGCTTCCCAGTGGTTTGGCAATCGCGACCAACTCTGCAGCAACCAGATGGGTAGTAAGCACTGCAAACATAGAAGCCATTCGGACAAACATTGTCCGATTGAGACGCAGATGCTGTGGCTGAGCCGCTCGTGGGCCTTATTGGTGCTAACGGCGCCTGAGTGCTACTTGGAGTATCGCCGAGACACGAAGCGCCAGAAGCACATGTTCTGCCGTCTTGACAGCAGCCCCCGCCTAGGCTAGCTGCGCAAGAGAAGTATCCGGTCGAACAGGTGTATGCGGATGTTGAAGAAGGTGTAGGCGTGGGCGTAGGAGTTGTAGACGTCGTTGTCGGTACAATGATTACTGCGGTGGAAGATGGCGGTGGAGGCGGCGGAGAAGAGGAGGGTTCGACATAAGTGACCGAAGTGCCTACTGCAGCGCCTGGTAGAGTTAGTCTCTTATTCCTCCAGCTAACGTGGTTTAAACTTACAGCCTATGCCTTCACACCTGAAGCCAGGCAAGCAGCACCCTCCATTTGGTGCATCCGGACATGAAGAGAACCCGTTGCTTGTGTCGCAGCTTATGCTCCCTGCACATTTTTGTCCCTGAGGACAACATCCAACCGACCCGACCCCTGGACTGTTGCTCACACTTATGCAAGTACTTCCATTATCGCAGCAAACGTCTGGCGCGCCGATTGTGGAGCAGCTGTTCGTTCCTGAAGGACATGCGAATTGCCTTTTTGCCAGCGCTGCTCGTATTCGCATTCGAGAGAAGAAGTCGTCTTCGGCAAGTGGGCGTAAAGGCGATCGTGGTTCGCATGTATCGTTTCCATATGTACTGAGATCGGACCTCCTTTCTAGGTCGGATGCAAATATCCAGTTGTCCAACATGAACATCTCCCCCTCGTCCACGCTCATTTTCTTCACTCCAACAGGTCTTTCATGCTTTAGTCTCTCTGTAATATCTATCCCCCTTTTCACGTGTATCTCGTCCTCTGGAAAGTACTTCAGATGTTTCGGAACATTGTGCGGCCATTGTGGCTCGGCACAAGATGCTGTCGCGCATAGCAACAAAAGGACAGTCGAAGAGGGCAAGGACAGCAGATTCGTATAATGCATGGTGGTGTCTAAAACGTGCGCAAAGCAAACAAAGAATGCTAGATCTGAAGTCCGCAGCAGCTAAAGCACGCTGCCGATGAGGTGGCTGGTGGGACTCGAGATTCACGAATCAGGGCAGAAATGGCGAGGCTGGGATGCGCTGGCGCCTCACCGCCGGTACGGCAACAGGGGACATCCTTTCGCAAGGTGCGAGCAAGGTGCGACTACAATTTAGAGAAGATATCTTTTGAGTCGCATTGCTGAGAAGCAGAGTCGAGATAGTTTGGAGATGCAAGGGAAACAGCTGAACGCTCCTGCATGCAGGGCTTCCGTCGGCTCCAGCGGAGGTCCCGATCGTTCCGAAGATCGAACCTCGCGCGTCTCTTTCACCTACTGGGCAGCAACGCTTTGCTATCATCCAAGTCTCGTACGCCGTCATCGTAATCAGCTTTTCGACCAGCCTCGTAAAGGTGAATTGATGATCATGGCCTCAAAAGCTCACCACAACGATTGCTAGGCCCATCGGTCATATCCCAAAGGCCTACACTGGGCTAGGTCACCTTGTAAATAAGCATGAGCTTTGCACACCGAGATGATGGTGGTAAAGGCGAAGGTGAAAGCGGGCATGGCGGGATTGGAGCTAGCCGCACATAACCTGCTTGTTTGCCTCCCTTCAACTCCCTTCCACCAAGAACTGCTACCATCCACCGGCTTTGAAACTATCGACTATCGGGCTCAGTTTCTAAGCCATGGAAAATGATAAGCCTTCGCGCGACAAGCGCAGTCGCGACTCTATGTCAGTACTACCCTACCTGATTCAGCCGTCGCCGCTCGTTGAGAGTCTCCGGTATTGCTTTGGCGTATCGGATCTGGAGGTATTGGTTCATACTGAGGTACTTGGCTCGTAATTCAGCCAGGGGTTCTAAGCTAATCACTTCCAGAGACATTGAATCTTCTTTGACACAGCGCTCATCAACGAAGAGAACTAGATGATAGTCGTGAAGAACCAATTCCGAAGCTTGATATACATACCAGTGTGTGCAATTACAGACGTAGACATAAGTGGGAGATATCAAATTTTGTTCTCGCCTCCGAGAGGGAAGTGTGACAGATAAGGGCGAGGATGTCGCACCCGTTGGACGTGCAGATCATCAGTTGTACGCCTGAGACCAGCTTCGTCTAATCGAAATACAGGGATGGTACCAAAGTGGCTTCAACTCGGAAATGGGAGTTCCAGACCTCGGGATATAGAGTTGCGATCCAACAGGCAAGCAAGTAGAATTTCAAAAGAATCCAGAGAACACGGTTAGCAAGGCCCACCAACGGCGACCCACACCAAACATTGAATTCACTATATGACTAGTTGAAAGCAAAGTGCATTCTACTGCCCCACCGGGCTACCCTGCACCTCTTTACTTGGTCGATTCAACACCAAGCTCGTACCGCAGCTACTTTCAACACAACTGAGTACGCTCACGTCAATTCGCGAAACACAAATCATCACACGCGTAATGGGGGACGCTATGACCGGACTTACTTATGCGTGTGATCTGGATGAGCGCGATGAAATGTAAGTAGATCACGGACATGCATGATATCCTTATATTAACTATGAGCCAGCACTGAGACCAACGCGCGCAACTCGCCAATGCTCCGCCTCCCCGCCGAACTGCGCAACCAAATCTACAGATACGCACTTACAGGTGGGGTCGCCTTCATCCTGCCCAAGAAGTTCAGATTCAAAGGCAACCCGCGCACCCGCTTCTCTAAGAATGCATTTGGCCTCCGCTGTGTTTGCCGCCAACTCCGCGCTGAGACGTACTCGATCTTCTACAACAGCTACACATTCGACCTAACCGGGTTCAGCAACGGGCACGATGCCACGCGAGAGCTGGCATGGAGAGAGATCTCCTTGATCGAGTCGATACGGATCAAGCAGAATGAGGTTTTGGATATGGTGAGGTGGGGAATGGCTGAAGAATCACTACATAATCCGTCGTTGTTCTGGTATGCTAGGCGATCATTACGAGCTGTACGGCGGGTTGAGTTCGATGCAACTGAGAAGATGCAGACTATGTATATGGTTAGAGAGGTTCCAAAGAACTTGCGGATCGGGTTTGGCAAAGCAGACTTGGAAGTGTACATCAATTGTATGTCCGCGTAGTCGTTGCTGTACGTAAACACTACATAAAGACAAGCATGGCCATTAATACACGAGATACGGCTATACCAGGACACACTTTAACGACCAATTCTGTGCCATTTTGCGTGCGAGTACTGTATTGAGTGTCAAAACGATCACCAAGCCTATTCGATAGAAGTTGTGGCTATGGATTGGTACAATCCATGCTACTACTCCACGTTCCTCTTAGCGGCCAGTCATCCCACGACCCTCATCTTTGCTTAGCAGGCCTAAGCTTCCCATCCAAAGTCCTTGCGCTTTATTACTAGGCGATTCTGGGCCTTAACTATGATCGGGTCAAGCAGATAGACCAGTCTGCAAGACTCGCAAACATATGGCGCCGCTTCGTCAGACATTCTGGGAACATCAATGTACTCGATTAGCTCCGTCAGTCGCTCGTAAGAAACACCCTCGGGCGCATCACTGTGATGAAGCACGCGATGGAGTATACCCGCACGCTGAAGACCTCGCGACAGAGAACCGAGCATCAAGGCGTTACAAAATTCGGAGCATCCCTCAAGGCCCGCCGTCAATTGGGTCATTAACATACGGGTGTCCTTCAACAGTGCTCTAATTGCTTTGGATCGTTGTTCGTTGAGCTTTTCTATATCTTATTAGCTATGAATCACACAGAAGGTGAATGGTTTGCGTACCCTTCGTGTCCGGAAGGAAAGGAAGACCATGGAAGTCGATTTCCAATGGCGATTTGGTCATCATGGCAACGGCCGAGGTTCTGAACATGTACCAATCGTCGCACAGGTATGCAAATAGCAACCATCTCATGCCCTCCAGTCCGTACTGATATGAACGTACGAGCTTGTTTAGCTGCGGCGCCCAAATGTTGTTGTAGGGCTGGAGCTCAATGTCCACGCTGAGATCATTACAGCATGTTATGATGCTGATAAACGTTTCGAGCGTGACATTCCGGGGAACCATATGTGTCTGGAGGTGCGCGATGTTCATGACGAGGCTCATGGCTGCTAACGAAAAGTCCAGGACCTTGTGATGATAACGTCCATCATCACCAATACAAATTTCTGCGCTAAGTTCCGGTGTAAACAAGTCCTCGAAGTAGGAAGATACGGATCGAAGTTGGCGAGAAGAAACGAGGAATCGTGCCCCACTCGCATGTTGGCATTCTTCCGAGTTGTTGAGAGTGATAACGAGATCGCCGTCGGGTATGATGGCTATGAACTCGTTGTTGTCCCTTATACTTGTCCATTGGACCAGATCCATTTCCGCGAGGTTGCAGTTTTTCTCAGCGAGGATACAATTTGAGTTCGCGCAATCGGAGTGTGTTGATACTCTTGCTCGCCAAGCCTGCTAGCGTCAACGTGATCTTACATTCACTTCGAGTCCGAAATTTAGTCGTATATGCATGACGTCTTCCCGTTTCCGGAGCGAGCACTCGCTATTTTATCTACTACTCTTGCTCGGCGCAGTATGTCCCCATTTTCAGACATGAGTTTTGGGCGCGTCAGGCTGAGAATGATTGGAGCACTGCGCTCCTGACTCCGGGAACAGAAAACAATGAGGTGAAATTAGAAGATTGATGAAAGTAGCGTAAAGTTTCGACGTGCAGGTGTCGGGTGTCGTTCATGCAGAGCATCTGTGCAGACAAACGCACGAGTTGGTGATATGGGAGCAAGAAAAATACATTGATGTATGAGAGAAGGAGCAAGATGTAAGTGAGAGAGCAGTGACGAAGTATAGCGGTGCAACTTTGCCGAACGTGATCATCGTAATCGGATGAGACGTTAATTGCTGATTGCAACTAGGTTGACCGTTAACAGAGACTGGGTCTCCAAATTGCCTTTCAAACCAGCCGTAAAATGCAACATTAACTTTGCATAGCGGCATAAGAAGAGTAAACAGTCGAAAGGAGTGTTAAAGAGAAACAATGCGGAACCTTGCCCTTTTGGGCGCACTAACGACCGGAGTATCGCAACCAGTCTTTCCGCGTACTTCCTTATCCATGCGTCTCGTCCCACCAATTCTCCGGTGCACATCCCGAAAATGCAAGCGACGATGCAGCCAAATCCGTTCAACGGCTCGGTAGGGTCGGTGTGGGCTGTCCATGTTTCGAAACTGTCATCTCGGGAACTAACGTTTCGAAACCTCCTTTCCCTCCAATCACGACTATTGTTTCATCCTCCGCCACCCAGATTCAGGCAAAGCGTCAATGCCGTTTTTGGCACGACGGAGCGGGTACGCGGCGGATATGCTTGACTGAGTTAAGGCAGCATGGGCGTGAAACTGTGATGCAAAAGAAAGGATTGCAGCATGACAACGCCATTAGCGCCCGTTGGAAGTATATATCGAGAGCCTCAGGCTTGAGTGATCAGCTTGTCAACACGCTTCATCCGGTCGTTCGTTCGTTTCCAAACACTACCTTCCTTTTTTGTATCAAACTTCTTGATCATTCCATTCGCTACAGACACAGGATGTCTCTTTCCACAATGAACTCTTTCATCCTTTCCGCAAGCTTGCTTGCTTCCCTGGCCTCCGCCTACACTCAGGTCAATGTTGCATCGCCGTTTATGCAGAAGAACATTGACCCAATCGTCTTTCCGGGCTCTTTCACCAAATCTCATTTGCACTCGTTCTACGGCTCCGACGCCGTCACCGCGTCGACCAACAAATCGGCTGTCCTACAAAGTGGCTGCACAGCTGCGGATAACGCCAATGACCTGAGTGTGTATTGGGTACCGACAGTCTTATCCACTGCAGATGGAGGGAAGACATACGCCCCAGTCCCTGTGGCACGGTTCAGCGCATACTACAATCTTGGCGAAACACCAGCGGAAGTAGCCATCCCACAAGACTTGCAAATGGTTGCTGGCGATGCTTCAGCCATGACCAAGGACAAGATGATCGCATCTGCACAGTCTGAATGGTTCTGCGAAAACGATCCAGCCAGCCCACTGGATGTCAATGGTTTCCCCAGCAAAGGCTGCAGCAGCCACCTCCAACAACTCCTCTACTTCCCCCAATGCGTAAACGAGAAGACTCTCGAGACGGGCTACAAAGACCGTCGCGGCGGTGCATGCCCGGCTGGAATGAAATCCATGCCTCAGCTGCGCTTCTCTATTCGCTACGACTTGCGCAAAGCCCTGCCTAAGGGCTGGACCGGTACTGCACCCGTCAAGCTAGCCTGCGGACCGGCTTGGTGCAGCCACGGTGACTTCATCAACGGCTGGACTCCTGAGTCGGCTACTAATATGATTGCCACAACCAAGGAGAAGCAAAAGTTCGCCCTTGTAACTGGCAAGGCGCAGAAGAAGAACTGCACGCCCAAGGACGCGGACCCGAAGAACGGTGTCAGCGACTATGCGGCCAGCGTCGCTGCGATGGGCAAGGCGGTGAAGCGTAGCTGGGAGATGAGCAGAGTGGCGAGGTTCGTGCAGAACTAAGCTTAGGAAGGATGGAAGGATTCTTTGTACATATTTTATGAATTTATTGGGTATTGCGGGATGATACCTGCATAATCGAACCATCACATACATGCGCGCCACATTGTTCCCATGTCCAATTCGTTGACACACACTCTATTTCCCTTCAACGGCTCAGCCGGTATTTAAGTGCTCACTGTCCGATACTTAAGTCCATCATTCAAATCAGCACGCTCCGCTCTCCAGCGGTCGAAGAAGTAGTTCGGTCGCGGAGACCAGGGGCCCCCGTCCTTGCACTTGGGGAGCCAGACGCTCGCTTCCTTTACATATGTGCTAGACAACGGACTAGCCAAAGCGTCTGGCCTCGCCGCATCCTTCTCACTCATCTCCGGGATAACATTAGTATACCCGCTCTGGTTCATATTCTTGATGATCCGGATGAACAACTTGACGGAAATATCGCTACCCAGAGTCCACGAATGGTTCCAGTAGCCCATGATGTTGCCGAAGTTGGGGACCGAGGTGAGCATAGCGAAGCGCCAAAAGTACTGATTTGACAAATCGATTGGTTTTCCATTGATGGAGATGTCCATGGCGCCGAACAGTTGCATGCGCAAGCCAGTCGCCGTGATGATGATGTCGGCATCTAGCGTCTCACCAGAATCCAATTCGATGCCAGTCTTGGTGATGTGTTTGATTGTATCAGTGACGATTTTCGCACGGCCGCTCTCGAAGCACTTGAAGTAGTCGCCATCAGGACAGTAGCAAAGACGTTGTTGCCAGGGGTTATAGCCAGGTTTGAGGTTCGGGTCCACGGGGAAGTCATCTGGCAGTTGTTTCCTGGCTTCTGAACGGAGCATATTCGATGCGCGAGTCGGGAAGCGGATACAGAATTGGTAGAATAATACTGGCATGAGGACGTGTACGAAACCTGTAAACAACACAAGTCAGCGAGACAATTCTGAGATGGCCCGGACGGAAACCTACGTGTCCACTTCATCATCAACCACGTCGGTATCAGTCGTTGGAACCAGCCTGCATCTCCAGGCTTCGTTTGTGGTACGGCCATGATGTAGCTCGGACTTCTTTGGAGCTGTGTGACCGAAGCTGCTCCTTGGTTGATCAGTGCAGGCATGAGGGTAATCGCTGTTGCGCCAGAACCAATCACCACGATCTTCTTGTCTTTACATTCCATCTCCTTAGGCCAGAATTGGGGATGTGCAACTTCGCCCTGAAAGTCTTGTAGACCAGGAATGCGCGCATCAGCGGGCTTCTGGTAGGAATAATACCCAGTGCCACAAATCAACCACTTGGTCCAGTAAATTGCTCTCCTAGTCTCGCCATCTTCAGTCACGTCGACCTCCAGTCTCCACTTCTGTTCCTCTTCTCTCCAATCTGCTGCCTGAACCTTCTGACCAAAGCGAATGTATTCTTCTAGGTCGAACTTCCGCACTGTCGACTTCAAGTAAGACATGATGTTCTGACCCTCAGCAATACTGTTACTGCTTTTCCATGGGTTGAAGGAGAAGCCGAATGTATGAAGGTCGGAATCGGATCGTACGCCCGGGTAGTTGAATTGGCTCCATGTTCCACCAATCTCGTGACGCGCCTCGAGAATCGCGAAAGATGAGTTAGGAAGGAGTGTGGATATGCGGTAGGCGGAGTTTATGCCAGAGATACCACCACCAACAACTAGTACGTCGAAGGTGTTGTTAGGGGCCATAAACCCATTAGCCGAAGCACTCATCGTGTAGAGCAAGCGAGAAATGGGTGTTTTGTGCGCGGAAGATCTCATAAAGTTATCGATGCGGATTCACAAGTTCCCAGGTTTGTTTGGGACGTGGATTAGCGCGAAACAAGCGCTTGAAATGTGGGGGTGACGATTGAGAACTTGGAGTCGCAGGAATCACTGAGGATGTTAGAAAATTTATGAAACGCTAAAGATTAGCAGTTCCATGAGGTGTGGACGGACGTAGGGCGTGCAAGGTCGGGAGACGAAAGGACACCTTTAAAGGAGCGAGTATATTTTCCTTCGAAATACGCCCTGCAGCAAGGCGTACCGCCTATTTCGGCAAACGATGGGAGGGGCTGGGAAACAATTAGCCTTGATACGCGTCATTCCGCTAAGGTTGTGTCATGATGTAGCGGCGCAGTCACCGTCGACATTGTCCGGCAGATCCGAACTTCAAAACTTCAGAACTTCAAAAGTGCTCATAGAGGGTAGTGGAAGCAATATGCAGACAATTCGACAGCATGCTTAGTATAGAAGTCGGGTCTCTCGCTCGCTCGTCGGCCTCCAGTAGATCTACCTAGGTAGCTCTTGTTGTCCTCTTTCTTGGCAATTGCTACAATTGTCTATCACGAGACATGTCTCAGAGCTTCTCAAGGGGGGTACAGTTATCTTGTAGTAATAGCTGAGGTGGTTAGTCTATCTAAATATACGTACAGTGAAGCTGCGGTACATGGGATCTATGGATCTAATCCGTCGCCGGGATGTACAAAGTCAAAACATCCGCAGCCACCTCTCCTATCATGCTAACAACATGTGAAAAAGCTCTGCAGAGTTACTCCCGACCCAGAATGATCAACTCACCCTCTGCACCACTGTCACTGGTGATGTACATCCTCTCGTACTTGTCTTTGGCAATTGAAACAGGCCGGAAGCATTGAGTTGTTGAGCAAAGTTCCACGTCTGGCATTCCAGAAGATATCTTTCCAGCCCATGGTGCTGTTCAGCGGGGCGACGGGGCGAAATCCGCTTGCGTCTTTGATGAAAGGAACTTCGACGACTTTGTATCCAGTCGGCTCAACTCGATTCCACGACCCATGAAAGGTGATATACATGCTTGTAAAGTTCTTGTTGAAAGAAGCATCAAGAGGCGCTACATGTGCAGGAAGTGCGAGTTTCGCTGGCACACTCTTCGTTTTGCACGTATCATCCGTGTAGGTTGCGTTAGGTTCGAGTACGAATTGATCACCTGCAGCGAAAATGCGGTCGGTGATGGCCTCTGGTTTTGCTACAGTATAACACGTAGGATATCCGTACCAGTCCGTATTTACCGTGGACGGATCGCCCAAGTAGTTAAGTTCGTCAGCTGGATTATCAGAATGTATGTCGACAGCTATGCCTCCAATGGTGCGGTGCAGCTCATCGGCAGAATTTTCCACGCCCCAGAGCCTATCGAAGTGTTAGCTTGGTGCGGAATCGAAGCTTCGGTATACTAACATTCCATTACCGTCGAAAGCCAAACCAACTTCGTTACGCAGACCGTATCCCATTTGATACCCTTCAGTGACGTAATTAAAACCGTCAACAGGCGTTTTTGTCATATCGAAGACCTTGACGCACGAGCGGGCAGTCATGATGTCCGCTGAACCATAATCGAAGTTGTCATCGGAGCCATGCGAGACGATGAGTAGATTGGGGTGCTTTGGTGGGATCGCAAGGGTCCTTGTAACATGGCCTCTGCTGCCCATACCAGATACTACCGTTCTTGATGTCTCAGATACTATCATGGTTTCTGAATCATAGCTCCAAGTAAATACAGAAGTTGCTGAGCTTGCGAACAGAGTTTTACCGTCTTCGCTTAGTGCGATTCCATGATTGAGATTCCGTTGAGTAACCAATGTCTTTGATACTGCGAAGCATCCATCTGGTCCAATCTTATGCACTGATATTCCGAGGCCATTCTGGACCACGAGTAAATTGCCGGCGGTGTCAAAGAGTAGACCTCGGGGCTGCGTCAAGCCACCTGCAATTTTGGTAGCCCTCCATCCCTTCGTAGTATTGACTGAGAAAGCGAGTGCTGGTACACCCGCACATACCAGCGGCACACCAGTCTGTATGGGTTGTGGAGAGGCTGATGATGCCGAGCTTGTGCTTATTGTCGTTGGTCGAATACTGATGGTTGCGCTTGGAATGGAAGCACTGCTTGAAGATGGCGGAACGCCACCGACAAGATTTGCAGCTACAATTTTGTCGAAGTTTGCATTCTGGCCTTGGCTGAGGTCGATCTTGTAGTTGCCGAATGAACTGTGAACGTTGAACGTCGATCTATTATTTGCAGGTTGCGCCGGTGCTTTACTGGATAACCCATACGCGAACTTTTGGGCTGGCGCTAACGGATCGATTGAGACGAGGTCTCCGTCGACATTGCGCCATTGCGAGCAGCCTCTACACCGTACGTTGAGTGTCCAGTGTGTCTCGTTGTAGCCTGTGCCCTTGACGTAAGAATATTCCGCTCCATCGAACGCTTGCGGTAAACTCAGGCCGCTTTGAAAGTGTCAGTGCTAGTAATAGATCGTGATTTTACCACTTACAAGGCCATTCTTGACGAGTAGATGGCCGTGTTAGAGGCATTGTTGACCCATCCGAGAGTCAGCGGAACGTATGGCATAGTACCTCCCCACGAGAAGCCAACCCATCCATGCTTTCTGGGAGAAATGATCTGCAATACTGTATCAAAAGGAGCGGTTTTGTTTTGTGGCAGCGCAACTCCAAAGGTTACGCCGTTGCTCCCCATCCATCCTGAGTAGCAAATTGAAGTGACGGTATCACAATAACGCTGTGTCGTCTGAGAATAAGCTTGTTAAGCAATTAGTGAGAAGTCTTGAATCTCCTTGGTACCACTCACAGCTACCGGCAACAATTGCTATGCCTAGTAGCAACTTGTGAGCCTTCATGGTGAAAAGAGTAACGATGCCAGCTGAGTTGGTTACATGAGAACTTGGAGCGTACTACACTTTATTTACTTTTGGATGTGCAGTACCAAGAAACGCCTGTCGTGTAGTTCATGGAAATATATTGAGGATCTCATGGCACCTTATCGTCCCAGTCTATGAGCGTCAAGGGCATTTGGGTTATGGTACTCGATCCCGACGTGGGCATTGCAGATCAGGAGATAATCGTACAACACAGACATGGCACATAGAGCCCATCCACCCATTCGTTCGAATTTGGAGACTGGAGATTGAGAAAGAGTGCTCGGTGCTATGGCTTTGTGGGGTGTGGGACTCGCTTCTGCGGTCGCGAACATTCCTTGCATTCCCCACAACACCACGACTAACTCTTGGAGTGACCAGATCCTATGAGATACGGCTAGGGCTTCAGACTCTTTAAAAGTAGCCCTGGTAATCTGTAGCATCTTGTTGGCCCGGTTTCTGGTTCCGTGAGCCTCATGATCTACTCCTGGTTGTTGGCTGTATCAGAATAATTGAGAAGTAGTGTAACAGCGGTAGCGATTGCCGTATTAACCAAGCATGGATCGCTCTTGGAGACCTCCAAGCATTCAAGGTGATCATAACACGCGCCCTGATTCGGCTTTCGGGTTATCCACGGGATAAGCTGTGTCTTCAAGGCTAAATAGATGAATTGTTCCTTATCCGTTATTAACAACTCGCGTCAGCGCGGGACTATCATCCTGGAGAACCGGCACGCGCACGAGTGGTTATATATTTTTATGAGGCGGGAATGTGGTACTTCGACGATCCACTTGCGCAAGCGGTGGACTATCCCCAGATCAGGAGATGTGCACGCCTTGGAAGGCTCGTCGTGTCATAACAGACATTGCGACTGGAAAATCACAAATGTCATCTTGCAGAGACATATGTTTCGCGGATTGAGTCTCAGGTGAGATGTTGACCTTGTGGGAATGATGGGGATAAGAAGAGATCGAGAAGGGATTAAAGATGTTCGATCATTCCCATTGCAGGAACGCAGAATGCATTCAGGCAGGTACGAGAAACTTTTGCTGGAACTCCAAATTTTTTAATGTGCATTACTTGCAATGCAAGCTGCACTTTTTCATAGGTCTCTACGTCATGTGCCTTATCAAATCTTCGCTTTCGCAGGCGCAGTCACTCTCTTCCCATGTACATAACAAATCCCCCGAATCTTCTCCGCCGCCTCTCCCCAAAGTTCATTCCGCAGTAAACTATACACGCCCATCTTACTCTTTCCCTGTATACTCCTCGCTTTCCTAAGTGCTACCTCAAGCATTTGCTTCGGGTCCGCAATCTCGTCGACAATACCGTCTTCCAGTGCTTCTTTGCCCGTCCACCTGTGAGCTTCCAGCAACATCTTGCGCGCAACTTGTGGACGGAGCTTGAGCCGTGGGAGGAAGCCGATGCCAGGGAAATGTAGGCCTAGATTCACGGGCGGCATGGAGAAGAAGCCGCGAGAGGAATTCATGATGCGGTAGTCGTGGGAGAGCGCGAAGGGGCATGCGCCGCCAAAGGTGTGTCCTGTGAGGAGAGCGATGGTGGGGAATGGGTAATCGAGAAGTGTTGCTAGGAGCTTTGCCAGTATTAGCACGGTGGTTCCCATTAAGGCGACCGAGAGAGATAGGTTGCGACGTCTTAAGGAGAGGCTCGCAAGGTGAAATGTGTTTGTTCTTTGCGCAAATGGGGCCATCGTACCGGGAAGAATCCATCGCTGTTTGCGAAGGGATTTGTATCCGCTTCATCTAGCTCTAACCCTGTGCACCAGAACTTCTCGTCATTGCCTCGTGTTATCACGCATCCTTCTGTGTCTGGACCCAGCTCTGTCTCTATGTCTCGAAGTGCGCGTATTATCTCTTGTGCAAAGCGTACATTTATCCGATTCTCGGGCGCTTTCTGGAGAGTAATTACGAAAACACGGTCATGCTGATCAACGCTTAGGTCTTTGTAAGGTCCCAGTGTCATTTTATTGATGATGACGTATGACAAAGTGCACGATGAAGCGTCAAAGCGTCAAAGTGTTTGTGAAATGTTTGGTGTAAACGCTCCAGTGCTCGGCAATGACTTCTGCATACACGAATGATACAATTTCCCAAAGATAAAACAACAAGCTCGAGATGCTGAAGGTGTCCCAAGATGCGCGCATGCATGAGAGCCTCGGCATGGCGGCTGCGGAGAATGTGGGGGCGGATCGGATCCTGGTTTAGATGTCCGGCAAATTTCGGTATTTCGCACTTTGGCGTTGTTTCGCTTACTCGCTGCGGTCGACACTTCGACCGTTCTGTTGATGTATTGTAATTGTTTATGCGAGTGCGCGGTCGAGCAATGCACTAAGTCTATGTGCTCACCATCCGAGTCCTCCTTGGTCCCAGTCTCCTGTGAGCCAACCGCCCACACCGTACTGTCCGAACCACTCCTGTGGCTGGAGTAATGTCGGTTCGAGCGACGGCTCAGCAGCGATATTGCTGCTCATCATTTGTTGTTGTATAGCCGCATTTGTCGCCATATCAAGTTCCATAGTCTGATCGTTTGGCGTCCGCAGACCGTACAGTATTTCTGCTGTTATCAGATCTCTTGTCGCGAGTGGAGTGCCTTTCGGTAGTCTTTGGTAGATAGGATGCCACATGCGACATAGGTCGGGGCCGAAATCAGAGAAGAATTGTGCTGTCGTGTTGGGGAAGTTTAAATCTGGGAACTGCCCCAACTGTGTCCGTTGTGTGACCTTCTCGCGAACATCCATCAGGTGCTTCAAGCTACCAATTGCGGTGGGCCACCTCTTACTGAGCTCTTCAAGCGCTCGCGCCAGGGTCTCCAGATTCTCTTCAGCTATATGCACCATGTCCGCATAACGATAGCATGATAGTTGGGCAAAGCCAGCTGTTAGGCAGTAGAACGTGAATATAGGCCCAAGATAACGAAGCTCATCCCGAGCCATAAATTCCTCGAAAATGCCTGCAACATACGACGAAGCAAGAAGCGAAGCTGTCGATGGCGCGAGTTTTGGATCTGTTGGGCGATTCAATATGACCAGCACTGTGAAGTACTGAACATGTATCTGTCGCGCTTCGAAGCTGTATGGCTTCAATGGTCTCCTCTCCGTCTGTATACAAAGCTGCAGATGCTCAGGAAGTGTTTTGACCCAACGGAAGAGTCTGTCCTCAAGTGCCTTTCGGTGCTCTTGTAGACCGTGCTTGCGAAGATAACTCTGAGTCAGATCTCCTGATAAATCGGTCAGCACCTGCCGCGTGGATATCATAGCTTCTACACAATGTGCACTCGTGAGTCTCGGAAGGCTTACCAAGAATGCAAGAGATGCCCACGTATGCAGAAAAGAGTTCAGCTGCACCCGTAGCGCCGTCAAAATCGAGGGCAGATATTGGAGAAACGTCTGCGAATTTGAGATCGATGGCTCGCGGTCTTCCATGTCCCGCATTGATGAGACAGTCGCGGACATTGAGCGACCACCATATCCTCTTTCGTAACCCTGCGTCGGGCTTACCCGTAGGCTCACGATGCAGACCGACTTGATGTGCCAATCCCACACATACTCGTAACCAGAAGCTGGAAGTGTCTAGCGAGATCTGCTCTGGGCCTTGTGGATTCCACCAGTGAAGTAGGCATGCCGCTGCGATAGTGATTATGGGATCTTCTTCGGCGCTCATCCAAAACAGTACTCTAGCTTTCTTGTAGAAGTCTTCGGATGGATAGTCCGCAAGAGGGGCGCTGACTCTGCTGCCAGCAAGGAACATAGCTTGCTGAAGCAGAAGAGAAGCCTTACCAGGGCGGCGGTCGTAGATCCAGCTTCGCTCAACAACTGGAGTCCAAGGATAGCATCGCTCCCAGAAAGCATCCAGCAGGCTTTCGCGTATCGAACGTGGAGGTAAGTCGGCAACACGTTGCACCTTCAGGATCGTGACGTCGCTCTCCGAAAGACGATGGGGTACTTTATTATGAACACCCCCATCGTCATTGACCGGAACTTCACCGCGAAGATACTCTAGGCGACCAAGGTAGCTCACACTATTAGACTTTTGATATGACTGTTGCGTCATGTTCGATGCAATGCTGTGATGCATTCCCGGATAACTCGGGCCAGGAGGGTGTTCAAGTAATGGAGACTCCTCGAAACTTGCTGTGCTCGACATCCGTCGTCCAAGTTCGCTTTCTGACTGCACGCTTGTTCCATACGCTTGGTTACTGCTTTCCGCTGTGCCGTTATTCACCATATCTGTCGTGGCAAAGTTCGTGCCGCTTCCCTGGGGCATGGAGTCCTCATGCTGCGTCTTGACCCGCGTCTCGCCTGCTGCGGGTGGAGATGGGCTGAATGTGAATCGCTTTCGCTTTCTTTCCCGAGGTACGCACTCATACCCGTCTCTCGTGCAAGGAGTACACACCTCTCCATCCACATCATCAATATCGCATCTGACCTTTTTCTTGTGGCATATGACGCATGCTTTGACTGTGCGACGAGCTCGTCCGTCTTTGTCTTTCGGCATGTTCCCTCACGATTGTCGATGCGAAATTTGCGACATGTTACAGATCACAGATATTGATGACTGAAGGCAGGAAACAGATTTGGCGGGCAAGAATGCGGGGATGGAGTAGCGATGCGTGAGACAATCGAAGGTGCAGGGGCGGGTTGTGGGGGGCCCTTTCTTGCACTGACTAGCCCAGCCCAGCCACTCGGCGCTCCCTTACCGCAGTACATGGGTAAAGCTCCCGCACTCGAGTTGTTATTGTTACCGTGCTAAAGCTCTTCAATGAGTCTTCATCGCAGATCCAATGTGTCTTGCGCTGGCCTCAAAGCACACGTCGGAGGCGTCTGAAAAGGTGAACACATGTTTGTCCGATCGCAGACACATATGCACGATCCGATAATGTGCATCAAAGTTTAGCACGTTGGCGAATGACCAGAGCGTGGGAATGCTGTCACCACAGAGTTTCGGGTATGCAAGCGAATCTCGAGACGGAAAAGTGAGGCGCCGCCAATCGCCTGCGCTGCAGAAGACAAGCTTTGAGATGCGCCGATGTCACTTGGAGGTTACCCGCAAGACAGGATTTAACATGATTTTGAATTGCGTACGGGTAGTTGTCTAGGCTCGATCTGCAGCGAATGACAGTCCTGCATTTATTTCCTAGTGCAAGAACTCGGTGAACCAGTTCACGACAATCCTCTTCGCCCTCTCCAGTCCATCCTTCTGGTTCTTGTCGCTGGGGTCACCGCGTGCCGCGAATCCGTGGGTAAGACCAGGGAAGTAGATGTACTCCCACTGCACACCCGTCTTGGGCAGCGTGTCCAGTGTGTATTTCTTCAATTCCTCCGTGTATGCAAAGTCGTTCTCGGGCGAAAGAACCTGTACGGGTACCTTGACGGCGTCGATTTCGGCCTTGTCGAGCAGGGACGGATGTGCGGTGGACACGGCGTCGATGAGAGAGGGGTCGGCGGCCAGCTTGAAGCATGCCCAGCCGCCGTAGCAGAAGCCCATCGCGCCGACTTTCTTGTATTGCTTCTTGAGCTCTTGCGCGTTGGCTTTGATCTCGGGCCAGCGCTTGTCCTTGTTGTGGCGGCCGATGAACGCCATAACGTCAAACTTCTTCGCCTTCTCGGGATCACTCATAGCGTCAGGATCTACGACTTCACCTTCGAAGCTTCGTGGCCGTAATCAGCATGATGCTAACCCTTGTAAATCTAGTAGGACTCACTAATCGGGGATATAAACAGTGACATTGGCTTCCTTTGCATAATGGTCCGCCAGAATGCGAACGTTAGGCAGAGTCCAACCGAAGATATCGGCGATGATAAGGACGGCAGCGTCCTTGTTGTCACCAGTCACGTATGCCTTGTTCTGGCCGAGAGTGGTCTCCTTGCCTACAGACTTGCCATCCCAGGCAAATCCGGTTTTGCAGTTGTCGCAGGACATTATGAAATAGTGGTTAGATGACAGGGATTGAGCAGTCGTCTAGATGAGGTTTTTGAATGAGAAACAATTGGAGGGGCCTTGGAGCTTTTAGGCGGGGTCAAGGTCAAGCCCGCTGGTAATTGTCATCAGTGTCTCCGCTTTGCAGTAACGGCGATGACGAGGACCGACTTTGACCCGGCTCCATTGCAGACGGCCAATTACAATCGACGGTGTAGATAGCACAAGGTATGGTTGCAGTTTGGCTCGGTGGTTTGCATGACGACAAATCGCGGAGATAAATCAGGGCGAGCCCAAAACCCGGCGCACGCTGCCGACTTTGCTCCGAGCTGTCATCACAGCGATCAGCAACCCCGGTTGCGGTAGAATTGAACGATCGGAGTACGTTAGATGCATATCGCAATGACTCGAACTGGTAGGTCTTAGGCACTCAAGCCAAGTATGCCCATATTGTTTCAGGTTTGGCTATAGTGCTTCAGAAATACCGCCACAGCATGCGATGGTATCTCGTTCAACTGGAACGGCTGGATACAGGGGACGAAGGCGTGCTTGGTGTGGCGGCCATTGCGTTCGCATAAAAGCATAAAGGCGTTGCCTAGTGTAAGACGTGAATAGTAATTCTGCTAAGGCCAGTAATTAGTCCAGTGTACCCGTGATTCTTCACGGAACCAATTGACGACCCACGTCATGTGCACTCCCTGTGCGGCACAAATGAAGCTGCGTGCTCTCGAATTATCTTCGAGGTAGTATGAGCTACGATGAATGTCGCTAGCGTTTAGCAATGGCAGAGCAGCAACCCTGCCCCTGCTATCAGCACATATGAAGGCGGCGTCATCGCGGTAAGAGCCTGTAAATCGCTTCGGCACACGTTCACGTTCAGACGTAGAGTGATACCCCTTCACACCGCACGTGTAGAGAAACGGCACACATCGAAACCTTCTGGCGCCAGACACCTTAAAATGCTAGAGTCCGTATCCGATGACAAGATTTTCCCAGGACCAACCCAGCTCTGCTTCGTTCTCAGACTGGCTCCAGCGTGGCTCGTCGTTTTCTTGTGATAACAAGAATTCGTAAGCGTGACAAAACTCATGTACTAGCGTAATAACGAACAAGAACAGGAAGCGATATGCTTCATCTTGGTTTGACCTAGAGAGATGACGGCGGAAGTACTCATAGAAATCATTGCTCATCACCACCAGAGGTTGACCGTTGCCCATACGGGCACGACGAGATATGCGAGGCCAGTCATTGCTTCAAATCTCCCGATAGAATTGCTGGTGCTCCTTGTGTCTACACGTTACACCAAAACCATCACCATTGCGGTGACCTGGAGGTTCGAACATGAAGGTGATTACCTCACCAACATGTTGAATGTTTTGCCGTACTTTTGTCATCGCTTCAGGACTGATCGAATAAGGCGTAGGCACGATGTAAGTACCTGAGCGGCCGCGACGGCGCCCGCCGAACGTGAGATGGCTGAACCACATCAATGGGAAGCGCTCCGTCAGAAGACGGCTCGCAAGCTTGAAGGCATTCTTGGTGAATGGGTAGATGTTTCTGGTATGCTGGCCCGGACCTGAAGCCCAACGGTCCTTGAACATGAAAAGAATCTGGTTTTGTAGGTTTGGGTTCCTGTAAGTGGCCTGTGAGTCATGAGCACCCGAAGCCTGAATATGATGATCGAACTCGTTAAGAGCTTTGTGTAGATAGCGATTCGCGCCGTTTTCTGCCATGCTGTTGATGTGTAATGCCTCTGAACTGAACTCTTGCTTTAACACTGGTTGTAGTTGAGATAAAACTTGTACTTTTGAGAGAGAGATAACTATATGAACAGATGAAAAGATACCTATATGCCTCAACACACGGTATCGTTAGCGGTGAATCATGCCACACATCCCTGCGTTGGTTGAAAGTCACTCGACGGAAGAGAGGCGTATACGCAATATTTTGCACAAGACAGTATCCCATGCCCAAGAGTGAGTTGTGACTGAACACTGCGTGATATTTTCTCTTGACGGGCATTGAGTGTAATTGGTGCTTGCGATATTGTTGCCAGGCTGACTGATGATATAATACACAGCACACGTGATCGATGTTCATCGGTCATTGTTACCTTTTTGGCATGCTGGTGCAGCGGGTGCAGACCTGCGTCTGACAATTGTCCGGATACAGTTGGTATAGAAGATGCATTCTAGCACAAAAACGGGCAGAGCATTGTTGGTTTTTGACTGGAGATAATCTCTGATGTAGTTTGTATTGAGGTCACGTCGTGCATGTCAACAACATGCCCGACGGGAAGGTGCGCCCACGACACGCTAGTGCCGAAGTAGGACATAACATGGCTGAGTTACCGTCTTTCGAACTACCATTATCTGAATCTTGTCGCCTTCCTCCTATCCCTCCATGTGATATACCGCGACCCAAGGCTCAACCCACATTTCCAGTAAGCTACAAGATAGTGGCAAGGGAAACCACCGCAGGACAAGGGGAAGATTAAAGGAAAAAAGAAGGCAGTCGTTACGGGTCCACGTCTCGCACGCACGGCTGCCGCCAAGAATACCATGTCACACAACATAGCAGATGACGATGGTGGCCAAGCGGCTGGTCCATAAAGTGTGCAGGACACCCATTACGCAGACGACCACGGCTACGACGGCGATGAGGAAAACAACGTCGATAACTAGCATGGCGAGAGTACTACAGTAAAGACAACAAAACAAAAAGTCGACGCATTACTGTGCTCGACGGCGACGAAGACCAACAGCCCTTGAGAGTGAAGGTGGCTAGCAACCAGATGATGCGGAGAGAAACGTCGCATATCGCCTTCGAGTCGTCCCACGGACTCATCCATGGATCACGAAAGATCAAGATAGCGTAGATGTAGAGCTGCGGTTTCCAATGTCAGCACCAGGAAGGTCGGTCAACATGGTTGTTCTTCAGCGGTCTAGTGTTACAGCGCTACAAGTCGCCCAACTTATCCATTATGGCACTGAGAAGACGCTGCACAGTCTAAAGGCAGAGTACGTGTAGGTAGAAAGGGAACTACGGCGCTGTGACAGGCTCATCTAGTTTCGTCCGAATTAGCCTCAAGAGCTTTGTCTCTCGCGACACGGCCCTTCAAAACAGCTGCCGACATGAAGTTGAGAAACTGATCGAATGGGTTGATCGGCTTCTCGATCCAAACAGCGTACCTTGGAGAACGCTAGGTCAAGGACTCCTATGATGGACATTTCTGTGGACACATTCTACCTCTGAGGATCACTGAAAGAATTGTGTCAAGGCCATACGTGTCATTCGCGCAACGTTAAGCTGTCTAAGTTCAGATTCCTTTTAGCATATCATTGCGTACTGATAAGCTATCCAGTCTATGCCAGCTGCTATGTAAGATGATAGCTGCTCTACAACAGTAAGTTGAGTTCAACAGGGCGCCCGCGACTGATTCGAGCAAGTGGTTGCCGACTTTACACCGCGTAACACCATGTTTAGAGCTTTGCCAGCTGCCGAGGGGATGTCACCCACTGTTGCACCTCAGAATTGGACCGGTAGTCGACTGGGAAGAACTTCGGGCCTAGGATCTTCTTCTGTACCTTGCCAGTCGCCGTCTTGGGAAGCTCACTATTGACGACTCGAAGAAGGGTAGGCAGCTTGTAACCTGCCAGACGATCTCGCAAATCGCGGCGCACGTCCGATATCGTCAAAACGTAGTCATTGTCGCCGTGGGTTTCAACAAATGTGTCTGTCAACTCCTCTTCTTGAAGCGAGATCAGCGCAGCCACACGTTGTCCGAACTCTTCATCAGCGACTCCTACTACCATTGCCTCCGAAACATAAGGCAGGCCGAGCAGCTCGCGTTCTATATCCAACGCAGAGATCTTGTATCCTCCGGATTTGATTATGTCAAGCGATGCTCTTCCAACGATATAGTAATATCGCCCTTCTTTTCGCGCAATGTCGCCAGTTCGAAAGTACCCGTCCTCGTTGTGAGCGCGAGCAGTGGCCTCAGGATCTTGCAGGTATTTGGAGAACATGTGTGGACTCTTGACGAGTACTTCTCCTTCGTCTCCGTATGAGAGCTTCACATCGATGCCGCTTGCGACCTCACCAACCGAGCCGTCGGGGACTTTTTTATCATCTAGGCGCACTTTGAAGATGGCGCCAAATTCGGTGGCTCCGTAACGCTGGACGATCCGTTTCTGCATGAGAGTGGTCCAGAATTCGTTCAGCGGTTGAGGCAAAGCTGAAGTACCACAGAGACATGCACGAAACTGTCTCGCCCCAGCGATATACTTGGCCAATTCTCCTGGTGGTAACTTATGTAAAGTTCGTTGGTAGTGGCGCCTCATTCGCATGTAAATGGTGGGTACACCAGAGAAGAAAGTGAGCCGCTGGCGAGAGTCGACAGCGCCCTGCCTCCATCTCTCCCACATCCACACTTCGTCAAACCCGCCACTGCGGAACTCGATGCGGCTGCCCGATATCAGAAATGGGAAGAAGTTGATACCGACGCCGGTCGCATGGTGTACAGGCAGTACATGGAGCATGACAATCGTCTTCGGTCAGCCGGTAGTGGTCCGCAACCGAAAGAGCACAGTCGAAAACAAAAGACCTTCGCATTACCGCACCTTTTGGCGGGCCAGTCGTTCCACTCGTGAATATAACGACTCCAGGAGCTTTCTCTTCTAAGGGTCGATCGGAAGATATGATGATATCGGATGGGATCGAGGGTGGGAGTATACGTGCAAGGCCCTATAGGCACCCCACGAAAGTGCTCGTTGCTGGTCGAAGCAATGCGCTTTTCCAGATCGCAACACTTCTTCAAGTCGAAGGAACTAACTAATACTAAGGCTGACTTTGACTTCTCGACGAAGTAAGCTGCCTCCTCGACCGGTAGTGCTGGAGTTATGGGCACAGCCGCCGCCCCAAGCGCCAGGACTGCGAGCATGGCGACCGTGTACTCATAGCCGCCAGCCGCCACTATGGCAATGTACACCTCGTCTCTGCGGTCCAGTGCCTCGAGAGTCGCAGAGTTGGCGGTGTTTAGAATCGTCTCACGAAGGGCTAGCACATCCGAGAGAAGCTCTATGTGCGTTCTCTGATGGTTCGAGCGCACATCATCGATCACGATGCGTGCAGGCGTCCGAGTCGCATATCGAAGAAGTCGACTGAAAAGAGGCTGGAAAGCGTTATTCGAAGGGTCGAACGTCAATGTTTACTGGAAGTATATACCGTGTTGGGTAGAATGTTGTATCCTACATGTGTTGGGACCATGAAAGAGCGGTCTTCCATTATGGCGGTATCGCACCTGGATCGCGCATTTGCTTGTCACTCGTGCGTACGCGCCCTGACAGGGGATAAGCACGAGACATGGCGTCTTGTTCCTAGGCACGCGATATGAACGAGTCGGCTGAGGACATCATGGCGTCTGGTAAATGTCGGTAACGCCATCTTCCTTGTCCATGGCCCGTCCCACAAGAGCGCGGGGAATGCCCGTGGCATACCCCGCAGCATGGTCACACTCAGCCTCGCAAGGCTGCATGATCGGTTGCATCATCGTACACAGTACTCGAAACAATATGTGCAAACTAATCTTTTAACATGCGCTCGTACTGTCAAAGTAGCACGAATTCCAGTCTGTTCCATGGCCATGACTGCCTACTTCTAGCGACCATTTACCAATTCCAGTCTCGGACGAATGCTGCTTGTGTGCAAGAACTGTGCGACGCGACTTTTTCCGCATTCTGCTGTCGACGTCTTTCCTGCATACAGTTTCTGAACTGTTCGGGCGATGCGCAAGGATGTGGATCCATGACATCCCCTGCTCTTTCTCACATGTGTTCTTTCAAAATATAGGGTAGGCATCTCACATATCAGCCCTGGATCGATGTCGCACCAAGCCGAGATTCCACCTGCGGTGAGCCGCAACAACGAGCGGGAGTTGGAATGATCAACGTCGCATTCGCATGTGTTCACCGCCAGTTAAGTAGCAGCAGTAGGAATCGTCGGCCTGCTTGCCGTCTGTAAGACATCCACTTACAGTACATGAGTAGCTCCGTGATCACCCCGCCCGCCTACCTCTCCACATACCTTATTAGTCGAGAAACAGTCGCACACGTGTGGCACCAAATATAAATGCATGCCTGCATGAAGTCCTTCAATGCGAAGTCTCAGCGGCTCATTTGGGATGTGTCGGTTCACGTACTCGCTTACACGGCTATCGGCCGGTAGAGTCGCAGCCCGGATTTGGAGCCTGGTCTGTCGCATAAGTTTTGATGGTGACTCGGATGCTCAATCCATCACATCGGCTATGCCGTCACCGTTCGGGCACCCATGCTTCAATTTCGCCAATTCGATCGCAACTAACAATCAGCCATGGCAGGGGTGACTGAGCTGGCAGATCCGGTGTGCTTGACCCCTCAGTATACGCTCCACCTGCGACGTGTCTCCTCAAGAATGTCATTCCCACAGATGGTCGACGCCCGCTTACGCAGCCTTTGAGTGTCTTAATATGCGAGACTTCTCACCGCTACCTCACAGAACAGTCATATGGCTTTCTATGGCATCCAATAATGAAAGCGGACTCGTTATCCTTGGCGTTACACGCATACTGCTTGGGCACTCCCCACACGCCTGGTTGTAGGCATGAGGCGGCGAGCATATTCCCACGCATCCCCTCGTCTCAGCCTGTCATTTCACACGCTCTAATGCTGCACAAAACGATCGGGCAAATGCTCGTGGCATCGTGACTGTGGCTTGCTACGATCACTCGCATGTCAGAGCCATGTCCATTCTAGGGTGCATATTGGCGCTATGCTGTGCCGCGAAACTGCTGTACGCGACATCATCGAGGCGAGCATCTGGTCAGCCAGGCCAAGGCTGCGAGAGCAATGGGGCAAACAAAAAATGCTCCTACCTGGATCCCTGCCTTACTAGGGTGCGGCCGTGCATAGGAGGCGAACTTCTTGGTCTTTTGCGACCTGCATCCTGTGCTGCCGCCTGAGGCTCGCCTTCCCTACGAGATCTGTCAAGCGGATGCGGGACAAAGCCAGTGCGTGCCCTTCCAGTACCAAGTCAGTGGGGCTTCCTGAACGTTCCCGCAGCACCGGCTGCACCTCGCCTGCATCCGAGAGGTTTGGCACCTCTGGCACGGTGAACGAGGCGGACGGGGCATCGGGAGAACGAAACGTTGGGCGCATGTCAAATGGCAGGGGCTCTCAAAATAAGCAAAGCTTACACGGGGATGCGGGACCGCAAGCGCGGCGTCTTGCCGTTTGCGCTCAAGGCTGTTAGCGCCCTCGGTCACCAAACAATTCCAGTGCACCCTGCCGTTACACGACGCTCTCGGAAGCACCTTGCGGTGAAGGGGTGAAATGACAGCTCTTGTGGTCCCCTCCTGCATGTTTGCTCACTCAAAATCACAGTAGGTGTGACTGTACCTTTCCCGATATATATACTAACTAGCGCCAGGTCTGGCAATGTTCCTAGACCTCCCACTAACCTTGCCAAAGCCCGTGTTCCTAAGTACATTGCGAGCATCGCTTCACAGTCTCTCACAATGATTGTCAAATCGAAGACCCCTCCTCCCATGGAAACCAAACCTTTTCATCTCTCTTTCTTGGACCAAAATGTAGTCCGCGTCTACACGCAGACACTTTCTATATTTCCTGTGAGAGAAAATGCCCATTACAGTTTGTTTTGGAGATACTGACTGGCCGGCCAGTTTCCTGACCAAAATGAAGCCGAGGCCGCCATCAAAGCTCTTAGCGATGGACTTCGTCTCACGCTGCAGCGGTTCCCGTTCCTTGCCGGCACTCTTAGTCTCGCCGATCATGAATCTGGAAGGCTTACCCTGGATTATCCTACCTGCATCACGTTTGAGGACATGGACAAACTCTTGCGCTCAAAACAAATTCATTACGATGAGAAAACCTTCCCTTATACATACGAGCAACTTCGCCAAGATGGAATGCCTTCCAGTGCATTTCACGCCGCTATGTTCGTCCCAGACGACTTTGTTGACTTCCCCGGGATACCAGAATTCGGGGAAGGACAGGTCGACTTCACCAAAAGCGACGCGCCCGCAATGAGGGTTCAAGCATGTTTCATTCCAGGCGGGCTCGTACTGAGCATGTACATTCACCACAGCGTCTTGGATTGCTCCGGAGTCAGCACCTTTTGGACCGTCTTCAGCGCAAATGTTTCTAAAGTCTCAGGAAGACGTGAGCTCGAGGCAGATGAGATCTTCGGTAATTCAACTTGCAGATTTTGTGACCTTGTCGCTGACCAAAACAGCTCCCCGTAGTGTCGCAGAACATCAGTCATTTATGCGAGAACAACTCGAGGCTCGCATCCCCGTTCCCAGTCGATCACTCAAGGATCCGACTGCCGATTGCTACTGCGATGGACGGTATGAGTATGAGCAGACTTTACCCTCAGATACAGCATGTGCCCAAAGACTCCTCGTCATACCCGCTGCACGCATCCGCGACTACCGCGATCAATTGCGGCAATATTTCCCGAAAAGCAACCCGCCGACCATGTGCAACGTGTTGGCTGCGCTGGTCTGGACCCACGTAACGCGCGCAAGAGGAGAGCGCCTACTAAAAAATAACTGCAAAGAGACAAATATCGGCATCGCAACCGACCTGCGTCGGCGGCAACAACCACCCGAGACCGCACAGTACATGGGCAACATGGCCCTCTTCTCAAAGGGGACGCTGAAGATTGAAGATCTTCTGGCTGAGGAACGGTAAGTTTCAGCGATCTACAATCTTTCAGCCTGTAACACTTCATGTTGCATTGGCCATGCGTCCACCTCACGTTACCCGATTTTCCCTTGCAAGACAAGCTGACAAGTGCTGCAGTGTCACCAACAAGACGATCCTCCACGTCATCGAGAAAATCAAGAGCACCATCGGCAAGGTCAACAACGACTGGATCGCAACACAAATGGCTTTCTTCAAGTCCATCGAGCGCATCAGGGACACCGAGTGTGCACTAGCGCTGCGATTCGGTGCCGACATCTACATCACGTCGTGGTTGAATTTCGCCGCAGACCTGCGCTGGGGTATACCTGGCACAGACCTGGACACGGAGTCGCTTGACGGAAGGCCTGAGTTCATCAGGCGCTTATACAATCCGAGCGATGGTGGCATGATCTTCCTTCCTCGGAGGAGAAAGCCTGTGAACGGTGTTGAGGCACCGTTCGAGATCCTGGTTCGACTTGCTGAAGAAGACATGGATCGGGTTCTGAATGAAGCAGGTGGATTAAAGAGTTGGACGGATGCTGTGATTGATTGAAAGAACGGTGGTACTCATCGCGCGCGATAGGTTTTGAGGTGGCTTGAGCATCGCAACGCAGTTGAGCGTGCTGATGCACCAGCATCTTGTAGATGAACAGGTCATACTGGTATACGTACGTTGGAGTACGAAGGTTCGGGCATTTCTCTGGCGTTTTTGTTGAATTGTCTAGGTGTGGACATCTGATATCCTTGTACAAATAGTTTGCTTTGTGGGATGGTCTGGCGTTATTTATCGGATTTGTTCTCTCTTTCCAATGTTGTCTGTCATTGATATAACACCTCACTGGTGCGACAGTCGTGTTTTGCAAAGCATCACGTGCTACACCAGAATTTACACTGCGGATGTAGTATTCTGGACGGTCTCTGAAATACAGTATTCACTTCCTCTACGGTCCTTGCGCCTCATCGTTGCTACATCAGATACCGAAAATTGCCATCGCTCCACCAGCTAGTTTCCGCAAGTGCACCTCCCCGCACGGTGATCGCACATCATCTCAAATGCCCTAGCAACAACAACGGCTGCGAATACCGAGGTATCAAACGCGTGGAAAAATATCCGCACTATTACCGGAGAGATTCAACTTCTCAAAAAACAAACCATGTAAGCTTGACTTCACGACGTGGCTACGCTTGCCATACCTACAAACAACGGGACCGTGCTCCATGTCTTTGACGACTCGCGTAAGCGATCCTTCAGTATGCGAGACTTCACCGATCATCTAAAACCAGGCCCATGACGGCACCGCGACGCTCCAGGCCGAACGCGATGGGGTCAGCAATCAATGTTAAGGAACTAGCATGGGCACCTACTGGGGCGAGATGGTTTCCTCGAGCGGCAGGAAAAGGTGCTGAAGGTCCTCAGTAAAGAGAAAATATTCAAGAAGGACCAGCAGTTGAATCTCTCGCGGCCAGAGCGATACCATCTAGGTTTAGCCAGAGCAAAAGCAACTCAGCGTCTCATCAGACGCGAAGGATGGGACCATGAGGACTACAAGCTGGCGGAATACCTCAACGACGAAATGTCACCATATTTTTTGCATATGTCCATGTTTGGTCAGTACGAGCGCTTTTGGTGTGGCCAGGCATCAAGCTGACGCCGCCAGTAACCACGGTCAGGGAACAGGGCTCGGAGGAGCAGCAGTCATACTGGATGCCAAAGATACTCAGCTATGACATTATTGGCTGCTACGCCCAAACAGAGCTAGGTCATGGCAGTAACGTGCGTGGCCTGGAGACTACTGCAACATGGGATCCCATTAAAAAGGAATTTGAGATACACAGCCCGCATTTGACAGCCAGCAAATGGTGGAATGGGTCAATGGGCCGGACAGCCACACATGCGGTATGTTACACAAGCGCCACCGTCCTGTGACACGGCTCGTACACACACTCACTAAGACTATACGCGTAGATCGTGGTCGCACAACTGCTGTTGCCCAGGAGAGATGACCCGACCACTCTTACCAGCCACGGCCCGCAGACATTTATTGTACAGATTCGGGACAAGAAGTCGCATCTCCCGCTCGAAGGGATAGCTGTAGGCGATATCGGCCCGAAATACGGTACGTTTGCTACCACTTGTGGTCAAGATGCAGTGTGGAGGTGCTCGGACTGTTTTCTGTATGGTCAAAATGTCATGCATCCCTATGCAAGGAAAATTTTGAGCGAAAACGAGCTGTGCTGTGTTTATTGTCGTGTCTAAAATCGATAGTCAATTACTAACAGCGTCCCAGGTTATGCATCCATGGACAACGGATACATGCTTTTCAACCACTTTCGCGTCCCCAGATCAGCGATGCTTTCCCGCTATGCAGAAGTGGCGGACGAAACGGGCGCATTTGTTTCGATGGGTCATCCTGCCGTCGTTTATGGCTCGCTCACATACGTCCGCGGCCAGATCATCATGCATGCACGCCTTGTGCTAGCGCGAGCTGTTACAATTGCTGTACGCTACTGCTCGATTCGGCGGCAATTCAGAGATCGCGACTCGAAAAGTCCGCAGGATGACGAAATGAAGGTGTTGGACTATCCGACGGTGCAGATCCGTATCCTGCCTTTGCTCGCCACGACGTTCGCTCTGCATTACACGGGTGAGTACATGTACGAGCTTTACCGAAAGAGCAGAGAAACTATCGAGGCGGGTGATTTCGGGCCTCTTGCGGAGTTGCACAGCGCGAGTAGCGGTCTGAAAAGTTTATGCACCACACTTGCGGCTGATGGCATTGAAACATGTCGTCGAGCAATGGGAGGTCATGGGTTTGGTGGACGCAGTGGGCTTGTAGGACTCAACGCAGACTATCTTAGTAAGCCTACGGTAGAAGGAGATAACTGGATGATTACACAGCAGGTGGCGTCCTACTTGATCAAAAAAATATCTGAGGCGGTGAAAGATCCTCACGCCACGCCAAAAGATCCCACCGACGAGCTTTTCCAGTACTACCTCAAGAATAGGAGCCACCGCGTACCGCAGACTGTGGTGAAAGACGGGACTATTGACGATCAAGCAATCGTCGAGATCTTCCAATGGCGCGCGGCGGACCTCTCCTACCGGGCCTACCAAGCTCGGGTCGTCGAGAAGAAGGGCTGGACGAAAATGATGATACAGCTTCACAACCTTAGTCGCGCATACTCGGAACAGATTCTGGTTACAAACTTTTACAAGTCATTTAGTACGCTGTCGAGTCTCAGCTCGCCGACCCCGAACGTCCTCAAAATCTGCTTCCGCCTGTACGCCCTCTACACGCTCGATCAAGCCGCGTCCTCGTTCAGCATGACCGCCGCCGTGAGCCCCGAGTCGGTGTACGGTTTGCAGGATATTATTCTGGAGTTGATGGCGGAGCTGCGTCCGCACGCTGTCAAACTTGTAGATGCGTGGTCGATACCTGACTTCCTGCTTGACAGTGCTTTGGGACGGAGCGATGGCAAAGTGTATGAAGAGTTATTTGATATGGCGCATAGGAGGAACCCCCTCAACAAGGTGACGTTCGATCCGAATTGGAGAAGTGAGGATATTGTGATGGGAAGCGGCGATGGTGGAAAGCACGTGCTTGCGAAATTATAGAATAAACTTCAATGTGTAGGTTGTCGTGTATTCAGACTCAGTATTCTGTGTTGCGAGATGGCGTACAGTATGTTTTATCATCTCATCCCGTACCGTCATACGCAAACTTGGCTACTACAAGAGAAATTTGATGCCGCGACATCGAAGACGGTAGTGTTTCCAGATCAGACTCGAAGTTGTCTGCGTAGGTGCTAAGAGCAGGGTGAAAGGTCTGGGCACCTCTCACCTTGGTCCGAGACCCTTTGGCTGAGATGGTTTGTTTGCGCCAAGCTATCTACTAGGTGCTACACTGGCGCCTTTTCTGACTCTCACTTTCTCTCCATATCTTACGTGCCGCTACAACTTTCGACATTCAATATTCAAGCTACCGCCCTGAGCAGAGTAGTCTACTTGAAATGAAGGTACTCAAGCAACGCCGCGGCGCCAAACGCCAAAATATATCGTATAGGACCCTCGGCGATGTCCTGCGGAGCATCAGAGAAGACGTGTGAGTATCAGTGCACCAAAACAAAGACAACCAAGAGCTGACCAAGGCGTAGTGGATTGAACAGCCATACCCCGCTGCTTAGGCTTCCAGCAGAAATCCGCAACGAAATCTACGACTACACCTTCTCTGGCGAAATCGTTGGCGTTAACACGAAGCGTATCTGGGCGGGTCACGTCACAGCCAAACACCAAAAACACAACAGTCTACTTGCGCTCCACCAGACGTGTCGTCAACTCAGACGCGAGACCCGACACTCCCTGTATACCCACGCCATCTTCAGGTTCGATCGTATAGATTCAGACTCCGGCATCGCAAAGCTTGGACGTGAGGTTTATCAAGCTATCCAATCTGTCAAGCTTCACGACCGCTACGTCAGTCTGATTGTGGACCTTCACTCGATCTGCCCCGAACTTCGAAAATCTGCGTTGAAGGGTTGGGTCGTTGGAGATTTTGCTGCTCTCAAGAACGTCTATTCGCATATGTCGCGGGAAGATTTTGGCAAGACGAAGGAAGACAAGATATTCGAACAAGGTGTTAGGTGCATGTTTGGCAAGCAGGATCTGGTGGTTCGCGTGATTGAGTGTATAGAGTGATTCAGCTTTCGATCGCAGCCTGCAAAGTGGAGGCAAGACTATACGTACATAGGCATTGGCGGATGATGACACCGAAAGTGGTCAAGCGTGTGTACGCTAGCGAATGAACAAGATGAAAGTAGTCAAGTATGCGCTAAGACGGTTTGTCTTTCCCCCTCGCTCTCTTAGACTTTACCATTCGATCGACCTCGATATTCTCTCCTCACTTCCCCAACCCCTCGAACACTCCGCAACATCAACTCAACCTGATGGCCACTACCAAAGCACAAGCTGTTGCCGACATGCGTGCATTCGCTGATGCTGACAATCCCCTCGAGGAAATGTAAGCAACCACTCAAGATAGTAACAGCCGAAGAACTCACAGACAAAAGTACGCAAGCCAACCAGATCAAGTCTCCTCTACTCAAATTGCCCGCCGAGATTCGCGGCATTATTTACGAATATGTCTTCTGCGACCTCATTGTCCGAGTCAATACAAACGAGCCCCGGCTCAAACGGTACAGCACCTACCTCCAACCACTTGCACCACGCCAATTATGTCGTCAAATTCGTTGCGAGACCCAATCTGCCTATTTCAAGTACACCCAGTTCTACTTCCAGAACTATGATCTCTGTGACAGCAGCGACAAAGTTGCGCTTCCGCTCGGAGATATAAACTGCAGCGCGATTCAGTCGATCAAGTTAGAGCCGCGACTTTCCTACAACTTGGTGGAGTATGCATATATATATACCCAAAAGCTGCGGCGTGACAGTTTGGCGGCGAAGAGGCTCATGAAAGGCTTAAAAGTCGTCGGAAGAGAGTTGAGCGCATCCACATCATAGTCACCCCTATGAGGACTGCTTCGAGCTATTACAAGCACTACGAGACGCAGCCCAGAGAACATGTGTGTTTTATGTTCGGGAATAACGACATTCAATTGCACATCAACGATGACTGAACGAGTACATCGGGTGGCTGATGACTGCGCTGTAGGTGGGGGTCGAAGTGAAAGACTTGCGAGCTTTTTCCATCGTAGAAAATTGGTAGGCGGTGACTGAAGGCAACACGAAATGGCATATACATTCGGATTATTTGTAGTCTTTGTAACCATAACCTAAGCGCTGAAATTGCCAAGGAGTTTTGACTGTTATCTGGAGTGAGTTGAGAAACTCATGGATGGATTTCAATGACCGAAAGCTATTCACATATGCTGGTGAATTCTTCCGACTACGTCTGACGTGAAACTACTACCAGAAGAATCTGTTCGAGCCGTATCGTTTGATCCACTGTTCGTGCAACAAGTCTGCGGAGCACTGGCTGGGTGAAGGTGAAGTCGATGCCAAGCGTGCCGTTTGCACTTAGCTTGGGCGCACGACATCTTCCGGACTGCTACAACAAAACACTCTCTTGCCCGTACTCTTCGACCCCGCTCTTCAACTCCTACATCCGACACCGGTGTGCGTTTCTTCCACGACAATGGACAGCGGCACGCCATTCCAAGCGCTCAGCATCAGTGGAGGTGATCTTGAAGCCATGTGAGTGCGCGCCTGATACCTAGGTATTGACCACAGGGCCCTTGCTGACAGGAAGAATAGTACCCAGGCCAATCAGCGCACTTTGCTCCTCCTGAAGTTGCCGGCCGAGCTCCGCAACCGCGTCTACGAAGCAGTCTGTCTACACAGCACCATTTCAATTCTACCTAAGAATATCATCTACCATCCCGGAATGTTCTCACCAAATGCCACCAAGCATCGATCGGGCCTCCCTTTGGTGCAAGTTTGTCGCCAGATCCGCCACGAATCGATGCCAACATTCCTCCGCCATACGACTTTTGACTTAACAGAGCTGTATCATTCTCGTAATGAGGAGATAGACTGGAGTTTCCGCAAAGTAGCTCGTTCGATCGAACTACGCGCGTATCTGGCATGGGATATGATCTACTGCTGGGAAAGGCAGAGGATCACGTTGTTTAGTGTTGACATGCCATGTCTTGAAGATGTGTACGTCCTTGTGACGGGACAGGAGAGTTCCTGGTGTACCTTTCAGAGCCACAATGACTTTCAAGAGGCTTCAAGGGCGGCGTTCGGCAGTAAGAGCCTACAAATTCATTTCAAAGCTAGAAAGGGCGATTCGAAACAGCTCGGGGTTGGAGAAGGTAACGAAGCGGAGGGAGTACACACTATGAGCGATGCAGGAGATACTAGGTAATCCTCGCCAGACCTACATATGATCCGCAATTGGCTCAGTGATTGCTACGACAATGTAGCAGTTGAAGATTCTTTAATACATTAAAAGAGGTTGATTGAAAGAATTGTACTACCTCAGCATTTGCTTCAAGGCTATATCAGTCTACGTTGCCCGCATCGAGGTTCCGCAAAGGCATCTAGGTTGACTGTTTCACTGATGATGTATCATTGCTAGTGCTTCTGGCTCCAATGGTCAGGATGGTTCCATGTGTGATAAAGTGAAATGGAGCATCTCCAATATATGAGATTGATGCCTCGAGAACCAGGACTCACACGAAGTGAACAGCAGCCTGCGCCGCAGGTTCACGCCAAGCACATCGTTTGCATTCGCACCGGCACCCGTTGCTTATCCCCACCCAACACCTCAGTCAGCTAAACCTTTCCTACCCACTCTACTGGACCTCAACTTCCACAATGAAAAAGCCTACGCCACTTTTCAGCATGGACAGCAGCATCTGGGGCTATAAGCCACAAACTGCCGAGCACTATTGCGAGTGGATGTACGTCTGTCCACAATCCTCACTTAAGACTTACTAACAGACAAAACACAGTACTCAAAGAAACCAGCGCGAATCAACCTTGTTGCGCGTGCCCGCTGAGATCCGCAACATGATCTTCGACCTAGCTTGTCAAGATACCGTCATCACCGTCCCGTACATCGCTCTTGTTCAGCCGAGGGAACCACAGAAGTGCGCACACCAGGGATCCTCTGCTCTGCTACACACCAGCCGCCAAGTGCGCCACGAAGCGCATCCTATCTTCTACTTCCACGCCGTGTTCAGATTCGGAGGGATCGGAACCGCCAATCTGAACAACAAGCTGGGACAACATGTGTGCAACCACATCCGTGCCATTGAGCTTCCTCAGAGCGTAGCGACTATAATGACTCTCTCCGGGACAAATGTAGATTTGTGCAAGACAGAGTACGGTGCAGACCTGCCGAGCCTCGACCATGTGTATGTGAAAGTGGTTAAAGGGCTGTGGAATTCTTCTGGTCCCGCAAACAACATATACGGCAACATTGAAGGAGCAGTGAGGAAGATATATGATAGGCCTCGGCTGATCGCTTTGGTCCCGACGGTATTGTATACGCCACCATCCCCTCTGCAGTAGGCAGGAGGCCCTGGTCAAGCTCCGCCGTCGTGGGCTCTGTAGGCACGAAGCGAAGCCGATGAGGACATTTCAGATGGGATGTATTGAAATAGAGTTGATATTCAAGGATAAAGCTGGAATATGAAAGATTACGAAACATTGCAAAAGTGAAGATGCCATCTCCCTCTTAAAATCATGAAGTCAAGTTCCGCGCTAGTCCAATCGATAACCCGCTTACATAAACGCACGAGCCCCCAATCCATCCACAGCTTTGCCAAACCACATTGAGCAATCGTGAACATCACCTCGCCATATCCTGCATCTCGCCAACAAATTCCTTCCTGGATCTATCACCTCCAGGAAACACATCAAAAAATCCTTGCAGTCGAGGAAATACTGAGAGAAAGAGCTGGGACACCCCACATCGAGGCGAACAAAATGGACATTCGTGTGCTGCGCCCGTCGGACATTCCGCATGTCCAGCTTGCGAACATTACGAACCTGCCGGAGAATTACTTTTGCAAGTACTACTTGTACCATGCTATGAGTTGGCCGCAGTTGAGCTATGTTGCTGTTGATGTAAGTACTTGTGGACTTTTGTTTCGCCTCTACGTCTACCACTATGCAATGCAGAAAGAGCTGGGAGTATGTCGAGACAAGGGATCGATTTAGAAGAGCATGGAAATACGTGCTTGCGTTGCAATTATGCCCCATGGGCCAGCACGAGCAACGGTCATGGATTAAAAACAAAAGAGACACCACGTGACCCTTTCCACCCACCACCTACGACCATCACATTACCACCCATCCATGCATCCATCTACTAACATCTTCAAGGTCTCCCGCCCGCCCAAAACCCCCTACGACCCGCCCAAAATCGTCGGCTACGTGCTCGCCAAAATGGAAGAAGAACCCACCGACGGCATCCCCCACGGCCACATCACCTCCCTATCCGTAATGCGCACGCACCGCCGTCTCGGGCTCGCAGAAAAACTCATGCGCCAGTCCCAACGCGCCATGGCCGAGACTTTTGCCGCGCACTACGTCTCCCTGCACGTGCGCATGTCCAACACCGCCGCGCTGCATCTGTACCGCGACACGCTGGGCTTCAGCGTGGACAAGGTCGAGGCCAAGTACTATGCCGACGGCGAGGATGCGTATAGTATGAAGATGGAGCTGGACGGGCTCAAGCAGCAGCTAAGGGAGCAGGAGGAGGAGATTTTCGGCAGCGAGGGGAAAGATGAGGGCGAGGCGGTTGGGAGCGAGGGCAAGGAGGAGAAGGTCAAGGTGAAGATTGGGAGGGGCAAGGGGGTCGCGGATTTGGTGGAGAGGAGTGAGGTTGCGACATAGGTGGGATGAGGTGACGGTGTGGACAAGAGGATGGGAGCGTTGGAGGTGGATGACGCTGCTGAGAGCGTCCAAAATAGGTCTTTTGTGATGATAGAATACCCGGATACTTGTCTCATAGTTAAAAAAATTACAAAAAAATCACCAGGTCTATATAAACGCCGCCCGTTCTTAATTTTTATTTCTCTTTTTCCTCTTGGGTGGATTATGTAATGTATTGAACTTATATCAATCTATGTGTTTTCGTATATTTTATATCACTATATTATTTTTTTTCCATGTGCATCTTCAATATCACATCACATCAGCCCACCCAAAACAACCTTGCCCACGCCCCCAACCTCACTCTTCAACCCCGCACGACAACTCTCCTCAAACTCCCTCACCACGCCCGCAAGAATAATCTTCCTGACCCGCGCATCCGCCTTGTTGAACAAATCACCCACGAGACTCGGTACGCCGCCGCCCGCCAAACTCACGCTTTCGGGCGTTCCTAGCATGCTGAGGATCTTGGTGTAGCAGTCAATCAAGACATCACAGAGTGTAGCGAAGGTGCTGAAGAAGTCGGGGTCGAAGGGTAAGGAGGGTGTTTGCAGGTGCGTGTAGGATTCGTTGGGGAGGAGGTCGTTGTTCTCCGGCGGCGAGTCGAGGCCGAATGAACTTTCGCTGTTGGCGCTGTTACTCGGCGTGAGTAGGGGGTAGTCGCTCAGGCCTGTTGCGCTACTACTCCGCCTAGCCTTCCCGCCCAGATTCGCGCGCTTGAACATTTGTGGGAGGCGCGCGCGGCTCAGGCTGGATGGGGTGCTGCCGTCGGTGGGGTGTATGCTTTGGTACTGTTCGAATTCGAGGAGGAGGGCGTTGAGGGCTTTGAGGTAGTCGGTCGGGGAGTTTGCATTGAGGTCGAGGATGGTGGGCAGGCTGAAGCCGAGGAGGAGGTAGTGGGTTGCGCGGCGGGCTTGGGCACGGGGGGTTGAGGAGGGGAGGCGGGTGAGGTCTGCTTTGGAGAAGAGCAGCGTGTTGAACCAGTATATGCGGCCCTCGTGGCTGGGGTGTGTTAGTTGAGAATGGGTTGCGGTATCAGAAGTACTTACGCCTTCCGCAGGTAGTCTAGTGTCGATATGCGCTTGGATGCCAGTTCTTGTATGTGCTGGAAGATGATGTTGGGGTTTGCACTGTTCGGCAGCGGTATAGGCGCGGCTGGTGCGAGCGTTGCATTTGCTTGTCGGTTCGCCTGCAGGATCTCCTTTTGTGTCGGTGGGTGCCTCAATGGCATAGGTACCGCCATGCCGAAGGGCGTCTTGGGCTTGTCAACCGCACTGAGTGGGCTCTTCTCGTAGGCCTGTGTGTTTGGTCCGCCCTCGGCCTTTACATTCTCGCTGCTCTTTTGCTTGTTCCGCGAGAATGTGGATATGGAGAGGGTGGGTCGGGGCACGCTGGCAGCCGCATTGGGGGCCTTTTCGGGGGAGTAGGTGAGCGCCAGGTTGGCGGAGGGGGTCCTCTTGTGCGAGGACGTGCTGGCTGTGCCGCCGGAAGTGTTGGTGCGGACAGAGTTGCTGCGAGAGCGGCGCAGAGACGAGCCAATGTCCGTGACCGAGGATGCAATCGAGTGCCGGCTCGCGTGCCTGCGGTGATGTGGCGTCGTCGGCTGTATGGGATTGCTGTCGTATTGGCCGGGCTCGTGAGGGGTCTCGTCTGGCGCAGGCGTGCTGCTGGGGGCGGGCGGGAGAATGAGGGCAGGCGGGGACGCGGCGTTGGTGCGGTGGTAGGAATGGGACGAGTAGGAGACGGAGGAGCGCGAGGCCTTGTTCTGGTGGCCCTTGGAGGAGCCCTTGGTGCTGGAGAAGAAGGACGGGCGGCGCGAAAAGAAGCCCGAGGCGGTGGCACTGGCACTGGCACTGGCACCGATACTGGCACTGGCACTGAGGTTGGATGCGTGGTCGGCCATTGTGCAATGCAATCCTTGTGGAGACTATAGCGACTACCAATAATCAGGGACGCTGCTCAGGGGTTCCGGGTTGTCACAGGCCCGCTTGCACGCCGGCCATGGCGGGGGTGGCTTCAACGGCTGGACGGCCAACACCACGCACGCGGCGCACGCGTGTATTTATAGAGGGCTCCCAGCGGACTCGGGGAACTGTGCGACTGCGGACAGCCAACTCTGTCTCGTCGTTGCGGCGCCTCGACGCTGGCCTGCGACACCAATGGGCCCCCAGCTCCAAGTCCGACGCAGGAACAGCTCTGGCGCTTCCGAGCAGAGTTGCTCCCTGGCCACTCATATCCACGGCCGCCCGCATCCCTGCCCACCTTCACCTCCACTGTCTGTCGCCCAAGAGTCCACGAGTCCACGAGTCCGAGCTCCCCGTCGCCCTCGATATCTTGGAAGCGGCGGCCACGTGCGACGGCAAACTAGATCTGCATCGCGTGTTTAGTGACTGCGCGTGCCTTCCAGACGCCCGCTGCATCTCCCACCGTCCCTCACCCATTCCGCGGTTTGACAGCCCCGCGCAGCAACCCCACGTCATCGCTACCACTGCTATTGCTACCATGCAGCGCCGCCAGAGCGCACGAGTACGTCTGCGCCAGCCATCCGGGACATTCACCCTCTAATCAGTCGCAGGGAGAGTACATCCCCGCCGAGGGGGACTGGCCCGTAGATCCCCAGCACGACGTCGAGGTTTCAGACCAGCGCATCTGGGTCGACGGCTGCTTCGACTTTGCCCACCACGGTATGCCTGTCGTGACGCCTCTATCCCGCGCATGCTCACCACCTCGCAGGCCATGCCGGCGCCATGCTGCAGGCCCGCCAGCTGGGCAACGAGCTGCTGGTAGGCGTGCACTCGGATGAGGCCATTCTCGAGAACAAAGGCCCCACCGTCATGCGCCTCAACGAACGGTGCGCCCTGCCACTGAACTCTATGTACGACACGCACTGATTATCCCAGGGTCATGGCCGTCGAAGCCTGTCGCTGGGCCACCAAGGCCGTCCCCAAAGCCCCCTACGTGACCTCGCTCCCCTGGATCACGCACTACGGCTGCCAGTACGTCGTGCACGGCGATGACATCACCTCCGACAGCGACGGTAAGGACTGCTATCGCTATGTCAAGGCCGCCGGCAGATTCAAGGTCGTCAAGCGCACTCCCGGCATCTCGACGACCGACCTCGTGGGCCGCATGCTGCTGTGCACCAAGACGCACTTTATACAATCCCTCGAGAAGAGGCTGTCCGGTGACGAGGGCCCAGGTGGAGAGGCGGAGCGCCTGGAGACGGGACAGGCTATGCTGCAGCGCATCAAGGACTATGCGACGGATGCCAGCGGACTTGCGCCTGGCTGCGATGTGTGGTACTGGCATGCTTCGCGTCCGGCGAAGCTGCGGAGAACGACAACCAGCAATGCCGCTCCGCCCGAGCGGCCAGGCGTTGTACGGTCAGAAACCGTAGGCAGTCAGAACCCTGTCAAGGAGGAGAAGGGCAAGTTCCACCAGCTCGTAGAAGGCAAGGGAGTGAAGCCCGGACAGAGAGTCGTCTACGTCGACGGAGGATGGGACCTGTTTTCTTCCGGCCACATCGAGTTCCTGCGGCTCGTCACCCAGGCTGAGGAGACCGCCGCAAAAGCCAAAGGATGGTTCACCGAAGAGGCCAAGAAGGAGCGCATAGAAAAGACCGGCGAAGACTACCCGCCTGCCTTCATAGTCGCGGGCATCCACGACGACGAAGTCATCAACCACTGGAAAGGCATCAACTTCCCCATCATGAACGTCTTTGAGCGCGGCCTGTGTGTACTGCAATGCAAGGTCAGCAACCAACATCAACTCCACCATCACCAGCTAACGTGCCCAGTACGTCCACGCCGTCGTCTTCGGCTCGCCCTTCTCCCTCTCCAAAGCCTTCCTCCTCACGCTCCCCTACTCCACCCCCACCGCCGTCTACCACGGCATCACCAAATTCATGCCGCTCACCTACGACCCCTACGCCGTCACCAAGGCCCTCAACATCTACCGCGAGATCGCTAACCACGAGTTCCAAAACGTCAATTCCGCCGAGATTGTCGCCCGCATCATGAAGGGCCGCGCGCTGTACGAGGAACGACAGCGCAAGAAGGGCGAGAAGGGCATGGGCGAGGAGGTCGAGAGGCTCAGACAGGAGCTGGAGCGCGAGCAGAAGAGGAAGGAGGTTGAGGGGCAGTTTGGGCTTTAAGTTGGTTGTTGCATGAGCGAGCGAGCATTTGGACAGACATGGTTAAGTTGAAAATACCCTTTTGGACAAATCGGTTTAGAATTGACACTTTGGGTTCGCCGGCGTGATTTGAGCGACTCCTAATCTTTCTGCCCGATTGTGTCTTGTCTTCTTCTAACTCTTTACTTCTCCCCCTTCACAGACTCCCTTTGTACGCAGCTCATGCATGAGAAACGAAACTACAACGACCACAGCCCGGTCTGTCTTCTCTCAGGCCCGACTCAATATCTCCGTCCTTCACGCTCCTACACTGACGCATGTCGCCACACGCACTATCCCGAGGCGCATGCTCGATCACAGCTTCGAGCTCGTAATCTTGTCTCACTTCAGCTAACCAAGTAATTCATGGCCCCGCGGGAATGTTTACATGTGACGGTTCTCCCGCGGTATCGGCGGAGCAGCACACTAACGATCGAATCGCGGTAGTGCAGCGCTGCAATGGCGAGGATGAGGCCTGTTAGACCGAAGGCGATTTGCAGGATGATTTCGATTAGGTCGTCTTGTGGCATCGTAAGGAGGGGTGGCTGGGGTTGGAGGAGGAGAGATGTATCGTGAGTAATTCGTAATCGATGCAATGAAGGGTGCTCAGGTTAAGATGTAGAATCACACAGTGTGGATACGAGGGACGAAAGAAGAAAGTGGTAGACTACGCAGATGTATATTGTAGAAATAGCGAGATGAGTGGATGGTGGGATATATACAGGTCGCCGTCACGCTGCTGTGTAGTATGAGCAGTCCTTCTTGCTGCGCCAATGGTCTGGATACTCTTTGGGCCAAGAGAGCGAGAGCGAGAGCGAGCCGGTCAACTTGCGCCAAGTCTGCAGTCTTTCGCAGTCTGAGATGGGGAGGGAGTGGCATGGTGCCAAGCGTTCACTCTCTTGTATCATCAGATATGTAGGATGTGGTAGACTGCCAAGAGAGCGTGATGTTTACCTCAGCACTGCTGGGCAACGATTTCAGTGTGCCAAGGTCACTGGAGATGTGTAGCCAGTCCGATTGAGGTGGGCGGAAGCTGAGGTTACCTTTAACGTCCGCAGCTTACATCTGGGCGTGTACATCAGCCTGGCCAAGGGTGGGCTTGGCGCTTGTGCGCTATTTTCCTCAGCTGGGGACGGTTTTGTATGCAAACTGGCATAATATGGGAATGACGACATCGAGCACAGGTTTGAACCTGTTTACTTCAGGTTTGGACGTCCGACCAACGCATGTATGTACGTGCCTGGCATCGCCCTATCCTCGCATCTAGGTGAGGTAACACAGTGGAGAATATTGAAAGAGATGCGATATTGACAGACACTGCTTTAGCTAGGATCTGGTACTATTTTGTTGCTACGTAAATGGAATCCACTGTGAGCTACATGTTTCACGCTTTATGAGACGGTTGACTACACTTACCTCGGCCGCATCAAGATGTGACTTCATGGATGCTTCTCTTGTTGGCGATTGAACGTAGATGACATACTGGGACTAGGATTATCTCGCACATGTGCAATCATCTTAATGGGTGGTGCTCGTACATACGCTGTATCCGGGGTCGTTTAGGGGTTGGCATCTCATCGAGCGTTTAGACGTCTCTCGTACTGAAGCGAGTCTGAAAATAGTGCGGCAGTGCAAGACCGGTTTGCTTATGCAGGTTATCTGGACGGAAATTGGATTACGGTTCGTTCTCTACACTCTACTTCAATAATTTTATCAACATGCGGTCAGACTCGACAAGTTCTTCAAGGCAGGGAGAACAGTTCTTGAGAGCATGAAACAAATTTTAATTCAGATTCTTTTGAGACTAAGTACGCGAGAGATGTGAAGCAACAACCTGGTAACTTGTGGGAGTTGACAACCATAAGCGCCCGGTCGAGTTTCGCGTAACAATCTCGTTGCAAAGTATCCGATATCCGACCTGAGGCTTAATAAGGCTATCATGATTCCCGTGACTTCAAGACCAGCCTGCTAACGGTACGATTGGCGTGCAGTCCACGTGTATCACCAGATACAGGCTAGTTCCTTCAAATTGTGAGGAGTGCAGGATTGGGTGCTGTTCTTGCTGCTGCAGGACTGTCTGATCGAAGTGGCTAGAGCGCCATGTCGGGGCTGACTGCACGTAGACAATGACATGTGGGTTTTGTTTCTCGTGGTCCGACCCCGCCGTCACCTGCCTTCAGCTGCATCGTGTCACCCAACGGGCCAATGGATGTCCGCGTAGTCTCTCTAGGATGTTAGGATTGACGCCAACATGCATATAGTCAGGCTCGATTGACGGTTCAACGGACTTTGTTGGAAATATAGCTTCAGCCTAGCCGGATATGGTACCATTCTCTACTTGTCGCTTGCCTCAGAGAGAGTCGCCAGGTACACTAAGAGGGGGCAGAGCAGGTATAAGACCCTGCTCCCAAGTTCAAAATCTCTGGGAGTACTGCATCATTCTGGCAAAGTCGTTTCGAACTTTTACATTTCAAGTCTCTCGGCTCCGATTCTCGACTACCGAGAGAAAGGATCTTGTCTGAAAGACGTATTTCCACGACCAATCCCAACCCTCTCTCTTGTCATAACACAAGCACCAGTCACTGTTATACACTACATTGAGGCTATGTCGAATACATCGGAAGCAACCAACATACTTCAGATATGCTTCGGCATCCTCGGAATCTTCAGCATGCTCGTTGCGCTAGCTGGTCTAAATTACCGCGACTCACTGGGTTGTGTCTTGCTGCGTCGATACCGCCGGTCCCGGGAGATATGTAGGCTAATAAACCCCTTTGGAACACCACCGCGATACTGATTCCTAGTAGACTACGAGATGGAGGCGGGACTTGTATTTGAAGACGATGTACGAGGCGGTCGTAATACGATTGGACGATACGTGTAGGACTGTTGACTGTGTTTGGGCTGGCTCGATGTTTTATGAAGTTGAGCTTGAGCACTCATTACTCCCAGTTGTTGGCTTGCTTCTTTCCAGCTTTCTACATCAAGACTCTTGTATATCTTGCCGCCCGAATTTTTTTGCATGAGAGAGATGATTACAAGGAAGCAGAGTTATGATGTAGAACTGGGTAGGGAATTGGTGCAGGATGAACGATGGGACAGGCCATCGGCGACTTTGATAGAGATATCAGTACAAGCCCGATAAAAGGATTAGAGGCTATTAGAGGCTGCCTATCCCCTTACAGCAATCTCTAACAGTAAAGCTATATTACTGCTCCTAGGTAATTACTACCTATAGTTATAGATCTACTTATTTATCTTATATTACTTACTACTTATATAAGCAGTAAGCTATAATAGTAGCAAGCAGTAGCACTAACTGTTAGAAGCGCTGTCTAAGTCTTTATAATAGATAGATAAATACAATTCAATGCATGATATTTATTACTACCACACCTAGGCTCGCACTGAGGTCACTAGGTTGGCTCTCGACGGGATGTCTGCCGCCTTGCTCCTGAATGAGCATTATATACATCATTACTGTCGTCAATGAGGCCCCGCCAAATCGTCAAGGTCCTTGTAGTGTCTCATGACTGGTCGTGATGGAGTGCTGCAAGATAAAATGGAAACACCGAAGCTCCTTCGCTAAAATGTCAAACGTTATGCAGATTCATGATGGTAGCGACTTCAGTAGAGTGCTACCCCTGTGGTGCCAATGAAGGCGCGCCATCGTCGTTTTCCTATGTATGCAGAATAAGCTTATGTATAACTTTTTATACAAATGGTGGATACTGTTCGGCGGAGGCGGGATGTTTGGTAGTGCTCGATGCGTATCGAGTGCCGAGACAGCATTAGAGGTAGAGCGGCGTCCTGGTTGACGAAGCAGCTCGAAGGAAGGGTAGTTGTGAATCTGCACCAATGGTCCGAGGCGAGATAACAGAGACGACTTCCTAGTGTGCAGAGGGGTATGAAGTAGACGTGAAGTGACTGGCAGAGGATCGCATGAGCATCCGTTGTACGAAGTGTGCGGATCCATGACCTAGAATGCTGCCAACAGTGGTTAGCTTGGTTACATGTACGTTGGCAGTAGCTTGGTACCTTCGAGTAACCCACGTTCTATTCGTTGTGTCACTATCCCTCGTCCCTCTTGCGCAAGCGTTCTTCTTTCTTCTTTCGATCACGTTCGTCTTTGTCCTTGCGTTCCTTTTCGCGTCGTTCATCCGCCTTCCTCTGATCCGCGGCGCTGGTGTCTTCTGGGCGGTTTGTTAGCATTATAAAGTATCATAAGCGTGCAAGTGGCCGCTTACTGTTGATACTGGGCTGCCGGCTAATGAATGCAGCGATCATCCCACGTCTGACCTTGTAGAGCCCAAGTCTATCGATCGTCTTCTTTCCGATGATGATATCGAACAACTCCGAGTCTACGACATGACATTTCGAGCCGTGGAAACGTAGAGAATTTGACGTCCACCATCGGAGTTCCTGGATGGCAATACTTTGGTACTCTTCTCTACCCGTAATGCCGTAGGCCAAAAATTTGCCAGTGGTGGTATCAAACGTCAAGCCAAAATTCTCTCTCAGGTACGCCGTGGTTATGATATCCTCATCACATTGTGGGTCGAAACGTATGGCCGCCGCTCGTTGGATTTCGTCCCGCCCATTCACAATGATTGCGATTGTACCGAGTTTGTTCCAAATGTCAATTTCAGGTTTGTTGAGTAGTGACTTGACGAACATCTTTAGTCGCGTCCTCAATCGCATGGGAGAGCTTTGCGACAACCCATCACAGTCACGACTACTCTCAATTGATCTTCGGGGCTGGCAAGTGGCGGGTATCGGTGGGGTGCGCAACGTATCATGCAGCGAACGGTGCGGAAGAAGTGGCGCTGCTCTGTGGGTATCGCGGGTGTTCGACACCATAGACGCATGAACGGGGGCTGCCACACGATCCAAGTATCAGCCTAGCAAGAACAAGCAAGAACAAGCAATAGCAAGCAAGAATTGGCAAGAATAATATCCTACCCGTCGCAGTAGTTCTCGATCTCGAAGGAACCTCCTCGTCTCTATTCAATATCATGTCTGCTTCACAGTCTATTTCCAACAGCTGGTTATGAAGAAGATGGAACCGGTGTCAAGGGGTTCTCGCAGTAACGCGACGACAGGAGCCGGTGTGAGTGCCGTAACATGGGTGGATTAGAGCGGTACAGCTACTTTGACATTCGCAGGTGGTATGACTCATGAGGACGTCGAAATGTGCTACTGATTAGAGCTGCGGTCAGTGGCGGTCGTGTGGACCCGGTGTTGGAGGTTCTCGGACGTGACAGCGTTGCGAACCTACGGGAGACGCCGCTCGAGTAAGGCAGGTCTACAGGAGGAGCCAGTCAACGAAGATTGGGGCTGTGAGGATCTAGCCGGAAGCAGCTTCGCGTCACAAACCAATGGTGAAACTTGCCTTCCGATCTTGAATTGCTGAGGGATTCTTTGACCAGGATGATTTGAATAAGGCGTTACGGCCATGGGACTCGACTGGCGGTGTGCCGACTCCATTTAACGCTCGCTGTTTCCAGGATGCCCTTCAACCGTCATCGACCGCAAATATCGCGTTCTGACCCTACAAATTCAGAAAAATACTCGCTCACCCTATCCAAACATAGCTCTCTCAAAAGGTCGCGCACACTATCGTACCTAGGCAGCTACTGAGCTCTAAATGTATGTAGGAAACGGTCATGCTGAAGCCCGCGCATCCAAACGGTGTATCTTGCCACCATGATGTGCAAAGCCTCAGGGATTAGCTGTTGACCCTGAGTTCGCTGACGTGGCGTGGCGATAACACTTGCAGCATGCGAAGGTGATGGTCAACCAGTGGAGTGAGGTATATGGCCTAGTGGGACAAAACATGCGCTAGCTGGAACGAATGAGGTCCTCCAACTAGACGCATTGCGGCATAGTCTACAGTCGCAGAGCCACAACCCTCACCGGTAAATGGAATAAAGAAAGTTCGACCAACGATTGGATTATAGGAAAAACCGGTCCGGGGCGTGATATAAGATTCCCTTGCCCTAAACGCACAATCGTTTCCACTTTCTTCTGATGAGATTGCACCAATTCGTGAATTTGAAGAGCACCATAAGATCCCGGGTTTACTCGCTGTGCCCTTCGTAAGATTTTTGGAAGACATGAGCTCAGCCAGTGGAGGATTGCACGACGAGGATTTGTACGACAAAGGAAAGAGTGAAGCTTCGACCATGACTTTCTCAAAAGGCCACGACGAAGAAAGAAGACGATACGGCCGTGGCTTGCCAGAAGAGTATCAGACAAACGTAGGAAGCCCGATAAGGAAGATCGATAGCTTTGACCTCATAGGGCCTCGCGAGCGGTGAGGCATTGACGACTTGTGTACTTTTATTTATGTACCATAAATTACAGTAGCTAAGAGACACACATTGAAGTTGTTACTGTTCCCAGGTGTTGCTAGCTAGAGTGGAGTCGAATGCAAATCTTCTGTATAGATGACTAAGACTGTGCTAAGGCCATTCCGCTAATGGGAAGTCTTATCGGTTGCTACAAATACCACTTGTACGGCGGCAAAACTGTATTTGTCAACATGTGTTCACGAAAAGAGAAGGTAGTGCTCACGCAGCAGTAACAGCAAACACCTCTGCACGCCTCGCATTTGTGAATCCTACCAGGCACAGTGTTACCAGCATATTGAAAACCGCAATAACAACAAGCCTCATGGGCATCGAATGCACGCAGTAGAGCACTGCGATAGATGCTATTGGAAGGAGAGATGCCAGTACACTGGTGATCCAGTATGTAATGCGGTAAATCGTACTGTCTTCATAGCCGACCCCCCCATGGATTCGAGATGGCTTGATTAACCGCGCACAGCCGCACTTGAACAAATTTAGAATCGTACTATCAGCTGCCCATTTCGAGAATGGGTCCATCTCCGTACGTGGACAAAGCGCGACAAGGTCCGGTTGGTGCGACTTGCGATGTTCCACCGAGCCCCATGCTCCAGCATCGTCGCCTGTCAAGGCAAGTGGGCCCATAGCGTCAGTCTGGAGATAGTTCTGCATGTAGTGCAGATCCCAGGTTGCGTGCTTGTGGAAACTGTGGATTCGACGCTGTTGTATCAGAGCTTTATCTGCCATACGTGAATAAGTAAGTGCTGTTGCGTGTTGACCGAGTGCCTCACTGTATTTTTTCAGCAACTCTCTCATTCTCAGGACCAGATCTAGTTGCTCGGTATCCCCATTCTCTTCTGACTCTTGGAGTCGGTACCATGTCTTCGCGTACATTGCTTTCGTCCCTTTCCTATCCTGATCATCTTCCACTTGTTGTCTCGTCAACTTTTCTTCAAGATCAGTCAACTCAGCCTGGAAGTAGAGAAGGTTCAGCGCGTTTAAAGCGCCGAAACGACGGAATATAGCTAGCTCAGGTTGAATATCGATTTTTCGTGCGAGCTTTGGGTAGCCAATCACGGACTTGGGGAAAGGATCAGAGGCGAGCATTGTGTTTAGATCGTTCACCTTTAGCTTGCATAAGAAGAAAGTAAGTGAAGTGCATAGTTCGTCGTGGGGTCAGACATGCTTATGATTTATATGTTATGTTTAAAAAGGAACAAGGCTGCAAGGCAATCGTGTCGAGATATAGCCTAGATATTGCGAGGTCAGACTAAGGCGATCTGCGTAGGCGCATTTGTAAAAATGCCTCACGCTGCAGAGACGTCAGGCTAGGTATTGCAATATCAGTTCCTAGGTCGCTCCTTCGAAAACAATGGCGCGGAACATTCGTAGAAATCTGTAGAGTGCCGTGTTCTCGAAGGACGCCAAGGCTCAGTCTGAATGGCACTCGTCGGATGTCTGTCCGGGTGTACGAAGGAGCTCGTATTTACTGACCCGACATGCTAAGGTCAAATTTGGTGTAGCAAGTTGACTCAATAATTACGAGCTCCTTCGTAGTACAACTCTATGTTGCAATAAGTTGTTCAAAGAAGTGGTTAATCACATCATTGCCGCTTTTCAGCCCATAGCTCAGTAAAATCGCACGTTTGTTCCTTACCAGTAGTCGTGGCCAGGAGATACGGTTAGCTGAAGAAGGTCACCTGACGACGGCGCCTAACAATGTCGCCTAACGATGTGGTCTTGCATTTAACGTAATCTCAGAAGAGGAATCAGTGGGAAGGAGTTAGTGTCCAATTACGAAGGAGCTCGTATTTATTGAGTGAACTCGCTTTACTAAATTCGGCCTTAGCGCGTTAACTCAGTAAATACGAGCTCCTTCGTAAGACGTGCAGCAGTACTTCGTACGGGCTAACCACTTGTGTGATTGTCCAATCAAAGCTCGGTGGGGCGCAGATGAGAAGGTCAGCATGAGATCCATGCCTTTTTTGTTCGCGACTTGTCTCCGTGAGAAACCTTGCTAGCTCAAATCGTGCGTCCCAGGGCGCAGGTTCACCTACACGCATTTGCGCAGGTGATGGTTTCCTGCACACTATGCTGCCACTGAGGTCCCTTTTCCATGACAAGGCGAACGAGCTCCTAGTCAACACAGCTCATGGTTTTCCCACACAATGAACTTCTGTGGTCTTTCGCGGCTTCTTCGCGTTAAAGAGGTTCGTTCGCCCGCGTGTCGCAATGATGTTCCGCTCATACTGATCCACGATCCACGCACAGGATCGCACCCGACTTCAACCCACACCGATAGAGATACGAGCTCGACTATCTGAAGATACAGAAACGTCGCGCGTTGCGATACTCTCGTATGATCCTACTTCAAATACAAACATTATCTCATACCATCTCGCTACCAAGATATTGGAAGAGCCCATACACACCCTCGACAACTCTACTACGAACCATGTACGAACGACGATACACGGCGAATGAGATCAGTGTGGTGACGTTTGACGTGGCACTGGGTGCTTCGGAAGACACCATTCGATAGCCGATGGGCATACTTTCGCGATTACTTCGTCACTACGACTTATGATCCACCTTATGACGCAGTACTAGGACGGAGAGATGCGGAGGATTACGGTATGCTTCGATCGCGAAGTAGGCGGTAATACTTTAAACTACGATTTCTGACCACAACCTTTGCCCCATTGCTATGATTGCATCTCTTGTTGACGCGGTGCACTGCCTTGTATATGGGATTATGAGAGGGCCGAATTATTCGTGAATCTGCTGGTGAAGGACTTTCCCTAATGTGCATCCATCCGCACCTTATCAGCCGCCTTTTGGTAGAATTTCAAACTGCCAACATTGTAGAGTATCTCTCTGCAGTTGAATTGCACTAGTTACTTCTTTAATAGGTGTACGATGTGCTGAGATATTGATTGTCGAAGTTTGCTGACTGCATTGCGTTTCGATGAGGCGAGCCGTGACCGGTCTGTTGGACCCACTTCCACGCATGAGGTTAAATGGAGGACTGTCTTGGCTCCATTCTTTACAAGAAATCAAGATTTCTAAGATGTAGTTCAGTATGTCGGTCTCACCGCGCAGCGGTCCTGAAGGGCCAGTGTTTTTCCTGAAGGGGCCATCTAAATGAGCGCTACGTTCCTATCTATCTCTGGAGGCAAAATATCGTCTATAGCCCTTGCCGTTGCCGTGCAAAGACGACGCTTTTCGTCTGTGCCCGTGGTTTTGGTGTTCCTCTCTATCGATAGTTAACGTGCCCGTGCGCGTGATGCGCGCCTACGCGTGATGCGCGCAGAACACCATTTCTGAGATCACAAAGATGAGGCTATAACAACGCGTACGATAGCTATTATTATAAGATTTCTTAGTAGTTTAGTAAATAAGACCTTGCGATTATTTTATACTATTTAAATTTACTTAGGAGCTTAACGTTGCAGCTACGTGACGTTACCTAGAGTAGTAGAGGAGATAGAGCAGGTAGAACTTAAACACTACCTGCAGCATCTCTAACGCGTTTCTAACGCTTCTCCTTAGAGAAGACTGCTTATAAGACTTTACGCTTACCTCTTTAGAATAATTATATAGCTTTCTTAGCGTTGCGCTATTATTTTTAACGCTTGCATTTAGCCTATTTCTTAGCTTTCTCTTTCTTCTTTACTACCTTAAGTCTCTATTATTCTGCACGCCTATCCTCTAGCTTAATTTAACGCTAAACTTTAGTAGCCTTATATAACTCCTTATAATAAGCTTTTTAGAGTTTCTTCTCTATCTTATTATTAGCTCTAACCTTCTCTCTTACATAGGCCTCTCTAACCTTTTAAAGAGACTAGAAGATAGCTCTACTATAGTACTCTTAATGCTATTAAAGGTTAAGAGCTTTGCTCTTCTTTTTATGCTTCTTTTAGTATTATAGAGCCTTTTATAGACTCTTATTTTTATGCTGCAAAAGCTAGTTTTAGATAGAGAGTTAATAAAGAGTAAGGCTTAACTTTTTAGCCTTATTCTAGCTAGTATTCTTTACTATAGCTTATACTAAACGCTCTATTTATAGCTAATTAGATAGTAAGAGCCTTAATAAGCTAGGTAATTATTTAGATATTTAGGTAAACCTTTTAAGCACAACGTTAGAGTCTTTTAGCTATATTCTTATTATTTTAAACGCCTTTAAGATAAGTATTTTCTTGCTAAAAATAGATACTTAGGCGTTCTAAAATAGCTTAAAAAAGTTACCTTTAGGAATAGAGATAAGCCTCTAAGCTCTATAGAGATAAGTAGTAAGGCATTAGGTATAGGCCTATAAGAGCAGCTTAAATAGAACGACGTTAAGTAGTTATAATATATAGGTTAAATAAGATAGAAATACTATAAGAAGAATGCAATTATAGTTATAATAGCTTATAAAAGCTATAGTTAGGTAACTTCTATAGCTATCTAGGATAAGTAATTAGTATAACTAACTAGCTTTCTTCTTTATATAATAGTTAAATATCTGCTTAAGCTAAGCTAAACTAATGTTATTATTACTCTATTCTATTAGTATTAAGATTATAAAAACCTAGTGTTTTCTAACGTCTATAGCGTCTACCTAAGATAATTATATTGCACCTTTTTTAGCTGCGTAGATAAGGCTAAGCAGCAATAAGCTTCTATCTGCGCAATAATAGGCTAGCACTGTTAGAAACTTACGTAATCTATTCTAGAGAGATACTCTAACCTCTTTCTTAATCTATTAATACTAGAAAAAGATTCTTTTACTCTTACTAATAAGGCCTATTAAGAAGCTTTTCTTATCTATATTATAGCTATTTTCTAGCTTAATATTATACTTCTCTAGAGTAGCAAATAGGTATAGGTTAGGTTATAGTTAAGTATTATATAATATAAACTCTAAATTAACTTAATCTATACCTAAACTTTCTAGCTAGAATAGGTATAAGTTAGGTTATAGTTATAGATATTTAGGTTATAGTTAAGTATATTATATAATAGAGTTAAAGTTAAAGTTAAGTATTATATAAGCAAAAATTTAATAATTTTTTTTATTCTCTAAAGCATCTATACTACTAAATTAAGTAATTTAGAAGATTAAATTTTTGCTTATATAATACTTAATTATATAGTTAAGTATTATATAATAAAATTAACCTAGGTTAACCTAGACTTAACTTTCTTATATAATACTTAACTTTAACTTATATAGTCTTTAGCATTAACTTAACCTTAGTTAACCTATACTTAACTATACCTTAACTTATACCTATATATAAGTTATCTATACCTATTTGCTAGCCTATACTTCTCTATCTTCTTATATAGCAGCTTAAAGTAGAGTCTATATTTAATCTTAGAGTTAGCTAAAACGCATATATAATTAAGACTAAAGGTCTATTTTAAGATAAGATAGACGTTATATTAGTAGATAAAATAAGTAATCTATGCCTCGCTTAGAGGCTAATAAGCAACCTTAAAGGCAAAATTTTTAATTATCTCTCTTATAGGTAGTAGCTCTTATTTTAAGAGACTCTCTATATATTATATAAGTTCTAGCTCCTATTATAGATTAAGTTTCTACTAGTTCTAGTTTTTAGCGTTAGCAGAGCTTATCTAGCTCTAGTGCCTTTAGGTTAGCATAGGATTAGAATAATATTATATTTTTATAGCAACTTCTATATATGTAAAATATTCTTCTTCTTCTAGGAATTTAATTTTCTTTAATTACTGCTTAAATTAAGTCTATATTAGTAGAGTTATTGCATATTAAGATAAATAAGTTATAATGTATTTTAGTATTCTGTGCGTATTATGCGTAGGCGCGCATTATGCGCATAAGCAGGCTAGCAAATAGGTATAGATAACTTATATATAGGTATAAGTTAAGGTATAGTTAAGTATAGGTTAACTAAGATTAAGTTAATGCTAAGACTATATAAGTTAGAGTTAAGTATTATATAATAAAGTTAAGTCTAAGTTAAGTTATCTTACTATAAAGTTAAGTTATAGTTAAGTTTTAGAGTACCTAATAAGTTATAAGTAAACTAAGCTTATTTTAGAAAACGTATATATTATTTATTCTATGCAATTATTATATTAATTCTAGAAGATATATATATTATTTATCTTATATAATTATTATATTATATTTTTAGTTAAAGTAGTAAATATTATAATTAATATAAGAAATATATTATTTGCTAACTATACTATTATTATGCTTCTTTATTATACTTATTAGCATAGCATAATAGCTTTATTTATTTCTATAGTAGCTAGGCATAACGTAAAAGAGTACTAAAGCTCTATTATATAATATATATATTATTATCTCTATTCTTCTCTATACTACTTTAATATATACTTTTACTCTTATCTAGCGCATAAATAGAAAGCAGTAATATAAGAAGATTATTTATCTTCTTATTTAGTAGTAGAGTATTATCTGCTAGAGATAGAGAAAGTAATAAGTTCACTTATTGCTAAGAAAGTAAGTATAGTTAAATTCTTCTCTGCCTTAATATCTATATACCTTTTCTTATTTATTATCTTATATTTAAGAATTATAATATCTTAGATAGACTAGGCGTTTAGTCTATGCTAGTAATCTCTAATTATTTTCTTTATAGTATTAAATACTTACTTTATGCTAACCTGCGTAATCTATACTACTAGTATATTCTTAGTAACTTAAATAAGCTAAGAATATAAACTCTTATTTAATTTCTACTATACTAGCACGTTAACGCTATTCTTATTATTAGAAAGCTTAATTATAGGCATTATAAGATAAGATTTTCTCTTATCTTATATAAATAGAGGCTTATCTTTAGTAGTAGCTAAGAAGCTACTAGATAGTAATTATAAAAGTAATAGTAGCTTATAAAACTACTTTAAAAGTAATTATTATAAGTTATTTATTAGTATAGATATAAGAGTTCTTGCTAGTAAAGCGTTATAGCATTTAAGATATTATAGAAATAGTTCTTAGTAAGTATATTTATAGTATAGCTTCTATAATAAGTTCTAGTACTATAGTAAGTTAGCACTATAATAAAATAGCATAATAAATATACTTTATATACTATAAGCTTCTTACCTAGATCTAACATAGTTACTATATTAAAAATAACCTCTCTTTTATTAGCTATTTAAGAATAATACTTCTTTAGTTTCTCTTAACTCTTTTCTATAGCAGCTCTAATAATATTTAGCTCGTTAGGAAAAGTGAAAAGTGTCTAGTTAGTAGTGTCGCCGCAATTTGCCGTTGATTTAACAGATATGATAATTTGATAAAGTCGCTCTAGTTACTTTTTTTCGACATCAGGTTAACGTTAGAATAGTCTAGTTACTATCCTCTACTGTTTAGCACTGTGTAGCTACATTGCTCGACTATGCTTAGTTATTAGACTTAGCATACTAAATATTCTGTATACTCTGTAAAGAGCAGAAGAGGTAGACTACGTTAGTTACGCATATTTTATAGGCAGTCTAAGTTCTCTGTGCAAATATAGCTGCAGCTATTAGGCTTAC